GCCGGGAAGGGCGGTGGGGCTGGCTGGGACTGGGGTTGGTCGTGGGGAATTCGCCTCGACGGCTAACTAACCTACCACAAAAACTGACTCGAGAACTGGCAAATATAAAGATAAGAAAATAGCCAAATGAATTATTCAAACTCGCACAGAAACAGTCAAGCGTCACTCGTGCTGCTGGCGCCTGCGCCGGACCTCACACATATAGTGTAGTGGCCCTAGGACCTCAGGCCTAGACTAGGCCATAGGCCTAAGCGAATCAACATTAAGCAGGAGTGCCACCCACACCCTCCGTCTGAGCCACTGCAAAAAAAGACAAGAAGCGGACCCACTAAGAAGTGGAAAGTGCCTGATGGCTTATAGGCGGTGTGGGGTTTGTGGCCGTGGCCGAAAGGCTGATGCATCGGAGGCGAAATTTTTGTGCACTTTACAGAGTAGGAAAAACAAGGAGCAAAGCAAATTAAGGGTCGGGTATAAACATACATACAAACATATATAAAAAACGCAAGTGTTGGTTACTGAACAAGTCAATAACAATTTGACTAAAAATAGCTTACAAGCAATAGAGGGATATAGAAAAAGTCCTTGGGTAATGTCTGCATTTTCTAATATTTCGTCGATTTGCGATCTGGTATTATATTGAAATAAAAAAAGAAAAGTCAATCTTTGTTAATACAGTTTCCTCCAGCAACTCGTTGACAGAAACGCTAAATTAAACCATTAGTTTAATCCAAAAGGGGTATTTAATAGGCACTGTTTCAATTTCACCACAGAAAAAAATTTTCATTTAAGAGTACATAAATTTTAATTTGGTAAATATGACGTGTCTTGCAATTTGGAAAGGATAGGGAAGCAATGGGAGTCTGTAATCATTGACTGTAGTCAAAGTTCATTGTCTTCATTGTCTTCAAAAAAATTTAATAATATGCTGTAATACTCGTTTTTAATGGATTATCTGTTTGTAAGTATTCCACAAAGAATGAGCATGCGCAGCATCCACCGAAAGGTCCTGTCAACCACCACTGTATCATGTACATTCTCAAAATATTCTTTTGAAGAAGGCTTAGCATAGGGGTTATTGGCAGGACATTTTAAAGAATAATTAATTAGCTTGCGTTAGTGCAAATAAACTGTGGGATATCAGGTACCAAGTAAAGAATGCGATTAAACTATCGAAGGTTTAGTAAGGCAACCTCGCAGGACCCTTGGGTACGGGATAGTGCTCTAAAGAACGCAATACTATGCTTTAGCAACACTGGGACTGGTTCAATCAAAATTGAAATCCTAAATGTATTCATGGATTTATTTTATTTATTAATATTATTATCTAATAGTATTTTCATTATATATTATTCATTTTGCTTGTCATATCGACGAGAACCACTATATCTGATTTTAATTACATTTAAATTAAATAAAAGTACATGAAGCTACTACAATAACAATTTGTATTTGCATTATCGGGAAGATCCCCTCTTCTAAACGATATTTTTGCCGAATGCTAAATTTGTTAATAGTTTCAAAATTCATAAATACACATAAGTATAAAGTGCCAGATTTTAAGAATAAGGCCAATGCACAAAGAAAAAGATGCAAATAAATAATGCAAACTTGGCAAAGGGTCCTAAAATAACACCGCTAACTGCTTGCACTTGGCAAGCTGTTCGACTTTCTTTGTATTTTATTGTCAAATAAAAGACCATTTACTATTCGCGATGTTAAACATGCTCAATGGTTAAATTATATGATAACTCAAATTCCTTCTCTAGAACTGCAACTTTGCATCTTTATCGTATTTATAATGGAACCTCGTGTTTTGCTGTGAAGAAAAACCTTTAAATTTAACGTATTCAAGAAAACAAAAAATTCATCTTCTTAACGAAACGTAAATTGAATTTCCAAAATATTCGCATGGAAACTTATTAAATCACACAATTTTGGCGAGACGATTTAAATCCTCCCCCCACCCCACATTTTGAAATTTTTTGTGTACAATTATAATTAAAAAAAAAAAACAACAAATTTCAAATCTGTTGAAAATTGGAAAAATTATATTTTTAATTAATTAAAATTAATTTCTCAATCTTTCCTATGGCAGCTATGTAATATAGTATTCCGATTTTCATACAACTTTAAACAAAATTCCAGAAAAATATAAAATGGCTATATCACAAATTTGATGAAAATGTGTTGAACTGAAAAACGTATTATTTTTAATTGTATTAATTTCTTGGTCGTTCCTATGGAAGCTATTTGATATAGTAGTTAGATTTTTATAAAATTTTACACAAAATTATCGAAAAATGTAAAATTGCTATATCCCAAATTTGATATTTTCATTTTTATCGCAAAAATTTTTCGATTGTTCCTATGGCAGCTATATGATGTAGTCGTCCGATCCCACCCTTACCGACATATATACGAGTGAAAGCATATAGAAGACTAACTACAAAGTTTCATTCAGATAGCTTAAAAACTGAGAGACTAGTTTGCATAGAAACGGACTGACAGACATGACTAAATCTACTCAGCTGTTGATGCTGATGGTCGGAGATGACTCCTTCAACGCGTTGCAAACTTCTGACTGAAATTATAAATTAAGGGTATAAAAATGTAGAAATTTTATAGTGGGTTAAGCTTTTTAAAAATTTATAAAAATTGAGTATTCAGATTTATAAACCTAATAAAAACGAACATAGGAAAATTAAAATTAATGCTTCTTTGGCTTAGTTATGAGTTCTGTATACTTTGATAAATATTAATTCAATGAATGCGAATAATGATCAATATATATAGACTTCGGGTTCCCAAAAGTTGTGTGACACGATTTCAGTTATTATGGAATTCTATTTATTTATTATGAGCATAGCTAGTACGGGTGTCAGTCAGTGCTTTCCTCACTACCAAGGTTTAGTTTATAAAGACGTCTTACTATATTAAGCTAAGGAAGGTTGTTTAACAAGGGGAAGTTGACTAGAAGAGATTTAATTCTATGCGTTTTATATGAAAATCTCACTGAGGAGTCAAACACAAATTTTGGGTGTAGAAATGTATGCGATCTGTCAAACAATTAAATTAAACAATGTAAGAAGTAGGTTTGCAGGATACATTCATCATCGACATTGGCATTATTGGAGGAATGGATTGTAATAAGACTTTTACCCTTCTGCGTTATCCAACTATTTTCTCATTATTATCTTACTGACTTACTACTAACTCGATAAATCTGAAGTAAATTAGAAAAAGGTTTGATGAAATGTAGTAATAAAACCTGCAGCAAACTCTTGTCAGGTTCGACTATTTAATAAGTGAAAACAGATATAGTATTTAACACGAGGGCAATTCAAATTATTTATAATGAGGAGATATACTTCGAAGCATCTTAAAAAAACTGATTCAATTTAGCACCCGGTATTCTGTCTCCGCCCCAGTAAATCAAACTCGAATATATAAAATAGGAACAAAAAATATATTTAATATTGATATAATTTGTTTTCCCATTTACTTTTGACTATGAAATAGCGCCAGTGATCCCAATTTTTAATAAGTATGCAAAGCTTATTTAGGGCAACATCTTACTTTCATTTGAATGGGAGAAGTTTTATTCCGCATCTGTTAATCTTTTCATATAAATTTACTATTAATTAAGAGTCTGATGTCAAATGTATTCTGCATGACTGCTTTGATCCATGGACTTTCTTTGGGAAAGTTTAACTGGACAAGTCTTGGGAGTTATTGAAAAAATGCTGGTCAAGCTAACGCAATGACTTTATTTCAACGCATTTGTAAGCGCATATGTTGCAGCTGCATAAGCAGAAGTGTCCGTATTAAAAAACAGGCAGCAGATAGGACTAAGTCTGTGAAGCAGCTGTTGCTGGCGACGAAGACTTAAAACGTCGCTCGACATAAATCCCACCCAGCGCCGGTGTACGGAGTGCCCCAGCACCGTTGATCCCTCCCCACACCCATTCGCATTTGTATTAAATCGAACGTGTTTGCTCCCGGACGGTTCCTGTGCCATAAGCAGTGCCTTCAACAGGGACGAACTCGGTCGGCGACATTGGTACCAAAAATTTTAGTTTTGCCACTCATACAAGTATAAGCATCGTCTCATTAAACTCAACTCACAAGAGTTTAAATTTACTATTAACAAAAATAATAAATTAAAGTTTTTTAAAATAAATTATTAAATATTTTAAAATATAACCAAAGACAAATGAGACCTTTTTAATTCAGAAGCCAAATTAATGGGCTTAGCCAACGTTTTTTTAATTAATGCTTTTAGTTTCTCTGCTGAATCCGCCCCTGTCCGATGCTTTCTTCTATTTTGGAGGGAGAAATGCACAACTGTTTTATTTATTGACTACACGTAGCACATATCCTTATAATTTTTGTATGTGAGCTCTACATAAGTTTGTCTAAAGAAAGAGAGAACATCTAGAATGGCTGGGAAGGAAGGTCTGTGTTCCTTTTTCGCTCGACTGCACGTCCAAATATGAACAACAACTTCTTCATCCTTGTGCAGCTTTTCGTATGCAATCTACTGAAATTGAACCTGCAACAAATGGCCATGTTTGACTTGGCCGAGACCTACTTGTCCCCACCTCATTTCATTTCCCACTCTTAGCCAGCCAAAGACGAAACCATTTGTACATTTTAACGGCTCTTGGGCAAATAAGCGATTTTTGCATTTTCAATTTTTATGCAGGATACAGCAGCTATCTACATGAAATTTAGGAAAATTGCACATCGATTGAATCTCTTAGCGTATCAGTTGTTCCATGTATTAAATTACTCTCAGTTTTGTATCCTCAAATTTCTTCCTTAAAATGTATTCTAAATATTAAAGTTAAAATTATAATGTTGGATAGTCTGAAATACATACAACATATGTTATATGTTTGTACATATAGTGTAAACCAAGGCATCTTAGGATACAATTGTGATTGTCGGCAATGGAAATTTTAACAAATGGGTGACATTTAAATTCAAATTTTCCTTACCATGCGCTGCTCGTTCTCGTGGGAGAGTCAATTTTATCTTTCGACGTACATCTGCACCAGCTGTGCATCCTTCTTTTTGATAAGTGCAATGTACTTTGTCTTTTTTTTTGATCAGTGGGATACTGTAATATAACTTGCATCGCGGAGGAGGAACAGACTAAGCTGGGTGCCGAGCTGCGGCTGTTGCAATGATCTTGCCTGCCATTTTGAGCAATTGTTCAAACTGTCCTTTTAATGATGAGCTGCAGCTGAAGGAAATCGAGGCCAGCAAAGGTTTCTTCAATTGAGGGCCGGAGTTTCCAAATTCTCGTTTTGGACTATTATTGCACAGACATCTCTTATAATTACACACAATAAGAAATACAAAAAACTTAACAAGCCCACATAGTGTTGGCAAATTCAACAAAAGTATTTTTGCATTGTTAGAAACTGAATGGAATGAAACAAAATTTCAATGTGTTATTGCACTGGCGCCTAAATGCAGTGGTGTCATTTCCGCTTTTTTTACGTCAGATTTTGATTTTTTTTTAAGTGTGATTGCGGGAAAAATATGAAAACAGCGGGCAGCAAGAATTGTAGCTTTTTGACCAAATTTAAATTGAACGTCTGTACAGCGACATAACCCTGGTAACTTCCGGAAACTTCCGTTTTTATTAATCGGCTTCGTTGCTCTGCAAATGTCTTGGTTGAATGCCGACGTCGAGCGGTTATTCAGAAAAGTAAATTTAATTAAAACAAAAATTCGATATAGCATGAGCGTTGAAACGTTATTTTTATTTGTATCTTAGAAATTAATTAATAGGTATGGGCTTCGTCGACACAATAAGTGCTGTTTTAACTACATTCCACCACCCAGCTGCCTATCTAAAATTGAACAAGAGAACTTTTATCTAATTGATAATGCCGATAATATTGACGATAAATAAAATATACTATAATTCTTAATTTTTTTCATTATATATTTTATTGAACGGAGGGTTTATTTATGAAAAACATACGGCACATTGCTTTATAAAAATCAGCTTTTTTCTTAACTTAAGTATTACGAATGAGGCTATACAAAATGAAAAAGGAAATGTGAATGAAATTCCTTCCGTTCCAAATGGTTTAATTAACGCAGCCTGTGGCTTAAGATGATGCCGAACCTTTATATATATATATAGGAGCAGATTAAGAAGTTCTCGACTTGAGTATACCATCAAAAGGTTAAGAACATTTTTTTAAACATTCAAACAAACAAGGCAGACATTGTATCCTCTTCCCACACAGTCCATCCGTTTATAACTGCGAAACCCCGCATCGCATATCCACCATCCACCATCTGATAAAAGCGATCTGAACAGCTCATCTAAACGTAAACAAATGGATATTATTGTTGTACAACTGCAAAACCTTAGGTTGCGAAAAATTGTATTGACCTATATTATATGAAGACAAAAGGAAGATTTAATGATTTTGATCCATTAAATCTCAGTACAAAAAATTAAGTAAAGACCATCTAGCAGATCTCGTCATGCACAGGGCATATGTGCTTTAGCTTCGCCTCCATTTTGACAAGATTTTGAAGCTAGTTGTTCTATTAAATTAAATAAATATCCAATCATTCGAGTTCCTTCTACAGATACACAGGATTGGCACGCGGACAAATTTAAATTGTTATAATGAAACGGTGGGATATGGAACACTGATATTGTTCGATACTTGGCTGTGCTAGTAACTTCTTATTAAGTTTTCAGAATCAACAACAACAAAGAAATACGTGTTCATCACTATTAACGGAAATTTTCAAATTTACTGAATTCAGGCACAAGGAAGCGAAAAATGAAGTACCACACAAATGTAAAAATGTAGTTTAAAATGTATTTTTTTGGTATTTATTATTCTTAATATTATTATTTATTATTCTTTAATTTTGCTCTTGCTTTTGTTGTTGGGGGTGCTCTTGCTCCTGGGGTTGCGCTTGCAGCTGTACCTGCTCCTGCTGCTTCAGCTTCTTCTCTGGGTGCTCTTGCTGCGGTTCCTCCTGGACCTCCGGCCGTAGTGCATCCATCATACGCTTTCGAACTAAGGCCTGTTGACCAATTGGCACATTTTTTGCCACCTTATTAGCCAACTGGATCCTTTCCTTCCTGTTAAGGCCAGCTAAGCCTTGACCACCGCGGGCTCCTCGGCCGCGGGATCCTCTCAGACCGCGAGCTCCTCCCTGACCACGGGTTCTTGCCGGACCAGGGGTTCCTTCCAGATCACGGGCTCCTCCTTCATCGCGGGCTCCTGCAAGACCACGGAATCCACCATGACCGCGGGCAGCTCCCCGATCATAAGTTACTCTCCAACCGCGCGTTCCTCTCCAAACGCGCGCTCCTCTCCAACCGCGGGTACCTCCATCACAATTGACAAAATAAAAATTTACCATCTAAATAAAGAGTAACAATTATGCGCTTGTAAAAACATCAATTAACTTTCCCTACGTTTGCAATTTAGCGCTTTTTGGACTTGCACTAAACTAGGGATGGAAGGAATTAGGTACGTGAAAAATATATCGATATATCTTGATAAAAATAATACATTGTTATATGTCGATACATCGAATATCTCTAGCTTGGGATCTGTCAAAAAGACACTTTTCCCGAATTATCTAAATTAACAATAAGCTGGACTAAGATATTGAGATTAAAGTCGCATTACAGAAACTATTGTGAAAGATGGTATTTTTTTTAATCACAAAAAATCCATTGTGGTATTATAATGTAAATGATCTCTAGATCTGTTTAAATAAATACTTCGTATTTAAATTTTTCTTTAATAATATAATAAAGTATAAATACTTAATTAATAATTTATTGAGCTTGACTTAAGAACAGGTCTAGACAAATGCAAATTGAACTTTTATTTAATAAAAGCTCATAACAGTTTGACCATTGAAACCTTTGAAAACAGCTGGTTAATTTGCTTACATTTTCGTAGTGAATGTTCACCGACAAGATAAAAATTCAGTTTTACAACGAAGAACTATCGCCTAACTTTTATCAAAACAAGCCCATCAAATTCGAATGGAGAACAGAATGAGAATATCTTTTAGGGTCTTCCCACAGAGCTCTATCTGCCTTCCTCCATACGTTCAACGAAAAGTCCATAAGGGTTTACCGGTCCAAAATTGCTTATTTTATTCTTCATCCGTGGTACATCCGAATTTGATGGACTTGTTTTGCCGATAATTAGGCGATAGTTCTTCGGTGCAACTCCGAACTCCAACTTGTCGCTAAAAACATTCAATGCGAATATGTAAACATAGATGATAAGGAACGAGTGAAATATGGAAAGCGCCAAAAATCCCGAAGAAACTCGTCGGTGTTGTCTCGAGTTTCTACTATTTTGTATAAAACTCTACTTTATTTTAAATATTTATTTCGATCACATAATTCCGCTAATCTTAGTACTTAACCGAACAAATAATCAGAAAGTTCTTCTTCTTGTTTCTCGAATATGTTACAATTAAAATAATAATAAACATTTTTAAATTGTGTAAGAAACCTAAATATTGTTTTCGTATACATGGAAATAATGAAGTTATGAATATTTATTTTATTATTTATTTCCTCTGATTATATTATTTATTATATATTCTATTCGACTTTCCCATCTTATAAGCATACTACTTCCAAAACGTTTTGGAAAGTAACATCTAGGTAGTTCTAAAACTGAGAGACTAGTTCGTGTTTGCTGTTGGTGATGATAAAGAATATGCACATATATCATTTATAGAATCGGAAATATTCCAGCAATGCGTTGTAAACTTCTTAAGCCCTATTTTCTATTTCAAAAATGAATGCATATATGAAACAAATTTTTAGTTTTCTGAAGTCAAATTTATAGAACAGGCAATGCTAACGAAATTTTTCAATTCTATTTTCTTAGTGCCATACCTAGCATCTAAATAGCTAAAGTGTGAGTACTGATGCACTTTTCATTCGATAGCTTCAAAAAGATTAATCTTTGTGGAACACTGAAAATGTCAATCGATTGTATTTAAAATTAAAAAAAGGTAAATACCGAGCTTTATTACGGATCAGATGAAATATAATTAAATCAAGTGTAAGCGATATTACAAAACAAAGCGGATTATTAACTGACACTGATTCTTTAAGACGATAGCATTATTGATTGCAAAAAAGCCTAATTATATCGGCGGCGACTCTGGCATAAAGGCGACCGATCAAATTCTGATAATTCAAGAGCAAAATACACTATCCAAAATCAGACTAAATATCTAACATCCTGCGAAGTTCAACCGTTACCAAAATGTATTTAACATTTCAGAAGGATAAAATCAGCGTATACAAAGTTACAAAGGTCAAGAACGATGTAATTAAGGTAATATAGCATTCGGTCGATAAAAAAGACAATAATATTTATAATAATTTGAAAAAGCAAAAAGATTCACTCGATTCTATCACATTAAGTGATGAAATGTACATAATTAAAAGTTATAGAAAATGATGTAAACATGTTAGAGCTCACGTGCAGGAATTGGAGTGGCAAGCCTTAATTAATGACTTAATTAAATTAAGAATGAGTCATTTTAGTTGACAAATTTTGAACTAATGATAGGACTTGACGAATTGAAATCTGAATTAATTTAATTCTAGATAAGCCATGATGATCTAAGGAAGCTAGTTTCTGAACCAGAAAATAATTTTCTCTGTGCCTCTACTAAACTTAAGAAAAATATTAAAAAACTGTCAGAATATACTTTAAATATTTATAGCTCTCCTTCATCATCAACATAAAACACCAATTAAACCAATGGATTTAAAGTTGTGGATTTTAATGACGTAGCTGCTTAGGCTAGGTATGTAATGATCACTTTTAAGTTGGAAGTAAAGATACATAAATAATACATTATAATATTTTTTAGGTCATATCCGGGAAATGCTGGTGATGCTGTTTGGAGTTTTTACAACTCTCCATTTGCAAAAATGATTCTTGAAATAAAATAATTATATTACTACTTCAAAGGAACTGGTAAGCAAATCAAGTTATTTTTTTAAATAATTCTTAATCATTTCGTTTTAATAATTATTTGTATATTTACATATGTTTAAAAACAATATACTGTAATCAGCGAGGCTGTGAGGCATAAAGCCGATATGTTTAAAAACCTAGTTATAATTTTTGTTCTGTGTATTTTCCGACCGATTTTACAACCTCTTTTAGATCTTCATCAACAAAAAAGATATTACTCCTATTTTTTTTAGGCTTTACAGGTGCATTTGACAGTTGTTTATTTTTATGTTCCCTACACAGATTTAGTGGAGTTCAAATCGGTCTCGAATACTACTTATAAATGTGAACTTTATATTTATTGTAGCTAGACTGTTATTTATGGGTCAATATTTTTTATGTCTTATTAGTCTGGGGGCGATTTAGGACGTCGAGTCTAAAAATGTTCAGGCCTCGACTGGGGATCAAAATGTGCTGAACCCGAGGACGCAAACTAAACAAAAGCAGCCACTCTCAACGATGTCCTAGGGCACATATTTGCATCAGTTTTAATGTCAGCCAGGACAAGGACAATGCTTAGGCCTGCAGTGCAACGATTCAAAGTTTTCGCACGATGGCACATTGTGGCGTCTAGATAAAATGGGTGACAAAATAATTTTTGATCACATCCACGGCTCCAGTCCCGGCTTTTAGTTTATACAACAGTTTGAAATATATATTTGCAACTTTATTTTCTAATGACTTACATCCAACGGCAACGGTACTTTAATATAAATCGTTCATGATTTGTGACGAATTTTGAAATTTATGAAATTTCGATATAGACTTCCAGGTAGATCTAAACAAAATCTATTCTATATTTAAATAAGTTTAAGTCACAAATGTCGAACGCGATATTTAAGAATGATTTTATAGATTTATTTCTTTAACTTGGACACAATATGTGTTTGTTTAACTGCATCGGGAACCGAATAAAAATTGAAAATAAATAAAATCAATTTTTTCAAAAGTGGTCTAAGATTCTAATATTCATGAAGTGATATTTAAATATCCTTGTCGTCATGAAATGTGAAACTAAATTGATATTTTTTGAATATTAATCAACCATATATAACATAAAAGTGATCCGCTGTAGACAATCGGGAATTTCCTTAAAAGGAATATACATTGCTGGTAAAAGGCCGAAATAGATGCATTCTTTGGTTTATTACGAGATATTTTCAAAATCTCAAGTGTTCAAACAATAAAAAAACTAAAATTAAACAAATTTACTTAAAGTCGGTATAGGACACAGGATATGTATTTATTTTTTTTCAATTTGTGTAGAGTATTTTACTAAGCAATTGTTATTTTCAACATTGTATTTAGTTTTTATACATATATTTTTAAGACAAACCTTTACTAAATGTGTTTTTAAAATTATTTTATAGAGTATTTACAATGATTGCTTAACTACTACAGGACACGTCAGAATAAAAGTGCAATTTTGGCCCATTCGCCCCACTGTGGACCGTGTTAAGCCTAAAATCGAAAATCCCTGCCCAGGCCGCCTGTGGTCGACGCTCTCTCGCCCCACCAGCTGACGATAATGCCTGGCTGGTGGTGCTGATGAACAGACGGCTTTTGCAGCATTGGCGGCAAACTTGGCACTTTGCCAACGGAATTCAGCAGGCATAAAATACGAAATATTTCAAACTGCCTGACTATTGGCGACCTGTTACCCCTCGGCAGTTGCATGCCACATCCTTCTGCTCTCACAGATCCACCATTTGAGGCTTAATTTTGTCCGCTTGACACTCGCAGCACGAGTAGCCAAATTTGTAGTATGTAAAATTCGTTGTGGCGTCGGACTCTGTTGCACACATTCTGGGAAAGGCATGTCGGTCCACAGCCAATGCTTTGGTCCTCATCTTCTAGGGAGGCTTAAAGGGTACTGGCAACTTTATAATATGCAAAATAATGTCATAATTAAGGATTTATATGAAAAGTTGTGCCATAAACTCTTGCCGCTCACACATCAACACGTATTCTTGTCGCACATTTTAAACTTGCTTCCACGCAGTCCATTTCGCCCTCACCTCTTTTTATAGTGTGCATATCAATCGCTAACGCTCCTCCAAACTCATCCCATCCCCGGGGGAAAGTCAAGAAACTTTTTTTTTCAAGTCTCTGAGCCTGCATGTATTCGCGGAAATGACACTGTGGGGCATGAATACTAATTCTTAATTTCGTTGCTCTGGCATCGCTTCTAACATTGCTGCTGCTGCTGCTGCCTGTGGAGCCTGCAACACGTTAAATTGCCACCAGTCCTCTGCCGCAAAAACTTATCTTCTCATTCCTTACCCTGCCCACGCAAGAACTCAGACGTCGAGTTGCAGTAAACTGAAGCAGAAGAAAAATGAAATTTTCCCTGCGCAGAGCATATTTTGTGGTTGCTTTGGGGTAATGGCTGGGTCTATAAGAGGAAAGCGGGGGAGGGAAAGTTACGGCTGCAGTTGACAAAAGTTATGGGTATGCATACCCGTCAAATGCAGAAGCAAGAAAAGCGGAAAAACTGGACATGCTAGAGCGCGACTGGCTTTAGCCGTGGATTAAATGTTTCTCTATACATTTGTTTTTCTTGATCTTAATTATAATATTAAACAAAAACGCAACTCGACCCGGAAACTGACAATTGCACGTCATAGTCGTATGTTTGGATAACAAACTTTGCGACGAATTACACTAAATTAATTACAATTAACCTAACTCTTTATTAAATCAAAACTGAATTTCCAGAATCACCATAAATTGTCAAATCCCAGAGTAGATGATAATAACTTGAAAACCAAAAAAACCTTTACCGGTACAGGACATTTTTATACCCCTGCAGGGTATTATCATTTTAATCAGAAGTTTGAAACCCAGTGAAGGAGACACTCTACCCAAAACAAATATTTTTATTCTTGATCAGCATCAACAGCCGAGTCGATATAGCCATGACCTGATTATATGCAAAACTAGTACCTTAGTTTTAAAGATATCCGAAAGAAACTTTGCTGTTGCTGGTTAGTTGGACCGGTTCGGACGATATCTGCCATAGGAACGATAGAAAAAACATATAACTTTTCCAGTTTTCAACACATTTTTATCTAATTTGAGATATAGCCATTTTTTGTACTTTAGAATTTCTGTAGTAATTTTGATAAAAATTGGACTGCTATGAATAACTGCCATAGGAATAATATAGAAATTATTAAAAAAACAAGAAAGGAAGCTAACTTCGTCACGCCGAAGCTTATATACCCTTGCAGATAGAACTTCGATGACTAGGAATCCATACAATATAAATTTATATATTTATGTTAAAAAAAATGAAGTAATACCTGCTTTCATTTCATTCACCTATATATATTATATTTGCAGTTTTACATTTAAAGATTTGCCTTTTTTGCTCTACAACAAACGATCGTTTGTATGGCACCTATATGATATATTCGTCCGATTTTCATGAAATTTGACTCAAGACACAAGACTGATATAAAATGGCTATACCTCAAATGATGAAAATCTGTTGAAAACTGAGAAAGTTATAATTTTTAATTGTATTAATTTTTCGATCGTTCCTATGGGAGCTATATGATATAGTAGTCCGATTTTCATAAAATTTTATACAAAATGGAAGAGTATAATAAAATGGCCATATTTTAAATTTGAAATTTCCAATTCTATTGAAAACTGAAAATGTTAAAAATTTGTTTATAAAAATTTTCCGATCATTCCTATGGCTATATGATATAGTCGTCCGATCCGGCCCGTTCCGACATATATACGAGTGAGAGTATATAGAAGGCTAACTACAAAGTTTCATTCAGATAGCTTCAAAACTGAGAGACTAGTTTGCGTAGAAACGGACAGACGGTCAGACGGACATGGCTAGATCGACTCGGCTGTTGATCTTGATTATATATACTTTATTAGGTCGGAGGTGCCTCCTTCACTGCGTTGCAAACTTCTGACTGAAATTATAATACTCTGCAAGGGTATAATGATAACATGAATGTTTTTCAAAATACCCAGCAAACAATTTCTATCGCGGAAGAGTCGGAGGCGACTCTTCTATAAGATTAATTTCATCGCCCGCGATATCGCTTTCTGATCTTCCTATAGGACTCGCGGCTCTTATAGAAGAGTCGCGGAAAAGTTTTCCAGAAAAGAGTCTTTCAGCGGAAGTGTCGCCAGTAGAGTTAGAGTTTTTTTGTTTTGTTTTTTTTGACGCTACGCCAAATGATCGCCTGGAAGATTAATCCCCCCGAAATCTCTACTGGTGCTATAAAAAAAATGATAACATGAATGTTTCGCGGAAGAGTCGGAGGCGACTATAAGATTAATTTGATCGCCCGCGATATCGCTTTCCGTCGACTTTCCGTCGGGAGAAAATATGACTCTTCTAAGTTTTCCAAAGAGTCTTTCAGAAGTTTTTTTGTTTTTTTATCTGTCATTTTATTTTTTCTTAATAAGTGTCTATTCCATATTCCTTCATTTGTCCTGTGTTTGACGCTACTCGCCAAATGATCGCCTGGATTAATCCCTCAGAGGACTTTTCTTGGCGAGCGGCGATTAAATTAATTGGCGATTAACTCGAAAGCGACTCTTATAAGAGTATAGAAGAGTCGTGGAACAGTTTTCGGAAGTTTTCAGAAGAGTCCCAGATGAAGTCGCGGAAATGATCGCCTGGAAGATTAATCCCCCGATATCGGTAAAGCGACTCTCAGAGGACTCTGTGAGGCGAGCGGCGATTAAACAATCGCCAAATGGTTTGGAAAATGGAAAAAAATCTTTCAGCGGAAGTGTCGCCAGTAGAGTTATAGAGTTTTTTTTTATTTTTTTTGACGCTACGCCAAATGATCGCCTTGAAGATTAATCCCCCGAAATCTCTACTGGTGCTATAAAAAAAATGATAACATGAATGTTTTTCAAAATGGCCAGCATTTTCGCGGAAGAGTCGGAGGCGACTATAAGATTAATTTGATCGCCCGCGACATCGCTTTCCGTCGACCTTCCGTCGGGAGAAAATGGGACACGAAAGCGACTCTTCTAAGGAAGGAAAAATTTTCGGGAAGTTTTCAGAAGAGTCCCAGATGAAGGAACGATCATTAAGTGAAGTGTAAAATGCAAAACAGTCAGTGTATAACTCTAATTGCAAAACTGTGATAAAAAAAATAGGATGTACACATATGTATCTGAAAGTAACGAAGTTTTTTTTGACAAACTGTATATTGAATAATTATTAATGGCTTAAAAAATGTTTGCATTTTTATAAAATACAACAAGTAGGAAAGCTAGAGTAGAGTGTGACGAACTGTGAGATATTCGGAACCCAAATTTGGGGGAAAATAAAGTAGCATGGATATGGCTGAATGAAGAGATACGAACATGCGCAACATCCAAACAAAGGCAAATGTAGCTAGGAGCATGTTGAGCAACAACTGGTATTGTCAACACAAATGTCGATGTTGCAGAAGTTCATGAACTGCATTTTTTGTATAACTCCCTTGGTTATTAGATGTTCAAAAACCCTGTGCATCGGTATAATTGTTGTAAGACAAGTCCTCTACTGCAAACTAAAATTCATTATAATAGCTATAGTATGATTTGCGAGGGCGTATTTGGGCGTGGCAAATTTGGCAGCTCTAGCACATATTGTCCTTGAGATCTGTTGTTCCTTATTAAGGGACAAACGAACATATATAAATCGATTCGGCTGGAGATGCCTTCTTCTGTGTGATATATATGTACATTCTTGGTTGACATAAAGTCATAAAAGAACTTGAACCCTGTACCTTTTAAAAGAAAAGAACATCTTTTTGTCGAGTGTGTTTTATTGATGTTCCATCGTATAGGTAGAATTACTAGAATTTTAGTGGACAAGGCCGAAAGATCCAAGAATTCCGCCTTCTAGACATTGACTGGTTTCGGCGAGGACAAACTGGTGCTACTGGTCGGCTTGCCAGCATTTTTCAAGGAGGACCTTAAGGCGTCGTTGAGGGGTACTGGTTGGTACAGGTAAAGATTCACATCGGTGCTGACCCTAATCCGATCCGGCTCCCTGCCCCCCTTGCTCCGCTCGATCTCCACTGGGTTTGCTCTCCCCGAAAATTTTTGATGGTAGAAACTGGATTCGCGGCGCTCGCCGCAGGCCAATGAGTTAGCCCGGGCACGCGGTTTGGAATCGCTAATAGGGTAAACCATTTTCTCTTCGGCCACCAGACTCGTCGTGGATGACATCACATCCATATTCCGCCTCTCCCGCGCCGTCTCCCGCCAGTCTTGGACCATTTGCTTAACGTACCCAAAGGTGTTCTCGTCCGACAGTGCCATTTTGGTGGAGTCCTTGGCTAGTACAGATCCTTCAATGTATATATAAAATTCCACGGAATCCTTGCGAATTTGGTTAACACACTCGACTTTTTTTATAGTTTTCTTGACCTTTTTAAGGTCCTAAATTGAAAGAGAAATTTGTTTCAAATACATTTGTCACATTTTCAAAAAGCAAATGTAACTTGATTTCTCATTCAGCCAAAAGTTGTCTAATAAATATTTAACCATCTCTTTTATATAGCATCAAACTTGTACATATTTTATTTATTTATTTATTTTAAAAATGATTTAATGCACTGGGTACTCTAATCGCTGGATCCTTTCTCCTTACTATAGGATCCATTCATGACCTCCTTTTTGGTCTAATTATAATAGTCTGTTAATAAATTGATTAGAAAACCTTTTAAAATGAAAGAGATATTACAGAGGAGTATTTAGATGTAGTATGCTCACATATTAATTATATATATCGACCACCCACTGTACCAAGAGTACTAAAATGGAACGCACTGTAACACTTTGTTGCAGTGTTTATACAATTCATGGTCTCGGTCATTAACATAAGTGCCCGAAATACGAACCGCTCGCTGTGCCTTAGCTAGCACGCCGAAAGTGCAAGCATAATTGCAACATGAGCGGACCTCATGTATGTGCATATACATACATACTTCCGCGCTCCAGACCAAGTGAGCATAGCTATATACTTAAGAATATATAGGCCGTCTCTCCGCTGCCGCTGTTGGCAGCGCCGCTACGAGACTTAGACCTCTTCAGGTCCTAAGTAAAATTGGATCAACAAGAACCTCCTTCGAGCTCGGAGCGGCAACAACGGCTGCGAAAACAAATCTATAAATAATAATAAATAACAAAACTCTGGACCTATGTATCTTCTTTATTTGGATTGGAGCGGGAACGCTACATGGCGACCGTAACAGTCGCAATCCTTTTAGATTGCAAGACCAAGTGAAAATATTACTAAAATTAAAAAAAAATATACCACCACCATACATTGACCAAGGATATCAACAAACAATAACAAATCTTCGAAGAAAAACTGAACGATTGAATCCGAAGATTGCAGACACAGGATTTAAACATCGAGGACATCGAAGGACCGCAAGGAAAAATTAGCAGCAGACTACGGAAAATAAAGATCGCAGTGAGTGGAGTGTGATGTGTGGTAAACGTAGTGCTATGGTGAAAAATTAAAAGCCAGAAGGGCTGAATTACTGAAGCTACTAAATAGCGGCAGTAAATTAAATTGGAACAAGTCGGTAAAATTACATGCCGAACTTAAATATATAAGAAATTTATTAAGTGAAAGAAAAACCACAGCCACACATACATCCGCCTACCCTGCAATTGAAAGTCTCGCTAAAGCTAATATAAAATTACCTCCGCCACAGAAGAAGGAAATACCCAAATTAATGAAGAAGTGCCCAAACGACCAAAGGACTCCTGTGCAGCCAGCACCGGTGCCCCAGCATAGAAGATCATCGAGGAAGTCCAGCCTGTGCAGCCAGCACCGGCCACGTCTTGCAAATCAACGAAACCACGGAGAATTTTTTTTTTTACCATGCACTGCGTTGCATAATTTTTTTAATTGCACTGCGATGCATATTTTTTTTATATAATTATATAAAAATTAATGTTAAATTGAGCGACATTAAAGTTGCCCAATTAGCGTGTGGCCTGAAAACCATACAAAAACTAGGCAGGTTTTTCCATTGTAAAAAAAATGTTCTCACAATAGTAAACCGCTCCAATACAGCGCGAGTAGAGAGACAGGCTAAACAAAACCCATTGGTCTCAGGTATCAAAATATTTAAACAAATTACGGGATAATCTAATAGCTATAATGCAAAGGTACGAATTAACAATTTCAGTACCAACTATCCTAAACACACCGTTGAAGATAGAAACCAGAGAAGAGTCAGAATCATCAGATCCACCAGTAGAAGCTGAGACTGACGACTCTATTTCTACAGATCCCGATATAGAGGAAAAAGATATAAACAACCTCACTATTCCGGCAGTCTTTATTCAATCTGAATTATCAGACCAGGAATTGACCGACTCGGATTCTAACAACAGCATTACAGAAATAAAAACAACCGCAATAGCTGATGAGATAATTGCCCAAAGGGCATACATTAAAGAAATATCGAATGCCATCCCGGAGTTTAACGGGCAAAGGATACACCTTCAGAGATTCGTAACAGCTTTGAAGTTGGTTAACCTTACGAAAGGTACATTCGAGATGTTGGCTGTAGAAGTTATCAAATCCAAAATAATTGGATCAACATTATACAGAGTCCAAAACGAAACAACAATAGAAGCTATAATTAAAAAACTGCAAGATACTATAGTTGGAGAAACATCCGAGGTAGTTAAAGCCAAAATGGCAAAAACAAGCCCAAAAGGTAAAACTGCAGAAAAATTCACCACAGAAATTGACAACCTACGAAAACTCCTAGAAGCTTCGTATATTGATGAAGGCCTATCAGCCGAACACGCTGACAAATTCAGCACTAAGGAAGCCATTACCACAATGGTAAAAAATTGTGAGCACGGCCGCCTCAAAATAATATTGGAAGCAGGCAATTTTGCAACCATGAATGAAGCCGTCACCAAGTACATACAATGTAGTACTGAAATGACAGGCAATGCCAATTCCATATTGTACACCCAACGTGGAAATAGTTATCGCGGTAAGAATTACAACAAAAATTATCGCGGTAGAGGTAATAATCTAGGTAATTATAACAATACCAGAAGTGATCAGTATAACGGATATAATCAAAATAATGGTTATAACAGAAATAGCAATAACCAAAATAACAATTATTACAGAAACAACAACCGTGGTGGTGGAAACAACCGCGGTGGAAACAACCGTTGGGAAAACAACAACAGTAATGGTGGTAACAACAACAACCACAATAAGAACGTTAGGGTAGCCCAAACAAATTCGGGAAACTCCCAACCAGCTTTAAATACACGACAGTAAACAACATAAAAATTTACATTTTAAATCTCAGTCAAAATACATTTGTCACTTTCATGAACGTAGCAGCCGGAAATGAATTAGTTTTTCTACTAAATAAAGGCGCGAAAATATCCATAATGAAGGAAAATTCCGATAATTTTCAAAACATTCAAGATAATCATATCATAAACATACAGGGTATAAGTCAGGAATTTACCAAATCAAAAGGCTTAACTTCTATTGAAATTCAAACTTCTAAGTACATAATTCGCTATTCCATGTGATGGAATACTAGGAAACGATTTTATCAAAAGATACAACTGTCAATTAGACTTCAATCCGTCTGAAGACAGTATCTTATAATAAGACCAAATAACCTCAAATATCCGATTTATGTTCCAATAGCATACAGTTCTGGCAACAACTCCCTAATTCTGCCAGCAAGATCCCAAGTCCCAAAATTCAGCATGGTATCTATATCGCAAATACCATAGCAACAGTCCAAAATGCATATATAGGATTACTAAATACCACAAACACAGATCAAGTAGTTTATATCAAAATTATTCGTAAACGTATAAAAACGGACTTAGAAGCCAGTCAAAAAATTGTATTATCCCAACTTGCAAAAAACTTCCCGCCCCAATTCAATGAAAAGCTTACAGCATTATGCACCCAGTATAGTGATGTATTCGGACTAGAAACCGAATCGATCACTACCAATAATTTTTATAAAAAAAAGCTGAGGTTAACTGATGATGAACCCGTATATATAAAAAATGATAGAAATCCTCATAGTCAACAAGACGAAATTCAAAAACAAGTCCAATAACTCATCAATGATAAAATAGTGGAACCCTCTGTATCACCTTATAATAGCCCAGTTTTGTTAAAAAAGACACTTCCAAATTCGGAAAATAAAAAATGGCGATTACTAATTGACTAAAATTGACTAATTTGTAAAAAACTCTTGTCTGATAAATTTCCACTCCCTAGAATCGATGATATTTTAGATCAACTAGGTAGAGCAAAGTATTTCTCATGCCTTGACTTAATGTCAGGTTTTCATAAAATTAAACTGGAAAAATCTTCACGGGATATAACATCCTTTTCAACAAACAATGTTTCGTATCGCTTCTCGCGATTACCATTCGGTTTAAAAATAGCGCCAAACTCTTTTCAGAGAAGAATTATCAGCTACTCATTGGGCAATAACACACTTCAGACCATATATTTATGGTAGGCACTTCACTGTCAAAACAGACCATAGAGCACTTACCTACTTATTTTCAATGGTAAATCCCAGTTCCAAACTAACAAGAATGCGACTTGAATTAGAGGAATATAATTTTACCGTAGAGTATCTAAAGGGTAAAGATAACTATGTAGCAAGTCACTACCAGAAACCAAAGTAGACAAAAATCCTGCGCAGAAAAAGAACGAATAGAACTGCATAAACAATCTATAGAGCAAGCTTCAAAGCCCAACGTATATGAAGTCATTAAAAATGATTAAGTACGTAAAGTACAGTGCATGTAAATAATAAAATGTGTTAATTTAAGCACGGAAAGAAAATTACAGCAAGATATGATGTTAGCGATTTGTATACTAATGGAACCATTGACTTAGGTCAATTCTTTCAAAGGCTTGAAAAGCAGGCCGGTATTCACAAAGTCAGCCTACTCAAATGGCACCGTGGGCAAATATCTTTGAACATGTTTCAATTGATAATATTAAAATTATGGGCAATAATATATTGAAATCATTGAGAGTAGCGCTACTCAACCCGGTGACCGTAATAAAAAATAATAAAGAAAAACAAGCTATATTGTCTACATTCAATGATGATGCAATACATGGCATTACAAAAACCTTGGCCAAGGTCCCCAGAGATACTATTACTGGAAAAATATGTCCAAAGATATAAAAGAGTACATAAGGAAATGTCCTAAATGCCAAAAGTCGAAAACGACTAAACATACTAAGACCCCACTAACGATAACCGAAACTCCACAAAGAGCTTTCGATATAGTAATTGTAGATACTATTCGACCATTTCCAAAATCTAATAATGGAAACGAATACGCAGTAACACTCATCTGCGATTTAACTAAATACCTAGTAGCTATACCTGTTCCAAATAAAAGTGCAAATACAGGAGCAAAAGCTATATTTGAAGATTTTATTTTAAAGTACGGTCCAATGAAGACGTTCATTACGGACATGGCAACAGAATGTAAAAATTCAATTATTGAAGATCTATGTAAATATTTACATATTCAAAACATAACTTTAACTTCACACCACCACCAGACAGTAGGTACCGTGGAGCGAAGCCACAGAACACTCAATAAGTTCATTCGTTCATACATCTCAGTTGACAAAACAGATTAAGATGTATGGCTGCGATTCTTCTTATAATGTTTTAATACAACCACATCTATGGCACATGACTATTGTCCATATGAGCTAGTTTTTGGTAAAATTAAAAATCTACCAAAACATTTTAATAGCATAGATAAATTCAAACCCCTTTATAATATAGAAGATTATGCTAAGGAATCCAAATTTAGATTAGAACAGGCATTTAAGAGAGCTACACTAATGCTAGAACCTCATAAGCTAAAACAGAAAATTGGTTACGACAAAACTAGTTTAGATTTAAAAATAGGAGGTCAGGTTTTATTGAAAAATGAAACGGACATAAGTTAGATATGAAATATACAGGTCCTTATAAGGTAGAACAAATAGGAGATAGAGATAAAATAACCATAATAAATAATAAAAATAAAAAGCAAATAGTACATAAAGATAGATTAAAACTCTTTGTTTCATAATCAATTTTCATAAATATATCACGTATGGCCATACATAATATAAGAGCACATAGGATAACCATATCTAAAATAAGAAAACACAAAAAAAGAGGAAAAAAAATTAATAACAAAAAAATTTAATAATATTGTTATAAATAATATCATATTTTCTCAAAGTTTGTAAAATTAGTACTAGAAAATAACTCCATTATATTACGTTATTTGGCCTCTTTAGCTCCTAAGTAAAATTGGATCAACAAGAACCTCCTTCGAGCTCGGAGCGGCAACAACGGCTGCTCCGAAAACAAATCAATAAATAATAATAAATTACAAAAATCTGAACCTATGTATCTTCTTTATTTGGATTGGAGCGGGAACACTACAGAGTATCGGAAAAAAGCTAGCGAGATAGAGTATTAATTAATTAAAATATTAATAAGTTAAATTTAAATAGATTGACAAAGAATAACATAAATGGTTAGAACTTAAATAAACTTAAATATTTCAAGGAAATACCTCTAGGTTTTAGAATCTAAAATATTATTGATTCGTGAACAACGTTGTAAATATGATTCTGGCAAGAAGTTAATTAATGTTCGCTTATGATTGACGTTCGCTTTGGGCGAATTTCACGACCAAGAAGGCCAAGGACGAAAGCAAATCCTGTGCTATTTGCACAAGCGACCGAGCGAAACTTTAGTTAAACGAACACAGATAGAAAAAGAATAGCTTCCGGCTCTGCCATGTACACCTCTCACAGGCTCCCTTTTACCTTGTAGTACTTCAAGTATCACTGCTTCGTTCAACCCCCTAGTACCTGCTTCCGAAAACGGAGTGCAAATATTTACAATTTAAAATTTCCACTATTGTTTACTTAAGCCAACTGTGAATACGGCTGTGGGTGCCACTTGCGCTCTTTATGAGGGAGACAAGGTTGGGGGCTAACTTCTGTTTAAAGTCTGAAAGCCTAAACTGGAAAAGAACAAACTTACCGCCTGTCTGGCCGTTGGGCTAAAACGGCAATGGTAAAATGTATGTACTCAGATAGACCAAAGAGTAATAAATTTACTCCGCTCCTTATTTCGCTACTTGTTTCAGATTTTAAGATCAACATTCTAATCCAACTTTTGGGCTTATGAGTAAATCTGTTCAAAAGTTGCATATGTGAAGGGGAAAGCCATTATTAAATAGTACTACAGTTATCGATCCGCAAAATTGTCACAGAGAATATTAAAAGGGTTTAAAAAATTAATAATTTAAAAAGTTATATTTTGATCTGTTTTTAAAAAAATATATATATACCATTTGAATGAATTAAAAAAATATTCAGGTGGAATAAAACAAAAGGGTTAAAAATCGTTGTTTTTAGAGATTACAAATTTTGTAGCTTAGCTTTTATAGTTTTTAAACTCTGTTTTTTCAACTACTGATGCTAATCAATATTAAGTATACTTTATAGAGTCAAAAGTAACTGTTTCATTGCTTTCCAAACTTGTAAAATTACAAGTATATAAGTATAAATATATGAATATTAAAGGCCATTAGATACAACTGAGACTTCAGTCCAAGTCTTAAGGGAAACTTACCCCTCTTATAATACCCTGCCAGGAATATATCTTTATAATATAAACGTATCGTTCCATCTTACATTTTTAACCGCATCAAAAATAATGCAATAATTTCGAATATGCAGCAAATAAGTTCTATAAGTTCGACTAACTCTATTAAGAGTTTGGTTAGTTTACCTTCGTGCAGCAAAGCTTTTGTTTTTTATGCAACATACATATATATAAGTTAGTTGTGCTTCCAATTATTAAAGTTTGCCATTGTACGTGACCGACTTCTAATTAATCAATACTGATTAGACTGGTACGGCTTCCCTTCCCGGTGCGTCAGTATCTGCGGGCAAAGTGGCTAGTCAGTCGGTCACCAGACGGCAGGTGTAATGGAGCGTTGGCAGAACAAAGTGGCTGTGGTCAGCGGAGCTAGTGCTGGTATTGGAGCGGCGTGCACTCGGGCCTTGCTCTCCGCCGGCATGGTGGTCATCGGCTTGGCGAGGCGACAGGAACGCGTTGAGCAGCTTCGAGAAGGCCTAAGAGCTCAAGAACAGAACCGTCTGCACGCCATTAGATGCGACGTGAAGGACGAAGAGCAGGTGTCGGAGACCTTTGAGTGGATCCGGCGGCACTTGGGTGGTGTGGACGCACTGGTCAGTAACGCCGGAATTATAGCCCCTGGTGAGCTGAGTGGCCGGGACGACAGCGCGGCCATGCGGTCCACTGTCGAGACGAACATCATGGGTACCGTGAACTGTGTTCGGGAGGCATTCAACTCTATGAGAGAGCGCGGCACTGAGGGTCACGTGGTAATCATAAATAGCGTGGCAGGACAACAGGTGCCGAACTTGGGCCCAATGCTGCCTTCTCTTAACATCTACCCGGCCAGCAAGTTCGCCCTTCGCGCCATGAACGAAATCTATCGTCAAGAGTTCCAGCGCCACAAGACCCTTGTGAGGGTGTCGGTGAGTTTAATGTCCATTATCCATTCCTATTCCATGGCTCCACAGATCAGAACAAAGTTGTCATTGCAGACCATTAGCCCGGGAATGGTTGATACCGACATATTGCCCCAAGAGATCCAGGGTGTTGTTAAGCAGCACATGCCCATGCTACGTAGTGCCGACGTGGCAGATGCAGTTCTGTGGACCATCGGCACTCCGAGCAATGTTCAGGTGAGATACATATCTTCTATCTTCTATCTTCTATATATATAAAAATGAATTGCTGTTCGTTAGTCTCGCTAAAACTCGAGAATGGCTGAACGGATTTATCTTATCTTGGTCTTGAATTATTCGTGGAGGTCTAGGGAAGGTTTAAAAGGTGAGAAAAATTCGATTAATTGCCGGGAAAATCCTCAAAACAGTATTTTTCTATTTCCCATACAAACGTTTTCTAAATAAAACTACCTTACATCTACCGCCCTCTACAGGCAGCCAAAGCATTTCCTGTCAAACATTCAAAACATATTGAAATAAGGAATTGGAGATAAAAATTTTATTTTTTTGTTCAGGTTCAGTAAGAAACGAAGTCCTGCCACCCAAGAAGTAGAGTTTGGGTCGTCGTAAGCGTAATACAGAAGCAAAAAGACGTAAGATTACGAATATAACTGACGAAGAACGGGCCTCCATCCGAGAGACTGAGCGGCTGAGAGCAATGCAGATGCACAAAGAAGAATCAGCAGAAAGACGAGCAGATAGGCTTGAGAGAAAACGATTAAGAGTTAGACAGTCGCGTTCTGCAGCAATTTGATTCACTCTCAAAATAATGAACGCGACAGGGCAAGGGTAGCTGAAGCGCGTTTACAGCTTGCAGAAGATCAGATATAATCCAACTATTGATTACAGCTCGAATCGAATGTCGTTATTGGCCGGATGCATCAGGTCTGCATATACTGTCACGCCTCTTAGATTGAATCAGACGAAACTTCGGTCCGAGGAATATATCCATTTGCGGGATGCTGTGATGAATGCTGCAACTCTTTTGAAGGATGGCAAAACTGCTCATTCTACTTTTAAACTTCCACTATCTGTCAATCTTGAACAACAATCTACAAGTTCCATCCGCAAAAATGGACCTATTGGTAAATTACTACAAGACGCCTCATTGATTATGTGGGACGAATGCACGATGAGCCATAGAGCACATATAAGAGGCCGTGAACAGAACCTTACAGGATCTAAGGAACTCCTCTGCAGTCATGGGCGGGATTACTTTTGTATTTGCTGGAGATTTTCAACAGACTCTCCCCGTTATTAACAGAGGCACGCGAGCAGATATCATCGTAATACAGAAGCAAAAAGACGTAAGATTACGAATATAACTGACGAAGAACGGGCCTCCATCCGAGAGACTGAGCGGCTGAGAGCAATGCAGATGCACAAGGAAGAATCAGCAGAAAGACGAGCAGATAGGCTTGAGAGAAAACGATTAAGATCGATTTGATTCACTCTCAAAATAACGCGACAGGGCAAGGGTAGCTGAAGCGCGTTTACAGCTTGCTGAAGATCAGATATAATCCAACTATTGATTACAGCTCGAATCGAATGTCGTTATTGGCCGGATGCATCAGGTCTGCCTCTTAGATTGAATCAGACGAAATTTCGGTCCGAGGAATATATCCATTTGCGGGATGCTGTGATGAATGCTGCAACTCTTTTGAAGGATGGCAAAACTGCTCATTCTACTTTTAAACTTCCACTATTCGTCAATCTTGAACAACAATCTACATGTTCAATACGCAAAAATGGACCTATTGGTAAATTACTACAAGAGGCATCATTGATTATGTGGGACATTGGGATTAAGGACAAATATGAGAGCTCATCTTCATGGAATCACTGATAGCGATTTCCCACAGCAACTGCTAAAACTTGGGGAAGGAATTTTTCCAACTCCAAATTTAAGCGGTCATTGTGACATTCTTCTGGATGAGTCTCTAGGCCAAATACTCCATAATTTGGAAAATTTAATAGATTCTGTATACCCTGATATCGAGAATTTGCACGAAAGAGACGTCCATTGGCTGTGTTCTCGGGCTATAGTATCACCTAAGAATGATACTGTCAATGAAATAAATAATCTGATTGTTCAAAAAGTCCCCGGCCAAACAAAAACATACAAATCGATCGACACTGTAACGAATATTGAAGATGCAGTCCATTATCCACAGGAATTTTTAAATTCGTTGAACCCTTCTGGACTGCCACCCCATGAATTGACGTTAAAAATCGGAATCCCAATCATGCTTTTAAGAAATTTAAACCCTCCAAGCATGTGTAATGGGAGGAGGCTGCTTATTAAGGAGTTAAAGGACAATTTAATTGTAGCAACTATTATCACTGGCCCAGCAAGTGGTCAACTAGCTCATATACCGAGGATACCGATGATCCCAACTGATCTGCCAATCCCATTTAAACGGCTTCAATTTCCGGTAAAAACATCTTTCGCATTAACAATTAACAAGTCCCAAGGCCAAACCTTCGAATTAGTAGGGATCGATCTGCGAAATAAATGTTTTACTAATGGTCAACTGTATGTTGGTCTATCGCGAGTCGGAGCCCCTGAAAATCAATTTATTTTGCTGCCACAAAATAAAACAACATCAAATATTGTTTACAGAGAAGCACTAACTAAATAAATGTAATAAACTCAATAATTGAATAAAAAGGATGAATATGTGTCATATTATTATTATTATTATGAATGTGTTAAAATTGACTAATCTAAATGTAATGGGATCAGTTGTCATCATGCTGCGTAACATTAATCAACCTCGACTATGCAATGGAACAAGACTGGCTGTGAAAAGACTGATGAATAACGTCATTGAGGCGACAATCATAAAAGGAAAATACAAAGGAGAGGATGTCTTGATCCCGCGGATATCGATGATTCCAACGGACTTACCATTCGATTTTAAACGGTTACAATTTCCAGTGCGTCTGGCCTTTGCGATGACCATAAATAAATCGCAAGGACAGTCGTTAGAAGTTTGTGGAATCAACTTGGAGTTTCCCTGTTTCGCGCATGGACAATTATACGTCGCGTGTTCGCGCGTCGGAAAACCGTCTTCTTTGTTTATTTACGCACCACAAAACAAAACAAAAAATATAGTTTATGAGAAAGCTTTAAATTAATTAACAGACTGTATTTTAACAGTGTGTGTCTGTGAATATCAAAATATTTAAATAGAGCGATAATCCCAAAAAGTTTTCCAGAAATTTAAATGTTTATTAGTATGCTAATCGAATAGAAATATAACATAAAAATCGTATTAAAACCTTGTTGTAATTCTATACAAACAATTTTGTACTCAATGTTACTTATGCACTTAATTATTTTTGTAGCATGTTGCTTTAATTGGCAGACTATTATATAAATATATATTATTAATTATTTATATTATATATATATATATAATATATATATTTTTTTTTATCATTCACAGGTGCATAATATAACCATCAAGCCGCAAGGAGAAAAGTTTTAGAATTAATTGGCTAAAACTGATCTTGCATTTGGAAGCCACAAACCTTCGCATTACTTGAAGTCTCTTAATTAAATAAAGGAGTAAAAAATTAAACTTCCTTATAATTCACAATGGCGTTCATTATTTTGTCAGAAATTTGTTCGGAATACCCGAAGTCTCTAAAAGTTTATGCAAAGGAAATGCGATATCTGAAGACTTAATTTCTTCAAATTTCGAAGCAAAAAAGAAAATAAATTTTACTATTTTATAATTTTTTTGGAGTTCATTTATTTCATTTATGTAAAAATTATACAATACAATGTAATAAAATAAATTAATACAAAGTTAATGATTGTGCACGGGATACAAAAGATACTTGACCAAATCCAATGTAGTTGCCTTTCGCAATTTTACTTACTTACGTTAAACACACATAAAAGAGAAATTGAGGAATTTATTAAAATTTATCAAACACCTAAAAATCTTTTAATTAAATTGTGATACACACTGGTGGCCATTTTACAACAATTAAAATATCTCTATAATTATTAAACTAATAATTAGTTCTAGTGAGGTTGTTGCTTTTAGGTGCTTGGTTTTTCTACTTTGCAAATTTCTCTGAATGTTTGTTCTTTGTAAGTCTCTCCTTCTGAAACTTCTGAAGAGTCTCTACGGAAAAAAGGAATCAGAGCTGGTTTATGCAACATGTATTTATGTAGATCAACTCACTCGACCTCGGAGCAGTCGGAGAAATCGCCATATTCCAAGGGGTGTTTGCATATACAGCATTTATGTTTGGACTCTTCATAGCACTCATCACAATAGATCCCTTTGCAATTCGGCGTGTTGCAGAAATGGGAATTTGATCTGAAAGGGGGATATCCTGGTAAAGTCCATCGATCTATAGAAGCTATGTACTTACGAGGTCAGAAGTCTTTCGCATATGATGCAGTGGTCTCCTAACGGACAGCAGCAGCAGCAGCTGCGGATATGAAAGGGGATTGTTTAGAGGAGACACAATAAAAAAGAGAACTAACTTCGAGATGCCGAAGATCAAATTAGAAAAACATAAGTGGAGGTTTATACAATCAGTATGCCTGACTGGCTCTACGAAAATCAAATCTCACCATGAAAATTTTACCCTCAGCCAGGTGAGCCATCGGAAGGTCGAAACCTTTCCCTGGTGTATTATTTCATTTCGCACCCTGCGACGCTCAAACTTAAAATTAGTAACTAAATAGAAAAGAATAGATTAGAGCCAGGCTAGGTGCACTCTTCTTATTTTTCTTACTTCTTGACTCGCTGATCTTTCTGTACAGAAATAAGCGTCTCTCAACTGCTCTTTTTGGGTAGAAATGTTCCATGATGATGTGGCGGGTGCGCAGGATATACGGTTCAAGCGCCACGAGGATCCACGCTAACAGAAGGATCACCAACATCTTAACGTATCGTATGTAGTTGGGCTCAATGGGAAGTGGAAGGCAGAGATTGCTGTCGATCGTGGTTTTCTGCGTCAGGGGTCGGAAGGCTCCTGCTATTCCTCTCATGACGTCGGCAACGAATCCGCCACCCTTGATCTCCAAGTCAATGTACGCGGGCACCTCCAGGCCCTTCTCTTGGTGGCCGTAGTAGGACATCATCGCCAGAAGCCAAAACAAGCCGTAGTCCAAGAGGCAGATAGTAAAAATTTGCAGGCATGCGGTCATCATAAAAAACGTGTTTTCCACTATGGAAAAGATCTCGAGCACCGTCAAGCGACCACTGGTTATCTGCAAGCATACCGCGTAATTTAAAATATCTCTCTTTTTAAATACCCGAAAATGGGTTTCACGGGATAAACGAATGAATGAAACTAAAAACTGACCTGTTTTGACTTATGTATATATTAGTGAAAGTATAAAGAAGACTAAATGATAAGTTTTGTTGAGATAGTCTCAAAACTGAGAGACTTGATTGCGTAGAAGCAGACAGACGGACATGGCTAGATCGATTCGGCTGTTGATGCTGATCAAGAATATATATATATTATATAGGGTCACTGCGTTGCAAACTTCTGACTTAAATTATAATACTCAACAAGGGTACAAAAATATAATTTAATCTTAGAAAGAAAGTTAAAACTTATCTCTAATCATTTTTCGGGCGGACAGAATTAAAATTTTCGATAGAATTAACTTTGCATACTCAACCTTCATGTACTTTGGTGTCTCGAGTCGACCGAGTGGCAGTACTGGATAGAATCCGTGCCTCACGTAGCGCTGGTCGAGCTGTTCAAATTTTTTGGTAATGTAAACGTTCTGAAAGTGCCGGCTGTTCATGTAGCGGATGTAAAAGACGATAGCTCTGATAAAAACAAAAGTAAAACATATTGTGAAGTGAACTAATAGCGTACGTAATAACGTACTTAAGGAAAACTGTAGAAAACATTATCATGCTGAGAACATCCGTAAAGCTTTGAACGTTGTAAAACGGCGATAGTCGCTCGTTGATATCTTTCATTATCTCCTCTCCGACGTCCGACAGACTTTTCGAGGCATTGGTATCGAAGAAAAACTTGTGCTCGAACGTTATATTGGCGTCGAACATTTGCTCTATGTGCCGCACAAATTCCCGATACCCTAAGGGGAGAAACATTATTGGCCAAAGATAAGGGCTATATTAATGGCTATTATGTACGCAGCAATATTTTGTCCAAAAGGTCCCAGGTGAAATCCCAATATCCGCTGCAAAAGACATCGATGAGCTTTGCAGGGTAGCACAGGGCCAGGAAAAACTTCGTAAAATGGCAGACCGCCTTCAAGACGCCCATCTTTGCCTGGCATCTGACCATAGCTTTGTGCGCAGTTTCCTTACAGCGCGCCCATGGAGATCCCATTTCCGTATTGCACAGATCCAAGATGGATTTTAGCCACTCCGCGCAGTTCTTGAGAGTGTCAACTGAAATAACCTCAGCACATGAAATTTTATGATTAAGCCAGCAGGACGAAACAAAAGGCCTCGTCTAGAACTTACTGACGACTATGAGGTGCACCTGCATACGCAGAAGTACAGACATGATTTGATTGAGCACTTTATTCACTTCCTGAAGCATGAGGTCCACGGCCAGCCGAATGGCGTTCACCGGCTCCAGGATCACGTCAAGCATTTGGCCAAGGGCCAGGCGCAGCAGCTCCTGGCCGCAGGCGAGGCTCCGCAGCAGCACCTCAAGGTTGGCCAGAATGTTTGTCGCGGGTCCGATCGATACAAAGATGAAGGCCACACTGACGAGGAAGCCCCTACCGCGGGAACTGCACAAGGAACACATAGCCAGGAATAGGATGCATCTGTTGATACAGTGTTAGTTACCTTGATAGATTCAGAGTATACACTAAATAGCCCACCTTGTGGCCCGCCAGTATAGGAGCACCAGAACAAGGACCACCGGGCACACAAACCTCAGCTGGATGCGAAGATCCCGTTCACTGAACTCCCAATCCCACCAATACCAGCAAAGAGCTATGACGAGTCCAGCCCCGTACCCAAGGAATACAAAGGGGCTTACCGCCATGAGTGTCCACGGAGCCCTTTTATATTTTTTGCTTCTATACATATCACAGTTGACCTTTTAGAGAGTCATCCACTTAAATTCCAAAGTTTGGCAGGCGCTTTTCTAAAAAACACAGGCCTACTCCGGTATTCCCTTTTCTCAAGATTGTATTCAAAGAAAGACAACCCGATTTGAAAATCATCCAAAGGGTCAAAATATAGTTAAGTTATACTATTTGAAAATAAGGCTTTATATTTCATCGGATTGCTTTATCAAATCGATTAAACTATCCGCATTCGTTCATTAATTTGAGAACCTAAAAAACTCACCACGAGTTCAATGTTTCAAAGTTAGTTTATTTAAAACTAGTTTATTTCAAATGTTATTCCCTAGCAATCTTTTAGGCTTTGGCTTTCCCCAGGGAAAAGGGTCATGCAATAACCCTTCTGATTTGATCTTTTGAGGGAATTATTTTTTCAAGTGTCGGCTTTTGTGTGAATAAAGGTTCCATGTGACTGAAGATGTAGGCAGAGATCAAATGAGAGCCCCGAATGTAGAGAACCATAAATACATTTGTACACATATATGTAACCACTCGTTTTTCTCTTTGACCACTGCTTAAAAGTGTACTAAATCTAAGTTTATACGATTAGTTTTATTAACTCAATATTCACCCTTATTTACTTGGCACACGGGATTGATAATTATGCAGAGTAAACGGGGCGGTTGTAGAATTTCCCTATTTGTGTTAAAAACTTTGCATATTTTCGAATCGATTGTGCTTTGGCAGAAGTGTATAAACTGATTTCATGAGTTGAGTATCCCATAAACGCAGTTAATGTTAAAGAGAGGGAATTTTCTGTTTTGTTTTTCCAAGCGAGACGCATGAAAGGTTTACGTATGTACAGAGTTTACTCTATGTGGTCTTTTACTTTCGCTGCTTTGAACTTGCAACGGACGTTGATTCCACACAAAATTCAGTTTATATTTTACTGCTTAGCGTTTCGCAGCTTATGGAGACCAGTTTAAATAATTTTCCTTATATTTAGTTATACATAGTTATATCTATGAGCAAACAGTGAATAAATGTTGTAATTAGTGCATTTTGTCTCACCTTGCAAAGTTTTAATTAATTACCACGCCCGCATTCCTATAAACATGGGACGGTGCTTCAACTATAAGTTTGTGCTTAATATTTGTAATTTATTGTTTTTGGTGAGTCGATGACCTTGTAGGTTAAAGAGAATTATTTCCAAACAAGTTTAAAATGAGTGTAACTAACATTATATATGAGGTGTTGCTAGATTATTAGAAATCCGTCTATGTTGATGCTTTGTATTATGACTAATATATTATATTAACAATTTTCGATGCTCTGAACCGGAACTACAACACATTTGCATTAAAACGCAAAAAGAACTGTTTGTAGAATGATTTTCGGCATTCCAACTTTAAGAGTGTTTAATGCAACTTGGATTAAATAACAAATGTAGGTCGCAACAAAACATCAATGCAAATAGTGTTTAAAAACTAAAAAAGGTACACTGTTAAGGAATAGCTTTTCCGAGTGGGGGAGTGATGTTTATTGGATGTGTATAAGAGCGGTGAACATCAGGAAAACTAAATAAAACTAATACTAGCGCTTTTATCAAAACTGTACGTGCTTTTTGTATTCTCATGCAACTCAAACTCTTCTTCGCTTAATAATCGCTTATGTGCTATCGGTTTCTGAATCGGGACTTCCTCTGGACCACAACCTGCTCGTTACACTGTTTTTATTTTACAGATACAATATATGTACATATATTTTGTTCTGTTTGCAACAAAAAAGATGTGGACTGGACGTGGATGTAGATAGACTCTGCTCATTACATCAATTGATAATTTATACACCTCATAGGGTCGAAAATTAATACTAAGTACACTGTGATGCAGCCTTTAGAACCGCTAGAAGAATCAAAACAACCAACTCGTTATATAATTACTATAATAATAATATTTGTTTTTTCAGATATGTGGCTTACTGTTGATCCTATCAGGTTGCTACCTCTACTCCGACAACAAGCGTGTTCTGCTGTCCAGGATGCTGGCCGCTTCCAGCGATCGGCTCAGCTCACTCTCCCATCCCTTACTTCATTATGTGGCACTGGGAGTGGCCATCGCGGGGTTTGTGGCAGTGCTGGCAGCTGTTGTGGGCTTCTGGGCCAGCTGCCTTCACACCTATTGCATCCTCAGTGTGTACTTCTTTAGCGTCGTGGTCCTTCTTCTGACTGAGTCGGTCATGTGCTTAGCCATAACCCTCTGGCCCCACTGCCTGGGTATAAGCCTAGATGAGGGCCAAATGGTGAGATCCCTTCAGAGCAACTACGGAGTACCGGGGCAGGAGCTCTTTACGAACGCCATGGACTTGGCACAGGTACACTTTGGCTGTTGCGGTATGAGGAGTTCTTTGGACTATGACACATCGCTGTGGCGCCTCCAGAGTTATGGGCAGCGGAGTTGGTCGGTGCCACTCAGTTGCTGCGTGCTGGAAAATACGCCAAATCCATTGGCTTACCTGGATCCTAAGCCTGCAAATGAATCGCTGTGCCAATCCATAGAGCGGTTGTCATACGAAAGAGAGCGCCACAGTGGGTCATGCCTCCCACCTCTGAACGATTGGTATCGGAAGCAGTACAGTATCTTTCTCGGTGCCAGCCTGATATTGGCTGTGGTTGAGTTTTGTGTTCTGCTTGGTATTATTATGAGCTGCACCGGAATAGCTTCACAGCGGGCGAAGCTCAAGAACCTAACTCAAAAGATGAGAACTCAAAATCGCCGGGGGATCGCTGTTAAGTCGCGAGAGACTCTAATAGGAAACATATACGACCCGGAAGTGGAGCTTAATGCGAATACCAATCACAGCATCGGTGAAATATATCTCGAATCAGGTAGAAGACACATGAGAAGTGAGGACTTTAAGGAATTAAGTATTAATCCCAAGAACTTGTATAATCAACAACATATTATAGCACGTAACCCTATTTCTATAGGAAATAGTTTGATTTAAGCTCATTACCCAAATACAAAACTACAAATATTACGTTTTATTTGTAAATACATTAAAATTTTGCTCAATGTTGCTCTTAAAATATTATTTGGAAATATATTTCGATAATAAGAAAACTTCGTTTCATAATATTAATCTTAACATGTTATTAAACTGTTGGATCCTTGCGTAAGCAATAAAACTCAAAAATTGCTTTTTAAAAAATAAGTGCAAGTGAGAAGGATTTCAGATTTATTTTTTTTGTTAAACATATTTTATTTTTTAATTATTAATTATTATTATCAATCAGAAAACTCCGAAAGCTGCTAACGAGACAGAGTCAAGTTTGTTAACTAGTAGCTATAAGTTCTTTTAGGAGCTTTAAAAGACTAAAAAGAATTGTGTGACAGACGCATTCGAATTGTATTATTTTTATTTTTAACTTCAGAGTCCTGAAACCACTTTCATTATATCCTGGTGGTCTTTTTTATTTTAGATGAAATTAAAACATAGAGAAATTAATCTGAAGATCATGTCGTTCTTTTCTGGTAAGCAAGCACTAATAATGCGGAATATTGGAATCCAACTGACCAACGAGAAAATAATTACCAATAAACCTTATGTCATAATAATCATTAAGTATGCATTGTTTTTCCTGAAACATCAAAAAAATTAATGAAAATAATAACCATTCTTATAGATACAGGTATTAATCTAAAGATAATGTCGTTCTCTTCTGTTAAGCAAGCAGTTATAATGCGGAATATTGGAGTCCAACTGACCAACGACAAAATAAATACAAATAAACTTTAATTAATCATAAGCAATAAGCATGCATTGTTGTTCCTGAAACATCAAAAAAATAGTGAAAGCGAACACCCCAATTTTAATTAATTTTTCTTTAATGCTTCATATCCTTAAACCTAATTATAGACCATTCTTTAAAGGACGAACTAGTAGTGATGATGGTTAGCGAGCAACTTGAGTAAAGGCGACTGACCTTCCGGTTGCATTCTCACATCTATCAAGGCTTCGGAAAATTCCGAGCACAGTGAGCATCCGCAGCTAGAGGGCACATCATGCTGCAAGAAAAATATTGATTATGTTTTCACAAAATTCAATTTAGAGCATACCTTTTGGGTAAACGAGTGGCCATCCGCACAAAGCATTTTCACTGAGATCGGCTGAAAGGACTTAATGTTGCAACAAGTGCAGAATTTCTCGTGAATGTCGGTAAGTGCATTGTACTTGGACCCTGAGGAACAGGCACCCTGACATTCGGTGAAGCCCTGAATGGGTTCGGCGTTGACACAAATCCCGTGGCCGGGCTTGGAAAATTTGAGCAGCTCCTTGGTTTGTGACTCCGCCAAGGATACAGGCAAACAGGTAGCTGCAAATTAAAAAAGCGTATGTAAGAAAAAACTAACATGTTTGAATTCTACCCACATTTATCTGCCACAATCGGTTCCAACTTGCAGCGCTGACAGCAACCATCTTGGTACAAGAGATGAGAGAGGCAGCCACTGACATCCGGACATATTTCCTGTGAGGTTGTAACTAAAACCAGATCATCCTTTTTCAGGCAGCTGTACGATGTGCAATTGTCGGCCGATTTCCAATGCGAATTAATTTCATACAGCTTATGATCGAAGACGCAAGCGGTTTGGACACATTTGCCACAGCATTTCGCTTTGTCTGTCTTCTGATAACTGAAACCTTGGGCGCAGTCGGTTACGCACTGTTCCAGAGTGCTCACCACCTGGGATTTGCCATCTGGACCGTACGTACAAGACTCGTGTTTGCAAACGTCCTTGGCATGGGTCCATTTTTCTCCGACCTGTTTAGTAAACTTTGAGGACTCGCCAAGCTCATATTGAATAATGCAGAGGTCCTTGGGAGGCACTAAAAGAACACACAGTTTAAGGATTATTTAAATAAATAATAGTGTGTCTTTCGCCTACCGCACGCATGGGTGGGACAGCAACTTCCGGGGTCCTTGGTAGTTTTGACCTCATAAAATCGTTCTTGACAGGACATCGGTGCTTTAGGACACAGCTCCGGTTGACAGACGATCTTCTGAGTGGGGCAGCAGCCTTCCTCAACCTTTACAAGCTTCTCCCCCGGAAGCAAATCCCGTGGTGGTTTCAAAATCTCACACTCTTCCTTCGGCTTACACTCTACAAAATGCATTTGAATTGATTAAACAAGACAATAATCCAATTTTACAGGAAGCCTCACCGCATATGTATTGGGGACATCCATTGACATCGTTTTTCTGCTTTTTAAATTGTCCGGGGCCACAGATTGGCATCAGGGGAGCCAAGCATACCTTGGCCGGGTCCTTGGGCTCTGGAACACATCGATACCTGGGGCAGCACTCCTCGTCACTGACAATTATCTGGGGTTTGTAATGCTCGGCACAGATGTTCTCCTCGACCTGGCATTTCTTTTCCACACAAGAAGTTTTCCCGCTCTGATCGCACTCACACTCGTTGCATTTATCCTTCTGCCATTTATCGCCAGGCAAATGCAGACCATCGTCGCACTTTGTACAGGCTATTTCGGGCACACACTTGCCGCTATCCATGACTTGACCCGCAGGACAGAAGCAACCTTCAAAGCGCTCTGAGCTCAAGCACATATCGTCACTCTTCACAGTATGGATTATGGTCTGGCTCTTCAGACTAACAGCATCGTAATCCGACATGGCTTTAATTGTGTCGCAGTTCTTGGCACATCCACACGGTTCGTAGACCATATCACTGGGACACTCATATGGACACAACTGTGGCCTTCTCCAGTTAGTGCAGATTCCGTGTTGGTTGCATTCCTTAGCATACGCAGCTAGGGCTACGCAGACTGCCTGCTGGGTATTGCCAGGCTTGCAGATGTCCTGCTGGCAGGAGGACACATAGGCAATAGGGTCGACGACAAGCGGGCACTTGCCAAACAGCTCGGGGTTGTAAAATTGCAGGCAGGGATCCTTCTCCTTAGGCAAAAGCTTACACTGTTCCTTGGGTACATCCTCGCTATGGCATCCTTCGACAAGCCCAAGCTTGGGTTCATCCGCTTGCCAGCTCTGAATTACGTCCACTCCCGGCTTCCTCTTAGCAGGATTCGGCTGCAGATCATTTGAAGCGTTTCCATTGCAGTCGCCACAGAGTCCCTCCATCTTGCTTCCATATCTGATGCTCGGCACGCCCACGGAAAAGATCATACCCTCGAAAGAGACAGTCAGCTCTACATGAGATTCTATAAGGGAGAGTACAAGCTCCTTGCCAACCACCTGGCGAAGACTAATCCAACTGTCCTTGAACGGTATTTTCTTAATCTCAAATCCATCTACCAGGATCTGCAGGGAGTTTTTGTTTTGCGGAGAGCGCTGTATATGAATCACGTGGTCTCCATTGATAATATGAATGGATTTAACACAGCTACCATTATCAACAGGGGTGGTCTGCCCCAGCTTCTTGCAGTCATCCATGCTAGCATACACCTGGAATGTATGCACACCAGGGAGCACCACATCTCGAGACATCAGGTAGGTGCAGTTTCCATTAAAGCTAAATGGCTTACGGTCGTAGGTCATGTACTTGGAGGCACCCAGGGCGTTGCACACACAATCCTTGCACTCTGATATTGGCACACACTTGGATTCCTTTCTCACAGTTCCTTCGGGACAGTAGCAGCCTGGGAAGCATGCATCTGGAAGCACGGGACAGTCATCGCCATGAACGTTATCACAGGAAGGCTCGCAGCGTCGCTTATAGCAGTCAGTATGCACTAATGGAGCAGGACACTTGATTTCACACTGAGCCACGGCTCTCCAGGTAGTTAATTGTACCAACGGATTAACGCTCAGGCACTTCTTCACAAAGCTCTCTAGAATATTGCACTTGCATGCGCCAGTATCCCCGTTGTTTGCCAACATGCAATCGCAGGCAGCTTCGAGGCAGTAGTTGTTCAGGAACTGTTTATAATTGACAGACTTGTGGCAGCGAGCAAAACTTGGATGACTGTAATAAACAAAGCAGGACAGACAGTCAATATAAAAGAGGATTGCAATGACGAGGATTTATGATATAGTTTTGAATTTTTATACATTAAAGTAAATACTTTAAATGAATTTGAAAACTATACTTACTGTATGATATTACACAGCTGTAGAGCCTTAGCCTGCATGTCTCTGGAACACTTGAGGTCTCCACACTGATCCTTGGGCACTCGCTTGTCGTACCAACTGTCCCCGAACTTCTCGGTATTTGCAATTATCTGTCCATCCGGGGATCTCTTGTCGTCCTTGGGGTTTCCATTGTAGTATCCGCACAGACCATCCACAGTTTTTATGAACTTAGATGAGATGCCCACTTTGACGATTCCAATATCATCAAGTTGCACCCAGAACCCGTATTTTGTAGACACGGCCAGGAGGGTTTTGCCCGGCTGAGACACCACAAAGGAAGCCTTGCAGATGGGTGAGTTAATTAGCTGCTGTACTGTGAACTCGAACCCATTGAACTTGAGCTTCAGATGGGGAAGGAGAATCAGCTCGTTTCCAGCGTGTATATCCTGTATGGTGATCACTTTATGACAGACCTTCCGAGTCTCGTCGCTGCATTGCTGATGGACTGCAAAGATATGTCAATTATATTTATCAATTATTGTATTGATATGACCTAAAATTAGGTGCTTCACTCATTCATACCCGATATCGACCAACTGCCGTTGTGAATGTCTCTGGCCAAGATGTGACTGCATGGTCCGTACTTGAACACAGTTCCGTCAAAAGTGGTAAAGCTTTTTCCACTGATCTCACAGACATCGTCCTTGTTGGGTCTAAGTACGCAGGCATATTTAAGGCAGTCTCCCGCCTTGGCATTGCTCATATCTAGCTCTACGTCGTATTTCTCCGGACACTTTGGCTCCGCACAGCTGATGGTTTCGTTCTTGTCCACCTGCTTACTGGGAATGGGGACACAGGTGAACTCGTCGCACTGCTCCTCCTGGTAATAGTCTAGTTCCTGGCTGGGCATAGCAAGAATTTGTTCCTTTGACGAAATGAACTTGGTCTTGGTAATGGTGGTTCCGTCATCCACTATCGAGACTTGTTTGGAGAAGGTAAACATCTTTGACATTTTTCTTAACTTTTTCTCAGTAATTTTAATCTTCATCTGAGGTGGGCAGACGGGTACCGGACACGTGATGACTTCAGCTGAAAGAAGAATACGTGACGTAAGAATTTTGTGTATCTGACGGTTGACTTTTATGCTCACTCTCATTCTTTTCCCGACTAATATCGGGCTCCACGGTGTATGAGTCCCTGCAGCTGGAATCCTCATCGTCAGCACAGTCCTGAACGCCATTGCACCAGAGAACTTCGGGGATGCAATCCCCACTTGAAGGGCATAGTCTTTGGTGCTTGGGGCATGGCTCACATTTGCAAAAGCAGTCACTGGTTATCACCGGACGCAGGTTGGCGTCCTGACAGGGCAGGCATTTCTTAGGCTTGCAATTCTTGTGTCCGCCGAGCACACAGACGCACTCCTCGCAGGCTGAGTTCTCGAACTTAGTGCCAATTGGATAACTAACGTAGTTTTCCACACAGGGACAGAGATTGTGCTGTACACAATTCGTGCCATCCCAAAAGAGAGGTTCTTGACACTGACACTCTGAGCTCGGACTGGAGGTAGATACACCTTCGCAGATATTGCATTTTGTAGGCGTGGCTTTGTCCACAGGTACGACGCGTTGAATTTCAGCTATAGAAAAGCAAAATAGTTTTTTGTTAACCGGCCATTTATCTGACTGCCATATAAGTAAATTTGTTACAAATAAGAATAGGAAAGGTTGGACCGAAACGAAAAGTTCAAGGATATACTTTCGGCATTTCGAAGTTACCTTTCATTTCTTGTTAAACTTGTAAAGTTTGACCATTTCACAAATCCAAAAATTGTAATAGCTGATTTCGAGCATTGGCATACAATTAGTTGCAGAGATATAGGGATTATCAAAAAGTATGACTTACGGTATGGCAAAAAGCATCCTAGGGGTTCGATGCGCATATTAATGTTTTTTTCCCATTTTGCTGGCATAACCTTAATATACTGCGCCAGAATGGGTTTCTTGAAATGATGTCTGCGCTCAGTTTCAGCATCTACGTTGGCCTCAAAGATGCGCGGTTGTCCATTCGTTGAGAGGACGGTGTTCCATGTGGGCTTCTTCTTAGAGAACATCACTTTGTATCCAGTGACCCAACCATCCTTCCCACCCTTTGTGATAAAGCCGGAAATATTTCGCAGTTCCAGGAAATCAAACTCGATGAACTCGTTTTGACTGTTGGCCAGGGGACGCCAAGCCTGGGGTGTAGATATATTCAGCAGGTCCAGCAGCCGTAACTTCCTGGTCGGCTGAGCCTGCTGCCACAGGCTGCTAGACTGAACCTGCTCCTCGTACATCTTACCCTCTGCCACGCCCATTAGATCGACGCAGTCCTGATCCTGCAGCTGAACTGGACTCTCAGTAATGGGTGAGGGGGTTGAAAACATAGATTTTGGCTCAGCTTCCACCTTATCTCCGCAGATTAGCAGCTCCACACGCATGGCAATGGAGCCGTGCCATTTTAGTGGATAAATTCGGAGAGAGCTCGCTTCGATTGGTATATTAAAAAGTGTCTGGACCAAAGCCCTTGAATCCAAGGGACCTTTGAACATTTGTGGCTTATCTGTTTCATCCACCAGATAGTGATATGCACTTCCATCATGACTGTGTAGAATCTAGAGAAAATGATTATGATGAGTAGGTTAAAGTAACGCCTCAAGATCCAATTCAAAATATACCTTGAAAAGAGTCACATAGTTGTCAAAGTCAGGACTTCCTGCCATGACGATACCATAGAATGGTTCCGGCTTGCCAAAGTTCAATTCCAGATACTGCATTTGATCATTGATGCTGGGCGACCAGCTACCCTTGTCATGCTTCTTAGTCAGACGAGCCATGCTGGGTCCGTGCTCGGGAGCCAATTGGGAACTTGCATTGAATATGCTATCAGGCTCTGAATGCTGATTGTAGTCGATCTTAGGAATAAGGCTGGAAAACCATCAACTTTTATTGAAGCTTCATCTAAGTGAATAATCTGTTTTCTTACCGTTCTGGGGAACAATGCAGAGGCGGAGTGAGGGTAACAGGAATGATAGGGACCACGGGCAATATTTCCACTTCCTCTGAAAGTTTACAATAAATAATCAAAACAAATCGAATTTCTTCTTTTAAATGTTACAGATAACCCGATATAAATGAAATACTGAACTAACCTTTTGGCACCTCGGGAACAACTTCCTGTTTATTGGGAATGCACGTGAAAGCATTATCGATGCACTGGCAAACCTCGAACTCTCCAAGAACTGGCTTGTGGGGCTGCACATAGTGCTCTGCCTTATCCATGCAAGGACATTCGTCGGCGTGTACACAAGTATCCTCGTCCCTCCAAAACTTGCCCTGCTTGTGACAGTCCGGACGCAGCTTATCTACACAACCGGCCTTGCAGTGCTCACCGGGCTGGCAGAGGCCTCGCTTTTTAAGGATGCTGCCGTAGTAGTGACAAGTGTGCTCGCACTGGTTGGCACAGGATGTCCAAACCTTGCCGTCCGGACACTGTTTGATGGGCTCTGGTTCAGGATCCAACCTTGTCTTCGTTTCACAGCTCGGCTTGATCTCCTTGACGGTGGCTATGTGATCGCAAATGAACATGGTGGGGTTAAACATGAGGTCCGAACCGCAGGTCTTCTCAATATAGATCCATCCACCATCCACCTTGGGCTGACAATGCAGGAACTTATGACAGTCTCCGGCGAACTCCTTATATTCTGCAATGGCAGCATCGCAGTTCAGGCCAAGTTGCGGCTTCTCAGTGGGCTTTGATACTTCTGCCAGTGGCTCCTCATCGCACTGGCAAAAAGCCCGCAATTCATAGTCGTGACACTTTCCAATGCACCTCAACCCCTCCTCCAGATTACAGATCACGTTCTCGTCCATTTGTTCTGGAGCTTCGTGAGTTTCCTTAACCCGGCACTCCACCTTGGTCATGTACTGCTTCAGGCAAGTGCCATAAACGCTCTCCATTCTATCGTAGCGCGGCAGCTTCTCCTCGTCGTTTAGTCGCACGCTCTTGTGCGAGGAGTCCCTGTCCTTGTCGCACCACCGAGTCCATCCCTTGACGCACTTGGTTTGATTCTGCGTTGCCATGGGAGGCGACACGGTGGAGCCCTCGATTATGGGTGCAGAACGTGCCGGAGTTGTGGGTAGTTCACATTTGACGCCGCTGCAAATTTCCTTTCGCTTGGAGCATCGGCATGTGGCGCACGCATCCGTATAAGTGATGTCGCCTTCATAGAATGTCTTTCCATCCTTGATCATACAGACTGGCTTGCAATCGGCCTTAGGCACACAATCTCGATACGTATCATTAAGGTAAATGAATCCGTCTTCGCAAGGCTTTATGTGGCATCCTTCTAAACAGTTCTCCCGGTTGCACATGCGCTCGGCTATTCCCTGGTCGAGGAAGTTCTCACACGTCTCCACAGCACAGGCCGGAGTACAAGCCTTATAATCCGAACAATGGGGATCACATTGCATGGCTGTACATAAAATAATACAAAATTGTTCATAAAAAGGTATTGGAAAAAACTTGGAAATTAAAAATAGCAAGTTTATCAATAAATTATACTCAGAAAGAAGTCAGATCTGTAAGTAACCTTTCAGAATCTTGCGATGGGTTTCTCATACCTGGTACAATGTTATTACATATGTATATATATAGTCCCGTTGTGTATAATTATAATTCGTTATACTCACGACAGAAATGTTGCGATCTCCAGCGAATGTGAATGCCTTTCTTGGCACAAGCGTCGGCATAAGCGGCAACGGCTGTGCACAGACACTCGCAGTCGCCTCCCTGGTCACAAGCACAGGTATCGAAGATGCAACGCTTCCAGTAACGCTCCAGTGGCACCTCTGTGTGGCACTCCTGAAACAGCTCTGACTTCAGGGCTCCGCATTTGAGTTGCGCCCAGGTTTCGCGCTCTGGATGCTTTTTGCAGGCATCGATTGGCACCACTGGGGCTGAGCAATGGGGTTGCAGTTTCCATGCATGACCGAAGAGCATTGGGCTCGTTTCTAGGCCAAAAGAGGGAGTCTGCATGTCATCCTGACCATTGCCATTGTAGTTGCCGCACAAGCCGCTGACCTTATTGCGCCATTCGTTGCCCAGTTTAACGTATACTCGGGTGCCTTCATCCCACTTTACTTGCAACTTCAGGGGTATGACTTCCACAACCACGAAGACACCGGCCTTGTAGATATGGAAAGAGTTGAAGCCTTTCGAATTGACACTATCACGGAGTTCTAAAGAAAATATAGAATTCATTCATTGAGGCACATTGAAAAGTGGATTACGTACTCTTAATGGGTGACTTGTTGGGGTCTGTCGAATAAGATGAATCCGCGCTCAGAAGCAGCGACTCTTCAGCATGGCCAGTCAGGGAGATTTCCAAAGACTTGGAGCAAGTCACCCCTAATGTGCCGCACAGCACGTTCTGTATAGTGATGGTGAAGCCATCTCCATTGTCAAAACTTCCTTTGGCTAAAACATAATCACAGGCTCCCTGGAAGTCAAAGTCGTGGTTATCGAAGGTGGTGAAATGGGAATCACCCCAGACACTGCAAGTGGACTCGCAGCCATTGTCCGAACACTTCCAGTTGCCGGCCTGGCATGTGCAAAGGTTACAGTCCTCCTTGATCTTCTCCCCATCATCGTAACTTTTTCCGGCATGATGGCACGAGCAATTGCTGGGCAGCACGCAGGCCGAGCGGGAAGTGTCATAGACATATCCCTCCATGCAAACACAGCCCGGAAGGCACTCCGATGAATCAGCCGTATACTTGTCCATGTTTTTGCAGGTTTTCGGCTCCTTAGGGGCACATTTGGTAAACTCGGCAAAAGGCTGGTTGGCACACTTGGAGCGCAACTCCGATGAAGGTGGATACTTATCTTTGTCACCCGGATCGGCGTCCTGGCAATCCCACACACCGTCCGAACAGGTGCAAAGGTCCAGGAACTTCTCTCCCGGCCGCACCTCTTTGTAACCCGGACGGAATGTCATGCCGTCGAAGGTGCAATGGCACTTTTGCTTCGGCACACACTCGCCCTCCTCATTGATGTACTCTCCATGGGGGCAGCGACAGCCCTCGACGCACTCGCGATTGCAGGTGCCCTTGCTGGGCAGATCATCGCAAGTGAGAGCACAGCCATCCCCGCACTCATCGAACACCTGACCCAAAGGACATTTTACAGCTAAAGGTGGGAGGTAATATTGTAAGTCTTGTGGAAGGGAAAATATGTATATGTCGCACTTACAGCACTCCTTGACCGTCATGCGCCAGCCGGTTTTCACGCCCTGTCGCATGCACTCAGTTCCATAGGCCGAGAGAATGGGACAGAAGCATTTGGACAAGTCGTCCTTGCAGGCGCAGGTGTCATACAGGCAATCTTCGTAGAACTGTTCTGGTTCGACCATAAAGTGACAGTCTTGGAAGATGTCCTGCAGAATCCAGTCACAGTGCTTCTCAGCCAGGGCTTTTCTCTCCGGATTGAGGGTACAGGGATGGGGTCCTTGAGGGGTCTCTGCCTTGAACTGGCACGTGTCCTTCGTGCGCCATTTGTCCGCAAACGGCTCCACGGCTGTCTCAATATCGCCCTCAGGCGTTAGAAAGTCATCCTGGGTATTCGAGTTAAATGTACCGCAAAGACCCTTTGTCTCTCCTCGCCAGCTCGGCGGAGCGTCAATATAGACACGCGATACTCCATCCCACCAGACGCGAATGCCATCAGCGAATTCCACAGTTAGAAAGGTCGAACTGGCCCGACGGATCAACACCTCGCCCAATCCCAGCATCTTTGGTAGTTTCGCAATTGGCTTGTCATTAATAATGGTGGACAGGCCCTGGTCCAGCTTGATTACGGAGGGAGTGCCGTCCCGCAGCACAAATCGAATTGTCACCGACTTGGTGCAAGAAGGATCGTCAGGAGCGGCAAAGTTCATTGCCTCTGAGACAGCGCCCGAACAAGCTACATTCTCTGCTTCGATCGACAAGTTCTGGGTCTTCAGCAGATGGTAGGAGCACTTGCCCATGAAATCGAAACGTTTTCCATCAAAAGTCTGGTAATGCGGATCTCCGATTGCCCCACAGCGCGCACCACACTTGTCCTCTGTGCACTTCCATTGCCCGTTCTTGCAGGTGCAAGTGTTGCAGTTCTTCTTGACCGTTGACTCCGGCTTGAACTCCTTTCCTCGAAGAGAGCAGGGACATAGCTCCCGTGTTATGCAGGCATCCTTATATTGCACCGTTCCTTCTGGACAAAAGCAGCCCTCATTACAGGTGCCCCTAGAGAGTGGGATCGAAACATTCGATTCGCAGGTTGGCTCCACATTTGGCCCACAAGCATGGTAAACTCGTCCGAATCCGCAGCTGATGGCTAAAATGTTTCAAATAGAACTTGGATCTTAATTGTAAATATATTAGATATTTTACATACGACAAATCTCGAGATTCCGCCATCCATGCTCCAACTTAATGCCTTTGAAGGCACACTCCTTGGCCAACATAGCGATGGCATCACAGTTGCAACTTTCCGGATGCTCCCGATTGGCGCAGTTGCAGTAGTCCGACATGCAGGTGCGGATCAGAGCGTCAAAGTTAAAGGGCTTAATGCAGTCTCCCAACTTCTCGTTGGCCAGCAGGCGTTCGCATACCACTACAGCCTTTTGCAGTTTGCTCTGCTCGCAGGAATCCACGCCGAACTGCAGTTCTGCGCTGTTCTCGACCTGGCACATGTCACTTTTGTCCTCGACGCGCCAGGCATCGGCAAAGGCCTTGACAGTCTGCAGCTTCTTGCCCGTTCTAGAGACGAAGTCTGTGCTGGTGTCACCGTCCAACGATCCGCAGAGACCACCCACCTTGCCCCACATCTGGGGACCAGCTTGCACCGATACATACTGATGATGGTCCCAGTCCAATTTGAGTCCCACGGACTCAAGATCGATCTGGACATGTTGGGCTACGGGCATCACTTTCATACCCATTACCTGAACTGGCATCGGAAGGTTCTTCACAGGAGTGGATAAGCGCATGGTGCCATCTTAAAATTACATATTTGCTTTATTAATCTTTTAGATTACTCGAGGTGTAGACTCTTACTCAGATTTTCGAAGGTGTATAGGACGGATTGCCAGAGTACCTTGAGGCTGTGTGCGCAGCCATAACCGGAGCCATATGGACAAGCCTTTAGGATAATGTCGAAAGTTCCCGAAACTTTGTCTGTTATTAGAGTATGCGAGCAAGACAGAGGTGCTCTATAGGAAAAATATGCTAAAGTACGTTCTCGAATTCGACTAGTTTTCACTTACTTGAAGACCAGGCCATCGAAGGTTTTCATATTGAGACCTCCCCAAGTGGTACAAAGAGCTGGACGGGGAGTCTTGTCAATGACGACATCTACCTCGCTGGTCTGATACAGCGAATAACTTCCCAGTGTGACGACAGTTTCCTCCGATGACCACCATTCCTAATTTATTTAATTCAAATTGAGGTTACCTAATCTAAATCAAATAGATGTAAACATACGCTTCTTCTTTCCAAGTCCCTGTACTTTGCCAGCAGGGCCAAGAGTTTCTCCCGCTCGGTTCGAATTTCGTAGGCCATTTCGCCACTGAACCCACCATGGTACACTCGTCCCGCCTGCTGCATCACCTTTTGCGTTGACGTGCTGGATCGGATGGTATAACCAGGAGCTGCAATCCTAAATAATTGAGGAGATCTTCTATTTGTGGATTAACCTGTGATAAACTTACGAAATATGCACTTGGGCAGTGGTTCAGGCAGATATCGTCCCTTTTGATAGCTACACTTGTACTCAATGTCAAGGCGACCTTGGACCTTTAATCCCGGCACTTGCGGACAAGTAAATGTGCAGCGAGCCTCCTCCTGTTCATAGGCGCATCTATAGTTTCCATTAAAGTTGGTATTGGTGACATTACAACTATTTATATCTGAAAATTTAAATGTTGATTTCAATTATGTATTTTATAAATGTTTTTAGGACTAGAAACTAATATCCTGTATTTATAGAAGAAATTATTTACGTTTAAAAATTCTGTTAGTAATTCAACATCCAATCTTTAGGTATCTTGGTGATAAATCTTGAAATTCTAGTTTTGTTAAACATAAAAATGTACTTATAAGCACTAATGTTATGGACTATCATCACTATGCACGTACTATATTGACAGTGGGCCCCGCGGAACATCTTGGAGCATTGGCACACATTGAAGCTTATGCACTGTCCTCCGTTTTGGCATGCTGGCTCGCAAGTGGCTGAAAACGAAGTCGGAATCAGGATAATTCCAATTTTATATTTTCCCCCTACTTACGAGCACAGTCAGGGGGCTTCTCGAGCCCCGTTTTGGTGTGCACCCACTGTCCGTTGCGGCACTCAATGTTGGTAATACCACTACCATCTGGGAACTGGAATCCCCGCATGCACTCTGCGTGGCAAATACTGCAACGAAATGGAGGTTTATAGAGGCATTGCTCTCACATGCGTTAGAGAACTCACTTATTCATGCATGAGACTTTTGAGTTCTTCGGCGCCTTTGGAATTGAGGCACACACTGACTTCTTCTGCTGGCACACTGGGCCGTAGTAATTCTCCGGGCACTGACAGTTTCCGGGTGAGAGGCAGATTCCATTGTTTTGACACGGAGGCTGGCATTGGGCCTGGCAAGGTGGAACTTCAGTGAAGACCGAGTTCCCTATAATCCATCCATCATTACTACAGAACATCTCCAGGACCTGTACGTCCGGAGCGAAGCTGTAGCCAGAAGGGCAGAAGACCTTACACCTCCCATGCTGGCATTCGGACTGAACATTAGAAGGCAACTGCAAGGCGGAGCACTTGCCAAAGGCTTCCAGGTAGTTGACACCACTTCCGTAGAAGTTTCCCTGGTTTCTACATAATACGGAATATTAGTTGTTGGGAGCTGATCTCAAATAATGGTTACTACTCACCCCTTGCCAATGCCAAAGACTCCTAGTGTTTTCGTTAGAAGACCTCTTCTGCAACGAAATAATGTTGTGAGATAAATCCAAAGAAAGCTGTTGTTTATACTCACCCAAAACCTCCACTCATGGAAGATGTTTTTATTCCACCGGTATATCCTCCGCCTCCATATCCTCCAGCGCCTCCTACTGATCCAGCATAGCTGTATCGGGCACTATAAAGTTAAGATAATTAGGCTATATATCCGTTCTCGACTTGACGACTTATCGCGAATTTTTCTGAATGATCATTACCTAACTGCGGGGGCATGTTGAATGTTGAAGCTGATATGGCGTTCTTTGCGTTCACTTTCCTTATCGACGGAGTCCGGTACAGCTTGGATTAGCGGGCTAATTTTGCGAATAATTTGAGCAAAAATATGGGGAAAAGTGATGGTTTATTATCAGACTTGCAGTATAAATACTTTTTAACTGAGTCACACACAAATTTCAAGTCGATATGGACATGATAAATATTCTAAAGCGGAAATCCTATCTTCAGCCTTCGAAGGACAACATTTTAAATTCATACTTTGCATTCTTTTGCAGTTATAACTGGAATTGTTTGTCAATTTATCTAGCCAGATCGTAGAAAAATATTTGCTGGTGGAATAATTTATTAAAGCTTGGACAAAAATGATTATTTTCAGGAAAAAATAAATAAAATAATAAATAAAGAACTTTGTAAATTATAAACTATTTAAAATGTATCTTTAAATATAAAACCTAATTATAATTTAAGAAAAAAAAACTTTAAGATATTAACATAATTAAATGATTTTGATTTTGTATATTTTTGTTCAACTTAAATTAAATAACATTATCACGGCTTGAATTTTTGCAAATGTTTATTTATATCCTTACAAAAATATCAAAAGTATGATAAGACATTATAACCTTTTCTAATAATTTTTTGTATGTTCTTGGTAAAAATGGAAATGACTTTCTGTGACATTAAGAATTTTAATAAATATGATTTATTTCCTTCAACAATAATTATTATTTTCGGCAAATAAATGGTTTAAATCATTCAAATCCAGAACGTAGTAATCCTTTTTTTAATGCTCATTACGATTACAATTACAGTTCTTGGAATATACTAACATTTACTTTAACTTGAATTCTATGCTCTTTTGTGGCACAATGAAATTTCTGAAGAACGTTTTTAGCTCAAATTTATTTTAAAATTAAGGCATTTTTTACAAAAATATATTGTTGGGTAAAACTTCTAAATTTAATTTTAAATACTTTTTACACAAAGAAAAATCCACGATTTATAAAATTCCAGGACATTTGGCCGAATGAATAGTTTAATAATGAATCCGTGAACCTGGAGGCTCTCTTGTGCTCTTGATTCACGTAAAGGATAACGATAAAGGATTTCCAAATTTATTTTCAAAAGAAGGAGTAACCTGCCGCTCTCTCTCGTAATGTTCTTTAACATCGATTTTCTACAATGTATTCTTTTAAGCAATAATTTTTAAAAGTCAAGTCCACATAGCCTTTTTTATAATATACTAAAAGAAAAAGCTATGAAATTGCATTAAACAAGTACAAATACTAATCCATTTTAAAAGTTGTTAAAATAGTCCTTTCGATATTATTTTCACTGCAATGTCCTTGCATATTGCTTACTTAAGATCCTCGTCATCCTCATCGTTCATTATGAAGTCGCCATCCTCAGACCACGCTTGGGAGATCAGCACTATCCACACACACAAATAAATCACTTTCTGCCTCATTCTGGCAAAAATATTAATGTCCTTGGTGTGGAATTATAGTTCCAAAGGAGAATACTGAAGTATCCTGCTGTGATCACATATGGTAACACATCACTTCCAGGACAATAATATTCCAAAACTGGTGACCGAGTATGCACATAAACTGTTTTAAATCCAAAGTGTATTTTAATGTTCACAAATTAAAAGTACGACTGCGACTAAAAGTGCCAACCATGGTGGGCAGCTTTTATAGGCCCAGAGGCAACGCAGTCCCGACCCCTTATCGAAAGTCAGAGGCAAATCCACTGCCTATCTGGAATCCGCGAATCGACATTGCCGAGCTTAAATTAGCATCGCGAATATATCAAAACTGTGCCAAGTTGAGGCTGAGGGTAATTCCTGGGTGATAATCCCACTTCCCGGAGCTTATGTCATAACTTTAGAGCAGTCTGCGAGGGGTATAACTTGTTGAATGGCCCTCGTCACTTGATAAGTCGCCATTCAATTTATCTGGCAAACAGCCCTTGAATGAAATATACATACATAATAAGAGTTCGTTGGCTGGCATTGAACTTGAATGTTTAAAGACAAACTAAATTTAGTTTAAAATAAGAAAGCAAGCGAATTCAATTCGTTATCTATTGCAATTTTCTTGAACGATATATTTTTAACACTTAGATTTGGCGTTATGAAGGATTTCTCGCATATGGAAACACACCACAATAATAATTCCAAAATTCCTCCATTATATATAGATTAATTGAGAGCTATTTTCTCTTTTGTTTGTGTTGTGCGAGATTTCCCTTCTTCCTTCGATTATGTATGACTTATACCTCTCAACACAAGCTTTCCATTGAGTTTTTCACATAAATAAACACATTACCAGGTATTTTCTTTTATTAGCTAATATCTTTGATAAGTAGAGTGATGCACATATGTAAGTTACTTTCCCGAACTGGCCATTTGTCGGTGAATCTTGAATTGGAATAAATTAATATTTAACTCATTTTAAATGCTTGTCCTTGGATTTCCACTCGGCGACGCGCTTTTGAATAGCTAATAGGCGTTGATTCAATTCTGATATTTCGGGTAATTTTGGCTTAGATCTTGCTACTAACGCCGGCGGTTGAACGGATGACAACTTTAAGGGATTGAGTCTCTTTCCTGGTGTTGGTCGCTCTATGTTGGTTGTCCGGGGTTGTTGGGGTGGCATGGGCATCTTGCTTCGGTTTGGTATCTTTAGCATATTTTCCACTTTATAAATGATTTACAAAACCAAATACATCAATTTGAAAAGGCTGAAATTTATGCTCTTGCTACAAAGCAATTTAAAATTTCCAATGTCATCACCGACAAGAGTAGAAGTTTTTAGTAAAGACAACTTTGATTTTCAGATTCCAAACAGTTGTAAATGTGGCCATATTAAATATATCATAATAATCGTAATATTAAAATCCTTATGTAATACATACATTATAAAAAAAAAAATAATAAAAATTCTTGTGCATTGATAAATTCCTGGAACAAAGTTCCTCAACAAAGTTTCAATACATTTTGAAATACATAGGTGGTCAAAAGTATTTACTCAAGTGAAATGCGAGAATATTGTTTGGAGAAAGGTATTTGCTATCACCTAACGGTTCCACATACAGCTCGAGGACATTGACAGAAAAGGCAAAATCCATGGTTCATGGTGCAGGTTTGCATAAAAGTTTTTGGGATGAAGCTGTTTTTACAGAAATTTTGTAATTATTAGGAGCTCAGGCAAATCATTGAAAGACACTAAAAAGACTCCCTAAGAATTGTTGCATGATGGAAAGCCATGTCTAAAATACGTAAAGGTAAAGTGCAGAAGATAAATTCCGGAATGAAAGTACGGAAGACAAATCTTATATTTTGATATTAGATACACAGCCTTGTGTTGAAACATTTCTTTGGGAAGAGATCGTCAATATTGAACACCCATTTGGAAATTCGCAACGGAATTAAATAAGAACTGAAGACTAAGGCTAAATGAGAGATTACTTAAAAAATGTTTAATGAATGTAGATGCTTGTAAATATTTAAAATAATACATGGTTTTTAGTTGAAAAGCCACATGGGAAAAACACTGTAGATTGTACATTTTTTTAAATGTTGGATAGTTTATTTAATTTAAGTTGTATAGTTTGAAATTCTAGAACTGATTCTCTCATAATTTGTTTAATTTCTCTGAGAAATTCAGTTTAAATTTTGTTCAAGTCGGATGCTTACATCTTATAGCTGTCATAAAAGCAATCATTTAATGTAGTGAAAATGCCTTACTGTGAATGCAAAACTGTAACTGCAAATCTATGAGGGAAATTTCAAAGACATTATTATTTGACCCGAAATAATTTTTAATAATTTTTCGTAAAAATATTTTATTGATTGCGATGTATTTCTTGCTCCGACTCCTCCTCGTCCTCATAATTGGAATGGGGCTCGCCTTCGCGCAGAAGCTTTCCAACAAATGGGTATTTCTCTTTGTATTGGAGATCCCATTCCTTCAAAGTGTTCATTTGGCTAATTGAGAGATCGCAAAAGTCGTCAAATTCTTTGCTCTCATTCGTCTCCACTGAGAAATTAATCAAGTTCCTCGAAATATCGCGTCCAGCGTAGTTTGGATAAACGCCATTTCGGCCGTAATAGTGTTTGGCTCGTGACACATCGTAAATATGAAAGTTTATGGCCACAAGAATGCGACCATCCTCACGAGTTCCATTGTATTCGCGTAGCTCTGCCACCGTGAAGTCGCTACGTAGTGGAGGTAGCTCCTCTTGACCTCCGCCACCTGGAACCAAGGAGATCGGGTCCGGTCCTCTCAGCTGCTGTTCACGATGACGGCGCCGTCGACGCTGACGGGTGATGCTCACCAACTTATAGAAGACAATGGCTGAGACGACCAGGAGTGTCACATCTAACGGAGTTTCCTTGATAACGTTGGAAACGTTGGTGTACCATGACGAACGCTGATCAATGTCTTTGGCTCTGTCCGTCATTTTTTGACTAACTGCTTGTGAACGAAATAGATAAATAGTTTAAATAGTTGCGTGGCCTCAAAACATACTCAGATCAAAGAAGGTTCTTATCTGGATTTTCAACATTTCTTATATTTGAAGTTTATGATTCGCCTACTTTTCCCAATTCGAACTCGATATGTTCATGCGTATATAAAGTTCCTTCTACGATTTTAAAACACAAACTTGAATTCAATATAATCAGACGACCATGTACTACAAACGTCCTAGAAACAATTAAATAGGTAAAAAAAAGTAATGTTGTTAAAACCCAGAAAAATGTATGAAATTGAAACATATTTAGTTCTGCGTCATCAATCATCAATCAATCTATATTTACGTCATCAATCATTAATCAATCTGTATCGTGTTAATGGTTAAATAACTAATTTATTAACCCACCCCGTATCTAGCAAAATATATGTTTTTTCATTGGCAACAGCAAATATCGATTCGGTTTCCAAGATTGCCAGATTAATGGAACATTTAAACACTATGTTTAGTATTCACAACAACCAAAGAGCTGTTTAAGCAAGTACAGATATTAAAAGTTCCGATAACAAAACGATTGTAAAACTTTTATAAAACACAGAGCACCAAAAAACAAATTCCTACAATTTCGCTCAAATCAAAAACGAAAAGAAAAGAAGCTTCAACTAGAAGACATTCTGAGAATCCAGATGAGGACTTTCTTTGATCAGAGTATGTTTTAAGACCTCGTAGGAAGCTTTAAGAATATTTATCTATTTCTTTAACAAGCAGTTAGTCAAAAAATGACGGACAGAGCCAAAGACATTGATCAGCGTTCGTCATGGTACACCAACGTTTCCAACGTCATCAAGGAAACTCCGTTAGATTTGACACTCCTGTTCGTCTCAGCCATTGTCTTCTATAAGTTGGTGAGCATCACCCGTCAGCGTAGACGGCGCCGTCATCGTGAACAGCAGCTGAGAGGACCGGACCCGATCTCCTTGGTTCCAGGTGGCGGAGGTCAAGAGGAGCTGCCTCCACTACGTAGCGACTTCACGGTGGCAGAGCTACGCGAATACAATGGAACTCGTGAGGATGGTCGCATTCTTGTGGCCATAAACTTTCATATTTACGATGTGTCACGAGCCAAACACTATTACGGCTGAAATGGCGTTTATCCAAACTACGCTGGACGCGATATTTCGAGGAACTTGATTAATTTCTCAGTGGAGACGAATGAGAGCAAAGAATTTGACGACTTTTGCGATCTCTCAATTAGCCAAATGAACACTTTGAAGGAATGGGATCTCCAATACAAAGAGAAATACCCATTTGTTGGAAAGCTTCTGCGCGAAGGCGAGCCCCATACCAATTATGAGGACGAGGAGGAGCAGGAAATACAACGAAGTCAATAAATATTAATAAAAATCAATATTTCGGGTCAAATATTATCCTTGTGAAACAATCAAATGGTCCCATTAAAAAAATTTGGTAATTTAGATGGTTTGTCTTTAACCTTTAACCTTTATCACAGCTGGGTTTGTATGGATAGATTTACAAAGTTATTGTTGATTTATCCCAGCAATTCTATTCCACATAAGGCTGAACATCTTGTTGCTGACGCACAGCCTCTGCCTCCGCGCCCACTGCGCATGCCAACAGTGAGTTGACCGTTTGCTCCTCGCCTGCCTTATAGACGTAGCCGTTGGCCTTATCGATGTGGTTGCGCAGGCGCAGCATGCTTTCCGTGCTAAAGGCATCTAGCAGCTGGAAAGAGACCAGGGAGTAGTCCTCCACAGTAGAGCAAATGGCTTCATTCAGCTTATGGTATTTGCGCATGGCAGGGTCTTCGTCCAATTTGTCTAGCAGATACCTCAGGTCCAGGACGTCTGCATAGAAGTCAATGTTGAAGTGCAGCTTGGTCTCATGCTTCCGCAACAGATCGGCCTTTGATAGCACATTAACGTGCGGCAGGCTCATGCGCAACATCGTATTGAGTGCCATCAGGAGCGTGGCAATAAACTTTGCCGGTTCCGAACAGTAGTGGGAGTCGATTAGATTAACGGTGACTAAGCTGTAGCGCTCTCGCTCCAGTCTTTCGAACACCCGAGCCATGGCACTGTGATGCGTATAAAGCTCCACCTGGCCCGGGCAATCAAACAGAAAATAGTTGTAGGTGGCACCTAGCCTGCGGAGAGCTGGAAGCAGCCAGTCCTCTAGGTGCTCCGCCAGGTACTCAGCACAGTGCATCAGCGCTCCATTTGGTCCCAGCTGCAGGTGATCCATGCATTCGTCTACAGTAATTAGCTCAACCACATTGAGGACTGGCTCGTAGTCCATGTTGTCATTGGCCGGGTCCAGGTTTACCACTCCGACTTGTCGTCCAAGCTCACGGTAGAACTTGAGAGCTTCGGCGCAATAGGTTGTCTTGCCGGATCCAGGAGGGCCAATGATCAGCTGACCATAGCGGGGATTCTCCACCGTTGCGGATTTATTCATAGTTTCTTCCGGCAGATAAAAACGTAAACAACAGTAGAAGAAACAGGGTGCCTTTGCCGATAACGATAAAATAGTGCGGTATATCAAAAAAATATACTATTTTTGTAATTTAATGTTTACTTTTCAATGCACCTAATAATATATTTTGTTTTGTTTCTCAATTTAATTTTTGTATTAGAGAAATGCAGATCTTTCTTCAGATATTTATCAGACAAAGGATTTGTGAAATACCAAAGTACTTAACTAGTATGGTATTTTTAGTATCTATCTATGAACCAGATGGTATATGTTATCGAGTAGTCTCCTTTTTTGTAAGTGTTGAATTCGGTCTCACTGCGCCATAGCTTGTCGGTTTTATAAATCAACGGAAATTCGCAAAAAAGTATCGTTTGAACTCCACTAGCTCAGCACAGAGGAACACAACAATGGCTCAGCCCCAACCACCAGCCTATGAAAACAGTGAGTTGGCATGCAAGAGAATGATAGCCCAATTTGGTGGTGTTCAAGAGTCGCCGGCATTGACGTGATGAGAAGGGGGATGAGTCAACAAGCGAAAACGGTAAAAGCAGAAAGCCATCGCCGGAAGCGTCGTGATTATGCCCATAAATGGACAGACGTCGCTGTATGATAAAGGGGCTGCGGGGAGGTGGCTCCACCCTTGCACTCTTTTGTTTCCGTTTAAGAAGTCGGGCAACAGCCGCGCCCAGTCCGCCCCACTCCCTGCCAAATTGCCGGCGTTATCTACTTTTTTTTATCTGTTGTCTAATCGCATTTTGTCGCGGCTTTAATTGCAGAAAACATTTATGCGACACTGCCGCGAACTCAACGAGGCCAGCCAATTGTGCTGGGCGCTGATCCTAAGGGCAAAAATTTCCTCTACACGAACGGGAACTCCGTAATTATCCGGAACATCGAGGTAAGCTGATATTGCAGTAGCTACTCCTGCCATAAACTGTGGTCTCTTCCAAATGTTGTTTTATTTTTGGACAGCTGCAGTTTTCTGCTGTTTTTCCGTTCCTGTGTGCCAGTATGAGTCGGTTTTGTTTTCTTTTTGTTAGCTAGCGGCAGCTGTTCTATATTTATTTTTATACAGCACCCATTCCACGGCCGACCGGCAGAATCAACCACTCATACAGGCGCACGGAATATTTCTTGTTTGCCGCCCACGTAACTTCATAATGATGGTCGGCTTGCTGGCCGATTGAGCATTAAGTTGCTCTGTGCCGGCTGCCTATATATTTAAGATTGTAAAAGTGATTCTAAAAAGATTCTCGCACTCTCTATTTCCCGTCTCCCTCCCGTTCCACAGAATCCAGCCATCGCCGATGTCTACACGGAGCACTCGTGTGCAGTGAACGTGGCCAAATACTCGCCCAGCGGCTTCTACATTGCATCTGGCGGTAAGTCTCGCACAGCAATTTCACTCTTGGAGGAACACGGCACAAGGCGCAGGCAGCGGAGCATGCAGAAGCCACAACAGTGTTGAAGCTGTGGTCACCGTGAGTCACGCCAAGGCCCATGCATAGCATTACCATTTAGGGAAACCATCGTGCATCGAACGGTTTCTTATCTTATCTGATGTTTGCGAATGAAAATTCAAACTAATATCATTAGTTTTTCATTGTTCTAGACGCCTCGGGTAAGATTCGCATTTGGGACACGGTCAACAAGGAGCACCTCCTTAAAAATGAGTTCCAGCCAATCGCAGGGCCCATCAAGGACATTAGTTGGTCGCCAGATAACCAGCGCATTGTGGCTGTTGGCGAAGGTCGCGAGCGTTTTGGACACGTCTTCATGTCAGAGACGGGTACATCCGTGGGCGAGATCAGTGGCCAATCAAAGTCTATCAATTCGGCGGACTTCCGGCCAGCCAGGCCCTTCCGCATCGTAACAGGTATGCTCAATGAATAGCTAGAGTATTGAAAAAGAGTAACTAAATATTTAAAAATAACAGGTAGCGAAGACAACACGGTCGCCGTGTTTGAGGGACCGCCATTTAAGTTTAAGATGACTAAGCAGGATCACTCTCGGTTCGTCCAAGCAGTCCGCTACTCGCCAGATGGCAAGTTCTTCGCCTCGGCCGGCTTTGACGGCAAAGTCTTCCTTTACGACGGTACCAGCTCCGAGCTGGTGGGAGAGTTCGGCTCGCCTGCCCACAAGGGCGGTGTATACGCCCTGGCATGGAAACCGGACGGTAGCCAGCTACTGACCTGCTCCGGCGACAAGACTTGCCGACTGTGGCAAGTGGAGTCACGTGAGCTGATTAGTGAGTTCGTTATGGGAGCTACTGTTGACGACCAACAGGTATCGTGCCTGTGGCAGGGAGAACACTTGATTACTGTTTCCCTTTCGGGCGTAATCACTTATCTAAACGTCGAAGATCCCAGCAAGCCACTGCGCGTAGTCAAGGGTCATAACAAGCCCATAACCGTATTGGGTTTGAGCGATGATCGCAGCACCATTTATACCGGAAGCCATGACGGTGTAGTGACCAATTGGAACTCTGGCAATGGCACCAACGACCGCATTACTGGAACTGGTCACGGCAATCAGATTAACGGAATCGCTGCCTGGGGTGATTTCGTCTATACTTGTGGCATCGACGACAGCCTGCGTCAGTTCAGCGTTGAGGGAAATGCTTACACTGATTATGTCGTCAAGCTCAATTGCCAGCCCCGCGGACTCGCTATTCTGCGCAGCGAGAATATCATCGCTCTGGCCTGCATCAAGGAGCTGACCCTCGTGCAAGACCAGAAGAAAATCTTTTCGCTGCCCATTAAGTTTGAAGCCAGCTCGATTGCCGTTAACGCGGATACCTCTGACATTGCTGTTGGCGGTGATGACCAAAAATTGCACATCTACAGCCTAAAGAACGGAGTTCTAGAGCCCAAAACGGAGATGGACCATCAGGGCGCGGTAACAGACGTGTCCTACTCACCGGACCTTAAATATCTTGTGGCCTGTGATGCCCATCGCAAGGTGGTGCTCTACTCTGTGGATGAGTACAAGGTACACAGATTGCAGTTATACTTTATGTGTGCATATAAAAATCTATACTTGTTCTTTTAGCCTGCCCACAACAAGGAGTGGGGCTTCCACAGTGCTCGCGTCAACACCGTGGCCTGGTCGCCGAACTCTCTACTTGTGGCCAGTGGATCTTTGGATACAACCATCATCATCTGGTCGGTGACAAACCCTGCTAAGCACACCATTATTAAGAGTAAGTTTCAGTGGATGTAAGGGTTGACCCATATGTGACTTGTCACCTTCCCTTCTTGTGTTTTAGATGCCCATCCGCAGTCTCAAATCACTCGCTTGGTCTGGCTGGATAACAACACTGTGATCTCAACTGGCCAAGATTGCAACACCAAGGTGTGGCATGTGGAGACAATTTAAATGCTGCAGTTTATACTTATTCAGGGAGAGAAGTCTGCAGCTCCCTGGCTTCATTTCATTTAAGTGCAACAGTTTACATTAGCTATTTATGTCTATTTTGTCCCTTCGCTCACCTCTTGTCATGTCTCTAAGTTTAAGCCCAAAGTGTTTGCTAATCATATCATGGATATTCAACCTTTTGTCTGTGTGCTGCCCGAGCAACTTTTTATACTATCTAAACTGCGAAAGTTAAACAAAGATATATAAGTACGCCAGCGTACATATATTATTGTATTATGAAATGAAATATACTAGTTTTGCATAGCTCTCCTTATTCTCAATTACTGATCAACTAAACACGGTTAATATTTGTCTTAAAAATTTATTTCTTTTAAACTTGGGACTTTAGTGTCGTAGGTTTTCACCCTGTCTTTTTGTGTGCAAAAGTGTGTACGTGTTCTGGTGTGTATATAATTACAATATTTATATAAAACTTTCTTAGTATACTTGAATGTGTGGGCGTGTGAAAGCGAAAGGTAATTGTAACTTGCAGTTCGATAGCCTCGGAGGTTGCTACAGTTTAAGGAGCACAATGCGACCGCCATGCTTCTCGACATTTGTCCGTTTAAGCAGGCTGGAGCTCAGCGAAATAAACATAAATTTGTGCTAAAAATATAATTATAAATTAAGATAGGCGCTCGCATGTGTATGTGTAGAAAACGAAAACGAATTGCGCTAATTATCACAGCCGGGTCTAAGACGTTGGTTTCGGTGGGGCTAATAGATTCAGTGCAGGGCACAGCGTGACCGAAGGATCTTATAATAATAAGATGGGTAGCGCCATATGATATTTTGCACTCGAATTTTTCGTTTTGGGGAGGATAACGAGAGGTGCTAGAGTATCGCCATTTAAGTGTATGGACGTCATGCATCTTTTTATCATGAGATCTTTGGTCCAACTATCTTTTTTACTCAATTAAGAGCTTGCCAACACTTCTGCATGTGCGGGGATGTTCCTTTTATGTGCTTATGTGTGGTGAACTGAAAAATTGAAGTCGATATTGAAGCAAATTGTTCCCTCAGGTGGCCACCGCTGTTGTCTCAACGCCTGTTGCCTCTCCGTTACTAGCAGACGACAGCTCCCGTTCGCTCTTAACGACCGGCGATGGCTCGGGTCCCAAGTCCAGTGATGACTGCCCAATAGGTGGCGAGGAATCGGCAACTGCAACGGCGGCTGCAGCGGCCGCCATCTGAAACTGATTGGGGAGGAAAAGGTACGGATTCCGACCCTCATGACTAGGACACCCAATTGCTGTCGTCGTCGTTGTACCAACTTCCCCGCTAGTCACTGTATGACTTACGGGCACAGGCATGGTGGTGGCTGCCTGCACAGAAGTTGGCGTCAGCTTGGAAACCCGCTTTCGCCTGGCCTCGTTCTCACAGGGTGACGGAGCTCCCGGGTGGCGGTAGCTGACGTGTTTCCTTAGGGCGTCCTTACTGCGGGACACGTGGGAGCAGACATTACATGCGTATCTAAAAGGAGAAAAACAACCAATATTGCGTTTATAACGATTTGTCAAATGTAGGCTAGTTTCCTTTAAAAATAATTTTAAAGGCCTGTAAGACAAACATTACAATAAAAAAAGATACATACTTTTGGGAGCAGCACTTTTTATCTCGTATTTGCAGATGCATTTGAAAAAAGTTCTGTTTAAACATGCATTTTTTTAAAGTGTTCAAATTTAGTTGTCTACATTTTTATACCCTTGCAGGGTATTATAATTTCAGTCAGAAGTTTGCAACGCAGTGAAGGAGGCACCTCCGACTATATAAAGTATATATATTCTTGATCAGGATCAACAGCCGAGTCGATCTAGCCATGTCCGTCTGTCCGTCTGTCCGTTTCTACGCAAACTAGTCTCTCAGTTTGAAGCTATCTGAATGAAACTTTGTAGTTAGCCTTCTATATACTCTCACTCGTTATATGTCGGAACGGGCCGGATCGGACGACTATATCATATAGCTGCCATAGGAATGATCGGAAATTTTTACAAAAATTTTTAACTTTTTCAGTTTTCAATAGAATTTGATCAAATTTGAGATATAGCCATTTTACTATACTCTACAATTTGCATACAATTTTATGAAATCGGACTACTATATCATATAGCTCCCATAGTAACGATTGAGAAATAATACAATTAAAAATTATAACTTTATAGGTTTTCAACAGATTTTCATAAAATTTGAGGTATAGCCATTTTATATTAGTCTATAAATTTAGTGTCAAATTTCATGAAATCGGACGACATATAGGTGCCATACAAGCGATCGTTTGATGTAGAGGAAAAATGCAAATCTGTGAATGTAAAACTGCAAATATAATATGTATAAGTGAATGAAGTGATAGCAGGTATTACTTCATTGTTTTTTAACACAATATATATAATTTTTATTGTATGGATTCCTATTCATAGAAGTTCTATCTGCAAGGGTATATAAACTTCGGCGTGCCGAAGTTAGCTTCCTTTCTTGTTATTTATTTATTCTTTTAAACTAACCCTTTAAATTGTGCTTAGCAGATTTGCAATATTCTGTTCAATTAGTTTGCAACTAATTGCAATTCTGCAACACTCAGCTGGTGGTAGTTATATTAAATTCTCTTAAATCAAAGAAGAGTTAAAATATAAAAATAGGAGTGTTTTTTAAACCAAGCCCAGACTTATTGTCATGTAATGGGTGCAAATGTTTTGAAGTAAAAAATAGAACTACATACACCGAATTTTTTTTAGAAAAATTAAAAAAAAAAATGTTTCTATGTAAAGCTAAATCATCTTTAAAATTACTTCGTTGCTTTTTAAGATATATTTTGTATAATTTTTAAAATGTATTTCAACGCTGAGATGTAGTTTTTTTTATTTTAATCAAAATCAAGTTATTGTATCACGTTTATATTTTAGTTCATTTCCTCTTTTTATTTGTCTAAAATAAATTGGTTCTTAATGAACAACAAGGGTATCCGAACTTTGGTGCACCGATGCTAGCTACCTTTCTTGTTTATACTTATTTCACTAGGATTCTTTAGAATCTAGGTGACACCCACCTATCTGGGGAAATAACTAAATAGCCAGGATCTCTGCGTTCACCCTTTAATTCACTCGAGTCACTCAATATTTTCGAAGGCGAATATCATTAATAATAATAACAGAATTAAACCGATCACAATACACCGTCGTATCAAGATTTTCTTTAAGTCCCAGGAAAGGGAAAGCGCAGAGTTTTTTTATTTGGCAACAATCTCTACTTCCCTACTCGAGGGCTTTTGAAAGCCCGTTCATCCAATAATACTGGGATTGGATTAAAATATATTTAATGGATCGATTTTTAATGATCTAATTTCAAACTTTAAGGATATGCAGACTTTGGCGTGCCGAAATCAGCTTCCCTTCAAAGCTATGCCCAGTTTATTATTTGGTCATTATTTAAATAAGAATATTCGTTTTTTGTTCTGTCGACTTACCTCACATTCTGATGGGTTTCCAGATGCACGCGTAGGTTGTATTGGTTGCTCAGTTGTTTATGACAGATGAAGCAAGTGGCGTACAGCTTGGAGTTGGACGGCGGCTTTATGGCGACGGGGGGCAGCGCCTTGTCGCGGTCGGCGCCAAGCGAGAGCAGGTTCGGCTCTGACTTGGCGCTGACCATTCCCCCGGCGGCGGCTACTGCCGCAGCTGCCTCTCTCTGGTATTGCTCAATGTGTAGCTGCAGTTTGGCATGGTCCTCGGGCGAAATGTAGGGCGTGACCGCCGGCACCTGCTGGTGGTGCATCTGGGCCGCTTGCTGGGCCGTCGTGGGCGTAGCAGCGACGCTGTAAAGCGGCGGCTTGTTGCTATACAGTTGACCTTGGCTCACGGGGTTGGGGTAGCTGACTGAGGAGCATTTGACCACCGGCAACTGGGGGGAGAAGTGAGCCATTGCAGAGGGGCGAGGGTAACTGGCGAGGTGGCCATAATGGCGGACTCCGGGGGGACTTGCTACTGCTGTTGGCTGAAGCGCTTTTCGGGGTCTTGGGCAGGCTCTTGTCCAGCCGCCTGAACTCCTTGGGCGGGCTTTCGCCTTTGAGCCGCTTAGCTCCGAAGCAGTCCGCCTCCTGGTGATCCTCCTGCACCCCGCTCTGGTAAAGCTGGCACTGTTGCTGGTATTTGGCCAGTAGCTCCGAGGTCTTGTTCAGTGCCGTTTGAGAAAAGTTAAGCGGCTGGGGCAACAGGCTAGGATAGAACTGGAGCGACTTAAAAAGGTTTTCCAGGGGCGTCGTTCCCATTGCTGCAGACCCCACTGACCCCAGCTTGTTAGCCAGTAGAGGGGTGGTCAGAGCAGGACTCGGCATCTGGGGCAAGGGTAGTGGTAGGGCAGGTGTGGGCGTGTGAGATGGCGTAGGTGTGGGCGTGGGCGAGGGCGTTGTGGGACGTTCGAACTCTGACGACTTCTCGTTGGACGGATTCATGTAGGATGCTGATTCACTTCGCGTTGTCTTTGGTAGCTACGAATAGATTACATATTAAATATTATTATTTTAATTGTAAATCTGTATATTAGGGACAAAGGTAGATTTGAACTAATTTAATTTCATTAGTATAATAATATACATAATATTAGGACTGATAGGTTTTCAAATACAATGTTAGTGACTACGATCATTGACTCTGAGAAGCTCTAATTATCTAATCATCTAATCATCTATTTAAATAATAAATAGACACAAATCATCTAAAATCATTCATTATATTCCTAAGTATTTGCTAGGAAGTGTTTTGATTGATTGAATTTCCATAAAGAAAGAAAAACAATGAATCCGGCAAAAAACGTAACTGTTTATTTTGTGCAACATTTCCTTTTAACTTTATACATACTGCTTAGGATATAGGTTACCTTACAGGCGAACATGCTTAATATGTTTAAAGAATCTTCTTTTGGGAAGCCAACGTTTGTATACCATTAAAGATACCAATTGGATCGATTTTATTAAATTCGAATCGATCGAATACAATCTATAACCTTTTATTAATGTATAGGATAATATCTTTTCAACTATTCGTTGAAAAATAGCGAAGTAATTGTTTTTAGTTTCATACTATTTTGCATTACATTTACCACAGTTATGTCGCATAGTCTTTAATTACATTAAACGAATTGAAGGAAATAAAACAACTTTGAACCGATCGAAATTGCATAGGGTCGTCGTGCCTATTACTTATACATTATTTTGTCTTGTTTGATTGGAAATTCTCACTTAATTATGTCATAAAAAGAATTTAATTGCCCATTTTCGATGGTGCTTACTGGCACTACTTACGTTGTTATTCTGGACATCGGCCAGTCCCTTGATGCCTAGCGTCTCGGCCAAATTTAGCAGCATGGGTATTTGCTCCTCGTAGACGTTCACCTCGCCGGAGTACATGAAGGTAAGCAGCGCCACAATGGCTGCGAAACTGGCTCCCGGTATGATGATGACGGGATGGCTATTAGCCTCCAGAGCACGGAAGATCTCCATGAAAAAGCTGCTGCAGGCGCTCAAAACCACGCGGTGTGCCCGCAACTGGCGGCCCTCCGCCGAGATGGTGACATCCGTCAGATGCGACTGGTCCAGCAGCACCGGCAGAGTGCTCAGCAAACTGGACTGGAAGGGATGAACCGGGGTAGCAGAAGGGAAGACAGAAATACTTGTAACTGGGTCACGCGATCATAAAAATACACTTTCCCCGGGTAAGGGTGATGCTCTGATGGAGATGGGATGTGGTTGGATGCAGCTGCTCTCAAACTTTGTGATTTTCTCTCGGTGGAAATTCTTTGGATTTTGGCAATTGCACGAATCTTTCCATTTATTTCACTTTCCCCCAGGCTCGAACCCCCTTCCCATTGCTTTATTTCGCTATTTTGCTATTTTGGACAGCCATCGCCTCCCGTATGCCTCTGTTCACTCTTTGAGCCGCCTTAGTAAACGTCGAAAGCAAAAATTGTCACTATATGAAAATGCGGAAAACTATGTGTGAATCTGTACGTATCTCGGGATATATATAGAAGGGGCGACATTTCGCTCGACTCGCTCGCTTCAGTGAACGATGTCCAGTCCAGTTTTATGGCTGGGGCCAAGCCCCTATAGATGATTCTCTGGCAAGAGATCAGCGCAGTGCACGAACAAGGCAGTGTGGTGCAGGAGAAATCACTTTATTTTGCTCTGAGCACCACCCCGTTAAAAGGCAGCATATTGGGAATAAATATGGGATTTGGTTGTTGTTGGAGTAGCTCACCTGGTGATTGTGCCATCGAAGACAGAACTGCTGCTGGTTCTCGCTGTGCTGCAGCTGCTGCTCGAACTGGTGCTGCTGCAACTGCTCGTGCTGGTGCTGATGGTGCGGTTGTCTGGTATTAGTGCTATTTACATGTTCCATAATTCATCTGGGGTGGATCACATGGATCTGCTGCAAGAGAGAGGGGGGAATCTAATTAGTAGACAACAAATATTATTTTCATTCATGTCAGGTGGGATGTCAGAGAGGTAAACAAAATCTGTACGCGTCGCCTTGTTCTCGCCACTCGGCGTTGTTTTCGTTTTTCATAATTTGTTTGTTTGCATTTTGGTTTGTTTATTTATTGAGCGTTTTGTCACACACACTTTCCTTGTCGTTTCTTTTCGACTTATTTCGTTTTATTTCGCGGTTCTTCAGCAGACTAGAGCAGAGTGCCTCGAAGAGCGTTGACGGTTTGTCTATCCCACTGCGGTTTCCTCGCACCACAACGCGTATACGTATTGTGTCGTAGCATTTCGACCATTACTCATACAGCCAGGCATTTTGATTCTTTGGTGGTGAAGGGGACCGGGAAACTACGGGAAACTACACGCTCCTCCAAGGCACATGGGAATATTGCCCAGATTTTTATCACTGCTCCGGCACTCAATCCTCTAGGCTGCCGCCTATCACAGCTGCTGCTTTGGCCAAGTTAACAGCGCCCAGTAGTTAGGCAACGCGGTCGGGCATCTCGGCAGTGGTGCCATCGGTGCCCAGTTGACGAATCGAAATTACAATAAAAACACACTAATACACGCACACGACCAGTGTTATTTGTGTTCTTGCTGGCAATTAAATTAAATTTATTTAAATAAAATAAGTTTTCCTTGGCTGGCCTGGCCTGGGATCGTAGTTGTTGCTGTTGACGATATTGCTGTGGGTTTCTGGGTGCACTATAAATTTGGCAATTTCCATTGTTCGGATCTTTATAGTGCACGGGCAGGGGACAGTGGCCACAATCATCACACTTTTGTCCGAGGGCTATTTTTAAGACGCCAGACCACGAAGCTGGGTAAAGATTTCTCTGTCTATGCTGCGCTGCCGTCCATTGGAGGCCCCCCAAAAACAACCCAGCCCAACCCAACCAACCCAACCCAACCCAAACCAAAGCAACTCGATGCAAATCGCAGCAAAGTGACAAGTCCGAGTCTGTGTCCGTGTTGGTGTCCGCATCGGAGGCATCTCAGCTAGCCCAGCGTGCAATTGTTGCTATTGCCGCTTTAGACGGACGGAATTTTCTTCATTCCATTATGTGTGCACATAGGACTGAGATCGCATCTAAGCATTTCTCTATTGAGAGACGATGGATGGTGTAGGTTGCCTGCCTGATGGGGTACAATGGATGCCTGGGGCTGGGATCGGATGGGATGAGATGGATGGCGAATGGAGGATGGGTGGTGCTGAGGCGCTGAGGTGCTGAGGTGGCGGCTCGGCCTTTTTGGCGCTCGTTCACACAAGAAACTGTCGTGACAGTCAGGCAGCCTTCTTTTCCGTAACTCTTTGGTATTTTGCTCAGTTTTTACTTGATTTTCCGAAATTAGTTTTTCAGCCTTTCAGCTCCCGCCGTCCTCCTCCGCCTTGCTCCTCTGCTGGTTGCTGTTGTTGTTTTGGCGTTTTAAATAGCCATCCAAAAAATAAAGATCTGTGCTAAACGCTCTCGCCAGGCTGTCTATTTTGATTTGTTGTCCAAGTGCCTGCCTTTTGTCATCCGTGACTATTTTTTCCAAAGCACTTCGCAATAGTTTCATTTCGATTTAGTTCGTACTACTCTGCTGATGCTGATGCGTAATATTTACACACATAATCACTCATACGCCCCGTCTTTCCGCCATTCGCTTCCTCCAACGATCAGCATAAATTGGGGGAAAATCACTCCTAAGCCTTCGCATCAGCGTGTGTTGTTGTTCTTTAACTTTTATTTGTTCCATGAAATGTGGCGCACATAAATTTCGTGTCAACGTTGCCTGAGATCTAGGTATTTGGATATCATTATAGAATTCGCACGATCAGCGGTCTATATGTGGCTGTGAATCACGCATAATCCAGTGGCCCAACATCACCACCCCTGGGGGAGTCTAATAATAGAGCTGCGGCCAACCCTTACGACCGAGGACGTTTATCTCCTTCTTATGTGTCATTGGAATACTCGTGCCGACCATCAAATTATATTTATTTCCAACTTGTTCTTATTTTGTGAGTCGCGACACTTTTGTTTCAGTCCAGTATAATCCATATTAAAGCGTGCTTCAACTACCAGTAACATTACACAATTTAATTAAGTATGTTATTCACTTTGGTACTATTTCACTCGGTTTTCTCTTGAAGCATCCTTCACATTCTTGTTTGTTGTTTTTTACATTTATTTTTAATGCCACTTTTCCCCTGGCGAAATGTGTTCGCCTTTCGAATTTTCCCTTTTGAGATTTTCGCGACGGAACGAGCGCGTACCTTTGTTAACCGTTAGCTGCTCGCATCTGAAATGAAAAAATCCGAAAATGTTTCAATTCTTTCGTTTTAGTTGGAGATTTTCTATTTTTCGAATGTCCATCTCTTGACAATTTTCCTCTATCTCATGCTGATGTTGCTGTTGTTGCTGCTGCTGATGCTGTTAGTGTTGCTATTGCTCTGCCGCTGGCCCAAATATTGTTCTTGTTGCTATTGCCATTGCTGCTGCTGCTACTGCTGCGGTGTGCTGCCATTTGTTTAGCGGATTCGAATTCGGCTCTCAGCTTCTCGCTTCCATGTTCTTTAATTAATGAGCAGGCAACAACGGCTGAAGAGAAGAGAAATCTTGACGGCTCTGCACTCGCGATCTCGCCTTTTCACCAAATTAATTGGGTTCTCCGCAGCTAGTTAATCAGAACATTTGCCAGCGGCAAATCATCATCAGGGCATCAACAGGGCATCATCGGGAACTGCGTCCACGCCGCCTCTAGACACAATTGACACAACCAACAAGCAAAAAGATCTGAGTGCTTCGTGTGCATTATTAATTTGCAATAAAATGTGGAAGAGGCGACAGCAGTCGCTGCCGCTCGACAGTGTTGGCCGAAAATAAATTCGTACCTGCCCGTTGGATTTGAATTATGCTTGACAAATACAAATGGAATCGCCAGATGGAGACGAAACCAGCCGCGAGAGGACACCCTGCCCCTTCAGAGTGCACATTTCAATTCATTAAAATGCCACAAATATTTATTTATTATTGTCATCTGTGTGGAAGCTTCCCCCCATACCTCAGATTAGCCCAAACCCTGTTCCCAGTCCCAAATCTAGATCTACGAGCTGAAGCACCGGGCCTCGGTGCTCGGCCTGCATTGCTCCAATGCAAAGTCCCATCCGTAGTTGTAAGGACATCGGACTATGGTCAGGTAACCGCTGAGGCATCGATAGTAGTATTCGCAACGCTGCGGATGAGGATGAACAGCATCGCCAGCTGGCTCGCAGTGCGGACGACTAACTGCCGTATAGACTGGTGTGGCAGTCGGAGAATGCGTAAAGGGGCCAGGAGTGGTATCCTGAAAAGGTGCAGGTGAAACGGCCATTGGTGCTAGGTCGTTCTCCTCTACCTCCTCTTCTGTCAGAATGGTCTCCGTTCCTCTGAGACAGACTCCGGCATCGTCAAAGGCACACTCCTGAGTCGCATCGTCAAAGTATGTGTGCTCCGGACAACTGTCCCTAAACGAGTCCGCTCCGTTGCAATAAATGTAAGAGGCGCAATCATCGATGGCCATGACGAAGGTGTTGGGCTCCACATTTTCACACTGCGGGAAGTCAACGCCTTGGATGAAAGTGACGCCTCCGGCGAGTATTAGCAGATATATTACGAGTTTTGAATCGAGTGGCATGGTGATATGCTATAGTTTTCGGCTTTTGGTGCGAATGAAGACAGCAGCCCATCTTTTATGTCAATTTTTCAAGGTTGCCTGTGTTTTTCTTATCACTGTTCTTGTAGTAGATATCGGTCTGAGAAATTTTGTTTTGCCAATTATTTATCTTTATTCAGCAAATGGGTCATGGCTGTACAGTGCCTTTGGCGTTATAATAGAGGGAATGTATTTAAAGAGCGCGTCAAATGTTAATTTTCCCAAAAGGTTAGAAGTGCCACTTTACCATCTCGGCACTTTTATCACAGCTGGTCTGGTACCGGGTACCCCACTCATTTGGCCAGACTAATAATGATGTTCTGAAGAATGATTTTAAGGATTCAATTGCGAAAACAAAAGAAAATGCAGAAGAAATTTAATCTTCAGATAGAACTTCTATGACTTGGAATCCCAACAATATAAATTATATTTATTTGTGTTAAAAACAATGAAGTAATTTGCAGTTTACAGTCACAGATGTGCATTTTTCTCCACATCTAACGATCGTTTGTATGGCACCTATATAATATAGTAGTCCGATTTTCATAAAATTTTACACAAAATTTAAGATTGATATAAAATGGTTATACTTCAAATTTGATGAAAATCTGTTGAAAACTGAAAATGTTATAATTTTAATTGTCTTAATTTCTCGATTGTTCCTATGGGAGCTATATGATGTAGTTGTCCGATTTTCATTAAATTTTATACAAAATTGTAGAGTATAGTAAAATGGCTATATCTTAAATTTGATCAAATTCTGTTCAAAACTGAAATTGTTATAATTTTTTTGTAAAAATTATCCGATCATTCCTATGGCAGCTATATGATATAGTCGTCCGATCCGGCCCGTTCCGACATATATACGAGTGAGAGTATATAGAAGGTTAACTGCAAAGTTTCATTCAGATAGCTTCAAAACTGAGAGACTAGTTTGCGTAGAAACGGACAGACGGACAGACGGACAGAAGGACAGACGGACATGGCTAGATCGACTCGGCTGTTGATCCTGATCAAGAATATATATACTTTATATGGTCGGAGGTGCCTCCTTCACTGCGTTGCAAACTTCTGACTGAAATTATAATACCCTGCAAGGGTATAAAAAAACCATGTGCCAAGACTTTATTTTAATTTTACAAATTTGAAACCTATAGCTCTTGGTTGGCACTATAATTGGTGCTAAGACCGATTTTGAACCTTTGTTCGTTTTCAAGATAAATGTGAAGTTACATTTAAAAGAAACCAGTCTATGGTCTGATTTCAGCGAAACGTTATGAAAATTGTATTACAATAAGTAATTATGCAGTCAATTATCTTAATAATGTATTTTGTTTGTTTTTAAAATATTAAGTAGTTATTTTATAAATTCAATTTTAGTCCCGGTCTCACGTGACATTTTGGAAAGCGATAATTCAAACTGTAGGAATATTGGTGATCGCATATGGAAGTCCTTTTGCACTTTATATTAACTCTTTACATTCTCTGTGTGATATTAAAAAGCAAAAGTAAAAGCAAAATGCTTTTGTTTAAGAGATTGGCATCAAAACATAACATCCCATTTTTTATGAGGATTTTTTTTATAATGATATAATTTGCGTTTACGCGTGTTTGACATAGATTTTTTCATAATTAATTTTAGAAAATGAAAAATTCTCTTAGTCTTGATCAATATTACCAATTTTATATGTAACCACGTTAAATGGTCGTTTTTAAGCAATTTTAAGTTTTTGGTCAAGGTGGACCTTTCTGGAGAATTGCCCATATACATATATTCTTGATCAGGATTAACAGCCGAGTCGATCTAGCCATGTCCGTCTGTCCGTTTCACCGCAAACTAGTCTCTCAGTTTTGAAGCTATCTGAATAAAACGTTGTAGTTCATCTTCTATATACTCTCACTCGTATATATGTCGGAAAGGGCCGGATCGGACGACTATATCATATAGCTGCCATAGGAATGATCGGAAAATGATTACAAAAAATATAAAACTTTCAGTTTTCTACAGAATTGTATCAAATTTGAGATGCAGACATTTTATAATAATCTAAAATTTTGTGTAAAATTTTATGAATATCGGATATCACATTACTGCCTTAGGAACGATCGAGAAATTAATAACATTAAAAATTATAACTTTTTCAGTTCTCAGCAGAGTTTCATTAAATTTAAGGTATAGCCATTTTTTAATATTCTTCAATTTTATCGGACGACTATATCAGCTGCCATAAAAACGATCGTTAGATATATAGGAATATTTAAAACTGTGAATGTAAAACTGTAAATATAATATGGATGTCTATGTGAATAAAATGAAAGCAGCTTTTACCTCATTGCCTTTTAACATAAATCTACATAATTTATATTGTATTGATTCCTAGTCATCGAAGTTCTATCTGCAAGGGTATATAAACTTCGGCGTGCCAAAGTTAGCTTCCTTTCTTGTTTTTTTGTTTTAATTTTATACCAACTTTTAAATATTACTCATTCAGATACTTACGTATTTTATATGCCACAAAGTGCCCATGTTACGGAAATCTACTGTAACCAATGTTTATGTACATTTATTTATATACGAATATTTACACGATTTACATATCAAGTACAAAAGTGCCCCTATCCCAAAAAGGCAGGAATTCAACAAATATTTTTCGAATATATGACACTCGTCCTAATACTTGTTGATGTTGAACAATCTCACACCATGGAACTGGGGCAATTTTGGAAGCGTTACCACCACAAGTGATATGAAATTGGCTATAAAGTGTTCTGTGTTGTTCCTGGTGTACAAGCATGTAAGTAAGAAACTGTGGAAAATCAAGATTACAATTATTTATCGATTCAATAGAATACCTTCCTTAGCTTCAGGACAGGCGTTTGGGATATCCGATGAGAACAATAATTATTATGAACTTACAGGACAATGGGAACGGCTGTGAGGAACTTGCGGGTGGTGGTCATTTGCACGCCGTCGTCAATCTGTTCCCAGTGCGTCCACCGCCGGCTTGGATCGTTCTCCGTGCTCAGCCAAGGAGCCCCTTTGATGACGTGTAGGAAGTACAGATGAGCCTAGTCACGAAACGATTAGGGTCAATATCGCACTCGGACTTGGGCACTTACCGCATTGTGGAGCAGGTTGGTGGCCGTCCATGCCCATGCAATGCTGACGAACGGCACTGATAAAAAGAGCAGGTGCACCAGCAGGAGGCCCAAAAGGTAGGTCAGCCAAAACCCGCGGGCACTCAACCAGGAGCTGTTAGGGTTCGGCTCGCCGTGGCCTCCGGCAATAGACGTCATTTTATTTATTTGACTAATAACAATAGTATAAACAATAGAGGTGGAGAATCGTTGATGCAAACATCTACCACCGATATTTTTCCAGCTCTTGAAGCATGTCAAATGTTTTTAAAAAATACGACGGGTATACTAGCAAATTCATTGAGGCGTTACGGATTATTATGAATAAAAAAGCGGCGGTCACACTGCACCGAAAATATCAGCCATTTTGTTGTTTGAGCGTTGAAAAATTTTCGGCATTGATTCGATTAGAATTAAACGGAGAATAAAGCGAATTTATTTATATATTTAAAAGGCCTCATTGCCTTCAAGCCCAGAGCTTGGCTAACACAAGAAAAAATCACATTAAACCAATACGATGAGTGGTTCTAATGCAAAATCCTCGGGGACTGGTGAGCACCACAAACGTTTAACAAAAAAGTGGGCGACTTTCAACATTAATATTAAATTCAATAGGCTTTGGGAACCTCATGCTCATTCCCAGCATCGAGGAGAAGAACAAACAAATCCAACAGGAGACGATGATGGAGAAGTTGCGGGCAAAGTATCGGAACAAGCCAAAGTCCTACGAGGAGATCAAGAAATCCGTGCGAATGTACTTCATCGAGAAGCATTATCCGTTGGATCCACTTTGCAAGGCCACCCTACAGTCGGCGCTGGACAAGTTGCAGCACTACATCAAGGTGACATCGCGACACGGCCTCGTTGAACGGTTGGAGAGCCTCTCAAGGCAGCTGGGCCTTAAATTCATGGAGGACCAACAGCTACTGTTCATCTCAACCGACATGTTTTACGTCGAGATCCTACTCGACGCTTCAGGCAGTTTGACAGATGTCAAAGTGCACCACGAGTGCAAGATAGAGCAACAGTCTAGCGAAATGGTAGCATGCCTCAAGTCCGGCGACTTCGCCGACTTCACTGTCCAGCTAGAGGGCCTGTCCTCTATATACCAGCTGAACGCCGAGCCCAAGGTTAAGAAAAAAGCGTTTGTTGCGCTGCAGGCGCTAGAAACGGATATCCAGAGCCTCTACCAAATGCAGTTACAAAATCACTCCGGCGACAGCTATTCCCTGATGACCAGCTCTTCCGTCGGATTAGTGCTGCCCAGACGCGGAGGCCATCCGATGAAGCTGACCTACTTCTGCCCGCCACTCCACCTGCCCGAGGGTGATCCAAAGCAGGCCAGTGGCGACTTCAGCATTGATAAGGTGATGCGTAGCACCCACGGCTTAAGTGCCACCGTCAACCTAGAAGGCTCTTCGGCTAACAAACTGCAGACTATGCCAACGGTGTCGTTTGTTCGTGATGCGCAAACGGGCCTGGAGGTCCCCACCTACGCTCAACTTAATCAGAACAACTCCCTGCTGATGCCGGCCACATATGTGCTTCGGCTAAACAAGCCCATGCCCGTGTGCCTTGAGTCGTTAAAGGGATTGGGATTGCCTGGGCTGGACGCGATGGCTACGCCCCCCACGGCGCCCACCACAGTGCTCAATCTAATTGTTCAGACAGCGTCCAAACAGGCGATTAGAAATACACAGCGTGGACTATATGTGAATCTGCCAAAGGAGACACATTGCTACTTCTTTACCGACAACCGTAAACTTCAGGGCACGCTGGTGTCTTCGTTGCCCTTCACGGAGCCCGCCCAAGTGCCGCGGATCGTAGCGTTCCTGAAGAAGCAGGCACTCTTTTATACGCTTCTCGCCAGCTGCGTTCGCGAGCAGCAAAAGCAGTATAATGGTATGTACTTATATGCTGCTTTGTTTTAAGTACGTATTTTTATATTGGCATTCTTGTTTTTTTTCTTTCTATAGATATGGACAGCACTGTGATACTGGAGGTTACTGCCGTTTCCTTCAATCAGATCACTGTTGAGCTTCAGCATCCTTACGAGGAGTCCTTGGCAACCGTGGATTTTTTGCTGGAAGACAGTCAGCCTACCTGTAGCGTGTACTGTCTGAGCAACGAGTACGAGCAGCTCTCACAAAAACTCACACGCACTGTCCGTAAGGTTGTTTCCATCCCAATGGTTATCTACAAGCTGCTTAAGTGCTGGGACGAGGAACACGAGTTCAAGTTGCATGGCGTTATGGGTCCCGGAGCGGGAGCTGCGGGAGCAATCGGAGGTGGAGGAGGAGGCGGATCAGTTGGAGGCGGAGGCGGAGGAAGCAATAGCTTTAATCAGTTTACCATGGACACGGCACCACCTCAAGATGGTAGTCTGCCTGGCGGTGGTTTCGCCAATATCAACAGTCTCAAAATGGACTCGAAAACGCGGTCTCTGGCAGATTCCTTTGCTGCCTCAACCTCGGCTGCTGCGGCCATCGCGGGTCTGATGAACTTAAAACGCGAAACGGATACCCAGGCTGGCGTTTCATCTGGCGGACCCTCGGTTAGCTGCAGCTCCAGTTCTGCGGCCGCCGTAAAAAGCACTGATCAGGAAATTGCTGACAAGTACAAGAATATCTGGAAGGACAAGACCCCGAATCTGAAGCACTGTGTCAGCATTACTCCCATTTCAGGAGACGGCAAGTCAAGTTCAGTAGGGTCAACTAGCACTGGTGGAGTCGTCCCCGGCGTCGAGGTTCAACGAACTGGTGGCATTGAGATAATTCCACTTAACGCCCAAACTTCTGTCGCTGGCGGTGGTTCAGCTTCCTCGTCCAGTACGGCAGCTACAACCATAACAATAACTCCCATTACGGGGGGTAAGGAATCTATCAAGGAGTCGTCGAAGAAGAGTAGTACCATTCCGGCCGGAGCTGGTGTAACAACTAAGCGACCACATGAAAGCATTGCTAGTAGCTCCTCGTCTAGTGGGAGCGGAACAAGTGGATCGACCTCATCCTCCACTAGCACCAGCTCCTCCGATACGCAAAAGGAGAAAAAACGGAAGAAGAAGCGCGATGATTCACCGATGGGACCGCCAGAGAAGATCTACTCGCGCCAAAACTCGCCTGCTGCTGGCGGCGATTGCTCCTCGTCCGGTGGAGTGGTGCGAAAGTTTTCGTCACCCTCGTCGTCACCCAAGGCAGGCGGCGCAAGCCAGGGTCTAATGGCCGGAGTGCCACCAGGGCGTCCCAGCCCGAAACACTCGCCCGTCTACAGCAGCCCTAAGCATAACACCGCCTCCAACAGTCCAAAGTCACCGTTCGGCACCCACTCTCCCAAGCACGGATCGTCCGGCAAACCGAGCATGTCCACGCTGAAAAGTGCGGCCACGGCAGCAACTAGCCTAAGTCCCAAGGGGGACAAGTCCTCATCTTCTGCGGGAGCCGTACCATCGGGAGTAGTACCCTCTTCTTCGGGTCCTGGAGTGACACCAGGTCTGGTGCGATCTTTTGCCAGCGTGGGCGCACCGCCACCACCACCTCCAGTTCCTCCACTGACCAGCACGACCGGATCAGTTGGGAGCGGGAGCAGCGGCCAAAGCGTTAAAAAAGAGAAATCGTCCTCAGGATCCGGTTCTAATGCCGCTTCATCTACAATGGCTGCTGGTGCTTCTTCCGTCGCCGGGGGAGGAATTTCTCCAGCCAGTGTGGCGGCTGCAGTTGCAGCCTTGAAATCCTCGCAGCAGCAGCTGAAGTCGTCGGTTTCCAGTCTTTCTCATTTAGCGGCCGGTGGAGGATTAGGCAGCTACGCGGCCACGTCGGGTGCTGGTGGACCATCGGCAGCATCAGCATCAGTGGTGGTGGGAGCAGGTGCTGGAGCAGGAGCTTCCGGGTTGGAGCTGAGTGCCCTGCGGAAGAGTATGGCGGGAGGTGCGGTAAGTCCGTTTTCATTATAAGTGCTCCACTCCACTCCACAAGACACCAACCAACCCACTCCCAGCATATCTCACTGGATGCCTAACACGTAGTTGATTCTCTGCCAATTTTCCTCTAACCTAATGCAGCAGAATTAAAAAAATCTAACTAAACTAATGCAAATAGTGTATTTACCTTAGTTTTAAAAATATATATTTTGTAATTTCCTACTACTTCTGCTGTAGTTAAAGATGATAATTGTTACTCTGTTATTATTATTATTTTGTTGTTTGTGTCTTCTTTTCCTATATATATTAATTTTGTAAATATATATTATATCCTATTAATCATATCCAGCCGCATCCGTTTTATTTCCGACTAAATCCAAACTTTATTTATGGTAAAGGGGCTTCTCTTTAGCATCCTTAAAGCAAGCTTACCCTTACTATCTCTGCATTGAGCACGTATGTATGTATTTAATTATTCTTTTCTCTGTGGCATGTTTGTTTTTAAAGAGCCCTAATATAATTCGAATTAGAATTAGAATAATAAGTTATAAGAACAGTAATTGAAATGTAACATTTAAAATTTAGTGCGAAACCTTAAACTGAAATCTTTGCAAGAGCGTATCAAAACAACTATTTCTGCGTGGTAAACTTCGTTTCGAACTTTTGTTTAATGTTCTCAGATGATCAATATTCCAACGCTTTATTTATACCAACTCATATAGAGCACTTGGTTGAGAACTCGCACATTGAGAATTATTCAATTGATTGCAGAGCCAGAGAGAGAATCAATTCTCATAGAACTTCAAAAAACTTTAACAGAAAACAATTTTGCAGCATGGCATTAAATAAAGTATTTATATCAAATGAATTGCTAATGCCAGATGTACACAGTTAAGCGCGAGATTCAGCCTGTTACATATGTATATATAAAATGTAAATAAAGCCATGCGGATACATTTTAAATACATGTCTAGCTTAAATCTTACAATATATATTATAAATTAGCATTTCAGTTTTTGAATTTGAGATACAAAGTTTCACTTATTAGTTTCACTTTTGAGTTCAAATTGTAATAAAGTTAAATAGGCCAATATAATTACAAGATGAGTAACGTCATAAAATTTTTTTGCACTTTAATGCACTTCACATAAAGGTGCATTTTATTTTTAGATTTGTCAACATGTGCAGAAAAATTGTTTGCATATGGCAATTCATTATGGATTTATGGGTGATATGCATCTAATTATTAATAGGTCTTTTGTAAAATAGTTGTCAATTTTTGCTGGGTTGGTCATCAGACCATATCAGCATAGTTTCTATATTTTTAATTTACTATTTTCTAAATTTCTTATCTTCTAAATAATATCTTTAAACATTCTTAAGTATCTACTAATGGAGTTTGCTCTGTTTTTTCTCTTTTTCTCTTTCTTTCTTGTCCTTCCTCACAACAAATCCTTAACTTTCGAAAACCTGGCACTGCTTTTAACTTTTTTTATTATCTAACTGTTTGAGCGATCGATTTGCCTTGATTGTTTTAATTTGTATTTCGTTTTGGTTCGTTTGTTTCCACACACGCACACACCACATGCTTACTTTGTCAGGTTAGTTTGATGACGTCGACGGCAGCTTTAGCAACAACAACCCCGTCAGCACCAGCAACAACAACAACAGCAGCGGCAGTAGCAGCAACATCAGCGGGACAATTGGCTCCTCCAACATCGCTGGTGGGATCGCGACCGGGTCCGGCAGCACAAGCAGCGGCGGCAGCAGCGCCAACAGCGGCAGCAGCAGCAACACTAGCAACAACAGCAGCAGCGGAAACGGCAACAATGCTACAACAGCAGCCGGGAGCGGTGCCACCTAGTAGCTGCTTGGCGACTAGCGGCTGCAGTTTGGACTCCGCCGGAAGCAACACTCTTTCCGGAGCTTCCACGGAGTACATGGTGAAGCCCAGCAGCCAGGAGGGCCTTAAGCTAACCATCAACAAGACAGGTAGCAACAAGAGCTCCAGCTCCAGCTCTGGTTCTAGTACCATATCCAGTTCTTCAACTGGCGGACAAGGAAAATCGAAAAGCAGCAGTGGAGGTGTGGCGAGCTCATCGGGGTCATCTGGTTCTACCAAAAAGCAACACACGGGTCTCAAGCCTGGCGTGAACAGTGGACCCGCCTCCAAAAAAGCCACACAAGCCGCTTCAGCCGCAGCTAGCTCTTCTTCCAGTAAGCATCTCTTCCAAAAAGCAAATTCATCTGGTAGTCTCAGCACCAAATTGAGTGGGTCGAGCGCCGGTGGAGGAGTGCCGCTTACAAAGAGCAACAGCACCAACTCTTTTCAAGAACATAACGCCCCTAGACGACGTCCCAGCATGGGAGCACTCGCCACTGTTAGTGGTGGTGGTAGCAGTTCTCAGCGCAAGTCCAGCAGCACTGTGGTGGGCCTAGGTGGATCTTCGGGAGCAGTTTCACCAGCTGCCCACGGTGGTTCCACCTCACAGCCGCCGCCGCGGTTTGATCATCACACCGACATGATGACCATCTTGCAGTACGCTTCGCCAACGATGGCCGCCAGTATGGAGGGTTTCATCAAAGGGCTGCACAACAAGTTCCAGATACCGAAACTTTCGCAACGAGGAAGCGGGACTAACACCCCCAGTGGGCGCAGTACGCCCAGCGCGGATCAGCTGTCCACGACCTCATCAACTTCCACATCTAGTGCAACTGTTCCTTCAAGCGGACTGCCAGACCCGGAAGCCAAGCCGCCGGCACCACACCCTTCTCCAGGTGGCAATGATGGCCTCCTCAACCTTAGCAGCACGGCTGGAATGCCATCAGCGGATGGCATTGATGAGGAGCTTCTAGCCAGCCTGGCCGGGGAATGACGGAAGGTGCACACTAAAGAGATATTCCTGTTGCTCTATGCATTCGCATTGGTTAAGTGAGTTTTTAAATTAAACTTAATATAGAAGACAACTTTGATCACTGTTAAACTAAAAGTTTTACTTAATATTTCTATTTTACTTTTAATTGTAACTTATTGTTCTTAACTCTTATGGCCAATATTAATATTTGTTTAAATTAAAAGATATGACATCAAATTTGGTACAAAATCTCAGAGATTATAATAGATTCTGTGGAGTCGTAATGATAAAAAGAACTGTTAAACCTTTATTTAAAGTTATATTAGGTAAAACAAAGCGATATCAAGTGCGAAACGTGTCGCTCTAAATATTATATAAAATATAAGAATATTCAAAAAAGGCTTATGTATTCGTGTTTTTATTTTTGAGGACTAATAACAGAGTTGCAAATAACAGTTCACCGTTTTCTGCCTAGCATTCTACTCAAGAAGCAAAAACAAAAAGAAAAAATCTCTCTGAGAAGAAATTGTTTGTTTTCTTGTTTTGGTTCTCATCTGAACTTTAATTCTAAACATTTTTAGTTTCACTCTCCAAACAACTTAAATAGAGCGCAATTCGTCTGAGCGCTTTCCCATTTAGAGTCTGCACATGACCAAAAATAAAAGGCACATACGAAGCGGTCCCTAATTTTGTTTAACGTTTTGCCCCCAAAGAAAGAAATCTGTGTGCTTTAATTTAATAATATTCTATAATATATTAATAAATAGTTTCGCCTAATTGACACTTTTTTGTTTTAAAACATTAGTAATACGTATGCAACCAACCAAACGGTAAGTGAATAACTAGAAAAACCAAAGAATCGAAAAACCTCCGAGCGAAGACCGATTATTTTGAATCTGATATTTTTCCTAAAACGGTCCGTAAATGAGACTGATTTCGTAAAAGCTCTGCTTAATGGAAAAGTGCAGGATATATTGAATTTAATAAGCAATAGTTTTAAAATTTATTATTTAACAAAAGTTGCATGTTGTCATATAAGGATTTGGTTTAAGCGTTTGTAAATAATTCAGAAATAGCTCTTAGGAAGTTTTTTTCAAATTCTCTCTCAGAGAACCTTTCAACCGAAGCCCTGAAAATAAAATCAATTAGCAGAGATTAAAAAAGCAAAGGCTAATGGTAGGTACCTGGCTGCGTTTCGAATTCCATTCATTTCACCATTATTAACAATGATATTTAGTATGTTATCGGCGTACTCAACTGCGTCAGTTGCGAGAAATCCATTCTGACTTCCCTCGGAGGTTTCCACTATGTCCAGCAAAGGACCGCCCGACCTATGTGCTACCATTATAAGCCCAGCTGCCATGCAATCAACAACTCCGATACCGAAGTGCTCGTTCCACATTGTGTGTATTCCAATACTAGCGGTTTGATACAATTTAAGGAGGTCATCGTAGGGAACATTCACTTTGAACTGAACGTTGTTCTCCAGGGACAAGTGTTTGGACAAATCTTGCATATTTTTCAATCTCTCATAGTCCTCCTCGTTTCGGCATGACCCCACAATCACCAATTTTATTCTGCTCCACAGAGCCTCGTCATTAGCAAGTAAAGTCCTTAACTCGTAAATGGCTTGTAGCTGAAGGGGATGATCTTTTTCCGGTCGAAATTGTCCGACTGATAGAATGACGAATTCGTCGCCCTTTCCTGTGTGTTGAAGCTTTTTAAGATGGCCCACTTCGCATGGAGGGTACACCCGATGGGTTTTGAATGGCACATCCCACAGTTGCAGTATATGATTTTCGGTCCACGACGAGTTAACCATAATAGTCTCAGCGCAACAGCCGACCCATTTATACATCTAAACAAAATTAGCATTAGCAATATAAAGGCGGAACACATTTATCTATATAGTATTCACACTCACCTTCGAGAATAATCTGTAATAGGCTAGTTTTGTCCATGTTAAAAAGGGATTCCTAGCCACATACTTTTTATTGTTGTGCGACATCTGCCGCTGCTGGACCCTCTTTAGCATATCCGTACTGATAATCGGATAATGGACATAACAACCAACTTTGGCCTGGGCCAGATACCGAAAAAGTGGAAATGTGAAGGCGTAGCCCATTGTGTCAATAAAAATATCGGGAGGAAACTTGCAAAGCGCTTCCAGACCCAGCACCATCGATCCAATACTTTGTCCCAGCAAAGTAAAGTGCGGATAGTTCTTGGCCTCTATCCAGTGACGTTGTTTGAGAAACACAAATTTTACGTTGTCACTATCAACGGCAATGTTGAACACATTCTTGGCCTTTTGTAATATGGAACTAGGCGAGGCATCTATATCGCCTGTATAAATGATTACTTTGGCATTAGGATACTTTTCCTGGAAAAGAAAGGTTTAAAACTGTAATAATATTTATAATAATACTAACTTATAAAATTAAAATCGACCAAACTTTAGTAAAGACAGTTATGATATAATAGGAACCCTAAAAGACACGTACATAAACATGATGCAACTTTATAAGGTGGCTCATTAGCTTTCCTAAGGATTAAGCATTATAAAGTTTTGCAGATCTCTCTGTCACTGTTATGAGAGGGAAGGGCGCTAGGAAGGAGAGCAATATCAGTCCCGTCCTCAAATGACAGTTGTTCCCCTCATGAGACCACGTATTACATGTTTGCATTATGTACCTTGTGGATGCAAAGTTCTAAATTAAGTTTAGAAAATCACCTGCAACGCTCTTACAGCACACCACAGCACACGTTCTCCGCCGCCACCCGCGTTGCAGTAAGGATGGAAAATACCAATGTTCGTGTTTTTTTCCGAAGATTTGTGCAACTTCTTTTTCCGGCTTAGCAGCCATCGTCTCAGCGAAAAAAACGAAATAACCGCCGCAAGCACGCAAGAAAACAAGACCCAAAGACTGAAATAAAAACAAATGAGTAAATAGGAAAGGCAAAAGGTAAGCTATATTACATTATTACAATCATTTCGAGTTTGTTTTCATCGACTCATAATTATTACACGTAAATAAAAATATTGCATTCTAGGGATGTGAAGAAAGGCGATTTGAATATCGATATATTGTATCGATTCTGTCCTTTGGGGAATCGATGTATCGCAGATCAATAAAAAAATATATTGGGTATTCCCATAAGTCATTGAATCGTGTAGTCACTGATATTTAGAAATCGAGCAAATGACAAAATATACAAATATATATCTAACATTCCCCAACACCAGTATTTAAAATATTAATCAAGAATATAAAATATTCAAGAAACCACATTTCACCATGAAACATTGTGTTTAGCCCTAATGGTGGAATATTTATTTAGAAAATATTCTAGTATTTGTGAAGTAACAAAATTGTATTCTTAACAATGTCAATGTCTTATTAAAAGTGCAAGCCATAATTAACTAGCGATATTTTTGTCCCCCTAATTTAGTTAAGCTATGTATGTTATAATAAACCTTATAAAACAGATGGCTTAGCCTCGGAGCCAACAACAATGTGCAATACCTCACTATTTATATATAAATTACATTAAATATTTACTTTAATTAATTTTATCCGTCTGAAGGAAATGTCCCCATTGTCACAAGTCCTGATTGCTAGTCTGATATTCCAGATTTAACATTTAACATTTAAAATTCGTTTTTCAGATTAAAATCGTTTATGATTAAGCAACATCAAGGTAAAAAGAATTTAAGATAATGTACCTACAATTTAAAATGGTAAAAATGTCCAAACTCATAAAATCCTTTTTAGGTAAGAACAAAGCAAAGCTAAGCGGATTTTTCCCTGTAAAATGAAATGAGCTTTTAAGCTTTTGGCCAACATTATATCTGGTCTGAGCATGCGCTAGGGTAGGTTCTCCCTTAGTATAACTTTTAAGGATAAATACAATTATACTCGACTGTCTTAAAATCGCGACTATTTTATAATGAAAAATGAAATAATAAAATTTGAAAAAGGGTATTAATGTTGCAAACAATAAAGTGTGTTGTGAAGGTTAATCGGATCTTGTTAAATAGTCGACGAATGACAAAAAACTAGTTTATTCAATAGACAGAACCCCGGAATTCGTATAAGCCATACATACGAACATACACCATTACATTAAAATGGTAAGAATAAAAATGGGTGCTTGCAATATTAAAAGTTGTAAGATATGTGAAAAGTGAATAAAAGGTCATTTGTGATAAGAAACCCATGTAGCGGTTCACTTACACCATTGAAACAATTCTTATTTATTGAATTTGAGTTATATATACCAAAGTTCAGATACATATATTTTGTACATATGTACGTGGGGGTATGTAAGTATTCGTTTATATGCAGACAAACCTATATTCGTGTACAATTGAAAAAGAGTTCGATTTATTTAATTTTTTATTCGTGAGCTATCTGACAAATTCATGTTATTATTTGCTGTTTAGAAGGACTATTGATTGGTTTAATATTACATACAGATGTATGTATGTATATATAAAAATAAACCGCTGGTATATTTCCATATGAATGGAAATACAATGAGATTAATAATGCACTATAAACATTTTCGTGAATAAGAAATTGTTTGATATCGGAAACAAATATGGTCTATTGGGGTGCCTAAACTTAATTTGCTGTAGAAGCTTCATAGGCATTGATGTGTATACCCTTGCAGAGGGTAATATAACTTCAGCGAAGAATGGAATTCATTGAGAGAGAAATAATATAGAATGTATATGTTCTGAGCGTCGAACTGCCTTCCAGTTCTTAGTCTATATATTAAAATCATTCAGCGAATCTGCGTTAAAGGCATTTTGTATCCAGAATAATCGTATTGATCTCTGATATTTGTAAAAATTCATAGCTGCGCTGTTTTTAAGAATCCAAAATGACCAGTTTTTTTTAGTCTATATGTAGTTTTATGAAATATCCATACGTTTGTATAATAGATATTATGCTAGTTATTTGTCTGCTGCTATCTCGGATGCTACTGTTTTTAATGTTTTTTATAATGATAAATAGATATAAACGTCTTTAAATCTGAATGTCTGTGTTGCGATAGCCCCCACCCAACCGGTTGGACTTCAGTTAGCATTAAATTATAATAATTAAATAAATACATATTAATAAAAAAAAAGAATACGTAAAATGTAAAAATATCCTTCAGGGATCACTTAGATGCAGCTGAGCTTGCTTGGAACTAACTTATTCTACGATAACATTTTAAAAGTCAATCTGTAACATATATTTTTTATCCATTTGCAATATATTGTAAATCTTTTAAGCCTTTCACAATATATAACTTTCACAATTTATAACTTTATACATTTCAGATAAACTACACAAAAGGATATTGGCCGCTAGTTTTATATTTATTTTCATTTGCAATAACATATATAGGTGAGTAAACATAAGTTTAAACAAAGCAAAGACCTTTTTCGTACTTTTTTTTGAATAGAACTCAATTATAAAATTATCAAAGTTTTTATTCAAAATAAAATTTTGCTGTATTTCTTAAGGCCTACTAGTTCTGATCACAAAAAATTATATTGCATTCTAGATAGTTATTTATTGATCAATAATATCATAGTCTAATTTCTTCCATTCTAAAAAATATTAAAAATATAATACAATATCCGACAAAAATGCAAAAATGCCTTTTAATTAAAGATAAACTTTCTTAACCCTTTTCCAGATGGCTCATTCATATTGCCAGAGAATGACCCCCCACTACAGCGCCAAAATTCTTATCGAGAGGTCACCTCTACAAGGTCATCGTCGGGGAGACCATAGAGTTACCTTGCAAAGTACAGAACCTCGGCTCATTTGTGTTATTGTGGCGGAAAGGTTCCTCCGTACTCACTGCCGGACATTTGAAAATAACAAGGGATCAACGCTTCAAAATAGTCGGTGACTATAACTTGCAGATAAATGGAGTAAAGACCCAAGATGCTGGAGACTACATTTGTCAGCTAGGTGATCAGGAAAATCGCGACCAAGTTCATACAGTAGAAATTTTGGGTAATTTATTTGATTATTGTATTTCTTCACATGACTTCAAAATATAATTTTTTGTTTTGCTTAAGTCCCGCCTACGCTAAGGGCTCTTCCACATAATGGTCAGGTAACTGCCCGGAAGGGAAGTACTGTTACCTTGGAATGCAAGGCCTCCGGCAATCCGGTTCCCACAATATTTTGGTTCAAGAAGGATGTTTTTTCCGGACCAACTCACCTGTCGGATAGCTCAACATTAATATTGGAAAATGTAGACCGACATCACGCAGGAACATATCAGTGTTCAGCTGATAATGGGGTTAAGGATCGGGTATCCATGGACATACAGCTGACCATACTTTGTAAGTTGTATAATATTAGCATCGATCAAAAACAATATTAGTGAAATGAAAAATATATTCCAGCTCCACCAGAAATCACGGTGGAAAAGTCCTGGGTGCACGCGGCCGAAGGATACGATGTGGAACTGGTTTGCATTGTTCATGGCGATGTAAACTCAGAAGTAAGTTGGCAAAATATTAATGTATCAAACATTTTACATATATTTATATTATAGATGTTGTGGTATCAAAACTCATTTTTACTGGATCCAACCGATCGTCGGTCAATGTATCCGCGTGATGATAGGTACAGCCTTATTATTCGAAACTTCCAGCCAACAGATTTTGGCAATTATAGCTGCGTTGCTGATAATGCTTTGGGGAGAACAAAAAATATATTGAAGTGTCTGGTCGACCGGGTCCAGCTGATTTTATTTCTCCAGCTTTAAGCGGATTTCTAGATCATTACAACCTGACATGGACAATCGAGTCTATACCGCCGCTTGAGGAAATAAAGCTATTGTACAGACGTCTTTTGGTAATGTTAAAAAAATAGCTGTTGTTTTTTTGTAATAAATTTGTAATGTAATAACTCTTTTCAGATGAATGAAACCTACCAACATCCTGGCAAATGGCACGAGTATCATATTAAGCCTACTCCAATAAGGACAGATGGTTCACACTTTTTAATGTCATATCTCGTTAAAAATTTGGAACACAATGCTGTTTATGAAGCAATTGTTCAGGCTAAAAACAAATATGGATGGAACGAGGTATAACCTTTTAGCTAACCGTTTATATATATTTTTTTAAACGAATTTTCCATCTGCTCTTTAGATCAGCGATATTCACCAGTTTTATACACGAAACCATGACCTACTTCTTGACATTGATATGGAATATAAAATGGGCATTTCCAGTAATATAAGAATATCTCCAACACTCTGTGGAATACTTTTACCAGCATTTATTTTAGTAATCTTTCCTTTCATTAATGTTTAAAAATAACATCTAGGTTTTATTTGCATATATAATTTAAATGGTGCCTTACTAAAACTTTAGCAAATAATTAAATTTACATGTATGTACGTTAAGAAGTCGTATTTAATGTATTAACATCTCAATAGAAAACTTATCTCATTAGAATACTTATACATATGAATGACATTTGATTTTGTACATTTGTGAATTAGTTCTTCCTATTTGACTGTCTTTTTTAAGGAATTCTTCATTATTAATATCCTAAATAGGTTTCGTTGAATCTTTTATTTACTCTAAAAAGGTTATACTAATGCAATATTGCAAGATAAATACAAAACGACTTTTTTAACTGTAGACATTTGGTTTCGCTATTTAGATCATGCCAACTAACTTTATTTTAAATATTGATTAATAGTTCATAATGCTTTAAGATGTTGTAATTATTCTGATCAAAAAGTCGTAGGCTTAGGCCCAAGTTAGACCGATCCAAGAACTGAGTACCGCATTATATTATAATTACTTTCAAAAAAGATAAGAGAAACCAGTCTACATAAAATTAAATACTGATAAGAAATAATACCTTTAATTAAAGATCAGAAAGTACATGAAAGTTCAGAAAATCTCATAAGAGGAGTAACGGGGGTAAAGATTTCGAAATAAAATAAGGATAAGTAAGTTCTTAAAGTTGCACAAAACATATATGTACATATAAAATATATCCGCAAGTATTCGTAAAGTTTTCAATTTATTCGGATTAATATCCGAATCATATAAGAACACTTTTACAACGTTTATACGATGCATATCCCTTTTAATTTTAATTAATTTTTACTTAGTTGATAGTGAGTAAAAATGACACTATGGTCAACTTCACTTTCTTTTATTTTAATAACTTAAATTAATAATAATGGTGGGATATTGTTTAACATATCGCGAGGTATACAAAAATACTCGTAGCAAACAATCGTATAAGCGTAGTAATTGTTGATTAAATAAAACATTCGCTTTAATGGATATTTAGAAATAGAAAATATGGTAATCGGATTCTCTACAGTTGCACAGTATGTTCTCTTATTTGTCTTGTCCGATTTGTGATTTTTTTCTCATTATACTATATGATAAAGAGATAATTCCGTACATAAAGAACCAGTTCAGTGAAAAATGTAACATTGTTAATTTAATTTTTTTATTTTATTTAATTTGAAACATAAATAGTTTTTGTTATAGTTAAATTGATTTTCAATCTCGTATTATGGACACTTGTAGTTACACCATTTGAAAAAATACTAGGATGGACATGGCAATTTATAGCTGAAAAAGCTTAGCAATTTAAACGTATTCATTACGTAATATATATACCCTCCTGTAATCATAAAATACATAAATACATATTGCAAATCGTTCAACGATTGTAGATACGTTATAGGCATACCAATGAGAATAAAAACATAACTATAGCCATTAAAAATTCTTAGAATTAGGGTAATTTTCCTAACCAAAATGTATTAATTATTAAAATAATGTAATTTATAAAATTATTTATTTAAATTCATGTATATACGCACAGGCAAACATATTATCTTCTTTAAGAGCCAGTTGGATATCTATTTTTTTCTTTATTTGTGAAACCATTCGTAAAACATTATGAAATTCATGTAAAAATTGTTTTCTCATATAAAAAAATCACAAATTAATCAGATAAAGAATACTACAAATGGTATATTATTCATAGAATACAATTAGAAACATAATCAATCTATAACATTATTAACAACTAGACGACAAAGAAAATATACTAACACAATTGTATGATACAAAATAAATCTCTTGAACCGGGAGTAGTAATTAATTAATAATTATTTTGTAAGTTTATACGTCTGTATATCCCAATATATGCATATGTATAATTACGAGTGCACAAACGTCCTGCAAGTTTGGATGGGCGTGAGAATGAAAATAAAGCTCTTTTATTTTAATCATAAGTGTTCTTAAACTTAAGCATAGAAAATAATCCCATTAGTGTTATAATTTCTATAAAAGGAAAGATTTACTTTACAGTAAACGTGTAAGATCTACCTACTTGTAATGAATGGCATTATACATAACAAACTTACAAAGCACGAATAAAATCATTTTACTAGTAGATTAACTTACTATCTTTGTGATTCCTTGGCACTTCCTATCTCACACAGAAGGAATTCATAGAGTTCTTAAATAAGGGAGGAGATAACCCAGTTTTGTTTTAATATACGAAAGAAGAGAAAGTCATAGAATATTAATATAACTCCATTCGATTATTGAAATGCATATTTAATTTATTTGGAAATTAAAAATTATTTTATATTTAGTCGAGTGGGGCTCCTTCCGGTGAGGTGGATAGAATAGAGGGCTGAGGACTTATTTGAGTAATAGTTGTTGGTCTGATGGAGAGTAACTGAATGGCTTCTAGCAGACCATCTTGACTACTTGAAGCCAATGGCCAGTTTCCATCTGCAATAAATTTAATATAAAATGTCGTATTTACAATTAGAGTAGTACTTAAACAAATTACCAGAATTATGCGAAGTATATCGTTCTGAACTAGACATTTTGTAGCCTGAAGCCTTCAACGTATTCATTGGCATTATTCTGGTTTGATTCCAAGTTACAGTATTTCTATCGGTTTTTGATGCCTCCCACGGCATTGACCACCTTCGCATCTGACTTTCTGGATCGGTAGAAATTCCGTCTATAACCTCTCCGGCAGCTGCTTCTGACCAACGACGCTGACCGTTTAATGGAAATAGTGGGAAGCTTAAGGAAGACTTAACATTCCGGTGAAATGGGATCTTCATGGACAGCAACTGTCCGGGGTTGGGCAAGGGACCGCGTGTGTGCTCGAAAATGGCTTGCATTGGATTTGCATCGCAAAAGTTTAATTGTGGCGAAGGACCGCGTTGTTGGTCAACTACAAAATGGAGAAAATACGTATTCTACGTAATACATAGACGATTTACAAAATCTCGATACCTGGCTCAGAAATTCCAGTGGCGACAGGGCGTTGATCAGTTAATGAATTTCCTCTGGATGAATCCACTTTAGCACCACACAAATTTGGCGATGGGGTTTGTGATCTTTGATCAAATTGATTGCTTCAAAAATACGATATTAAAGATATTTTAAACAAAAGCCATTATAGTTATATATATATACCGCTGTTTCATTACGCTGCAGTCTTGTTCATGGGGGAACCCTACTGGCGATTGACAGACAAAACAACATGTTAAGGATGAGAATGCGTCGTAGCTGGCAGCGCAAAATTGATGTTGAATATTAATAACTGCTTGGGCATTTTCCAAAACAATCAACTCGTTATGCTCCTTAAACCGTTTTTGTTCCATTTCCGTGTTGGCAGATGGATCTACAGTCGATATAGTAACAAAGTCCTGCAGCAAAGCCAACATGTGAGTCTTTACTGTTCCTGTAGCCACCGTTGTTGCTCTGCGATTAGATTTTAATTATTTCAATTCGTACTTTTTAGCTGTACTAGAATCCTTACCTTGCCAAATCGTTCCAGGAATTTGTCAAATAAGACGTTGTATAATTGTTGAACATGGGCTTATCGCTCAAGGACCACTGCTCCAAAACAGCTATTGAATGTGCCAATTTCGACCCGGCGGTGCATAAATTATTTAGAGCACTTAAATAGTTGATCCATGCAGCAGAGCATTCGCTTAAAGCCGTTTTGGCCGATATTGACGAGTTACTTCCACTACTAGAGGTCGCCGAATGACCGGAATTGTTGCATAGCTCTTCCATTTTACGGCCTTTTAATCTTCTGTTCTGAAAAGAAAATATTTTAAATTCATGTCTATACATCGATGAAGCATAACAAATATACACAAATATACCCAACCAATTACTTAACCAAAGTATACATATTAAGCCTTGAAGTTAATTATCTTCTAGTAACTAATGAAATCTATATACACATACTTGTCGTTCCGACGAAAAACGTTAAGAATAACAATATCCTAACGAACCTATGATATTTTTCGAAAAGGGTGTAAAAGCTACCTGCTAAAACATAGGACTGGAGTCTGAAAATCCTTTGAGCCTATTAGGGTAAGTGGACACAAGCTCGTCCTTTCTTTTTTTCAACTTTTTACTTACTTATTTACTTAAAAACTTTGCCGGCGACCGAAACGAAAGTGTGGCAGAAACATAACTTCGATAAAAAACCAACCAGGTTTATAAACAAAAATACTGAGTAATTAAAATATTTTCTCTGCTTTTATGTACTGTAGTCTATCTCATAAAATTATCATACAATTATTAATTTTTATTAATACACATTTAATTATCTTAAGACGCCTGTTCACCTCGAACAAACAGAACTTTTTATTCATAATTTAGTATATTTCCAGTAATTGGTATATGATATATTTGGTATATTCGATTGTACAGCATATGTTCATATTAAACAGCTGTTTGTTTTGTTTATTTATATGGCCTCAGAATTTCAGTTTCTTTTATATTTAGTCAATTATTAAAAGGTTAAATGAATTTGTATACCATTATATTTACCAGTGCAATTAGTACAATTTGCGGACTTGACGCTTTTAAGACAGCCATTGTTCCCAATGAGTTCATAGTTAGTTTCCATGCCAAATACTTTGCACCGATCAGGGAATCCTACATCACAGTGAAGCTCAGTAGCTTAAACGTAAGTAAAAAAACGAAATCAGTTGCTATATCCTTGCAAACGGTATAATGAGTCAATCAGAAGATAACGTCACAGTGAATGAGATATAAACAACCCTATAAATTATGATCAAATTAAGCTGCCGCGGATAAAGAGCTAGTGTCTAAATGAAACTGCAGTTTTTCTTAATAGTCGAATAATTTGTTTTAACCCATTTTATTCTACTCCGAGATATGGCAAATTTATTGGTTTCAGAAATACGAAATTATCTCATTAGAACCAGCACAACAACATGATCACCGGTGGATTTCTTATGATAGTTCTGCTGAACGCCTACGATCAGTGATCATGATTCAAAACAACCACAAAGGATGTCGTCAAATAAGATTCTATTTTTTTATGCTTAGACAAATTTAAAGAATACTTTTATAAACAAAATCAGGAAAATTTTGGCGGGAAGCCCACGAAAAGGGCCCAGTCGCGTTTAAAAGATAATAAAACAAGAAAGCAAGCATAGAAAAAATTCGTGTAATGCCAACTTTCGTGAAATTCACCTGTACATACTATTTTTTTTTTTTAATTACAGCTTGGCATTTTTCTCTAAATTTGACGATAGTTTCAATGGTAGCTATATGATATAGTAGTCCGAATATCATTAACTTTAACATAAAATTCTTGAATAATACTAAATTCTCTCAAATTTCACAAAAATCTATTAAGAACTGGAAAGTCGATATATGATATAGTCGTCCGATCCGGACCGTTCAGACCTTTACACAAGTGAGAGTATAGAAGACTAACTGCAAAGTTCATGCAGATAGCTTCAAAGCTAAGAGACTATTTGCGTAGAAACGAACAGAAGTAAATGGCTAAATCGACTCGGTTGTTGTGCTGACCAAGAATATATGTACATATGTATATACTTTAGATGGTAGGAGATGACTCCTTCACAGCGTTGTGAACTTCTGATTGAAAATAATAATAAATAATAATAATAAATTGATGTGCCTTTTTGAGCGGTTGAAAGAATTATAAAGGTCCTGAAAAAAATACAACTAAATTGTCTTAAAATATGTTGGTAAAAGAACAATAACAAGACTAATGCAATCAAAAATCATCATCGGCTATGACCTATTACTCTAAAATTGAATTCTTAGTCGCGGCAAGGAAGTCTCTTATCTTGATTGATTGATGATTTATTGATTTGCTTTAGACGATACTTGCTAATTTGAGTCCCGCGATATCCAATTATTTTGTTGGTTTCAGTTTAAGAGCAGTGCAAAGATTTAAGGTAAGGTAAGCCTAAATTGATTTGTAAGTAAAATATTTGTATTTACTTAGAATTTTAAAAATTGTTTATTAAAATAAAATATAATATAATAAAACGTACACAATTCATAAAAGAACTTTGTAAAATATTTAACGATGAATTGGATATAATCGATATAATTGGAAGGAAACCGTCGCTGAGACACGCCCCAAAAATTGCTTTCTGATCACAACTATAAGAATTATATAATTAAATATTTATTAAATATTAAAATATTATTAATTAAATTAAATAAATTATTAAATTATTAATTTTGGCTAAAATTCGATTATAATAAATCTTTAATGTGTCGCTAATTAATTAATATTATTAATATAATACAAATATTTTAATCGAACACTTCCAAAATTCAATTTAAATATTAATCGGAGATGAGTTATGATTAGGAAAGGAGCTCAATTATTTTTATCAGAAAGGGGGATAGAAAAAGACTGAAGAATACTGACTGGAGATGAATTCCAATTTGCTTATTTTTACGACGGGAATGGTATCATGGTCCTTCGCCAGAAAACAGTTTATCACTGATTACTGATCTGTAACCATTCATGATTTTTGTTTCAACTCTCATAACAATTGTCAAGCGTTTCTGTTTAAACCCTGATAAAAATTTAATTAACATTTGATTTACGACCTTGGCATCTAGGTAACAGGCTGGACCATTATACCACGGCACAATTTAGCTTCGCAATATCCAAGCGATTTCGACATATTAAGGACCTTGGACGAAGATCCAGCATCAATTCAGTTAGTTATAAAAAGGATTCAAACGCACCCATTAGTTAAAAAGGTGTTTCCCAATCGAAGTGTTCACAGAACTCTTTCTCATAGTCCGGGTAGTAATATCACAAATGTAAACCGACAGCCCCAAGGCGTTTTGCGAAACAGAGACCCGGATAATGACCGGACTCGCCAGGCTTGCTCAGTTCTGAAAGCCAATGTTCTTTGGAAGCTAGGCATCACAGGCAAAGGAGTCAAAGTTGCTATCTTTGATACTGGCTTAACCAAGAACCATCCGCATTTTCGAAATGTGAAAGAACGTACTAATTGGACCAATGAAAAGTCCCTGGATGACAAGGTTAGTCATGGGACTTTCGTCGCAGGGGTCATAGCCTCGTCCAGAGAATGCCTTGGTTTTGCCCCTGATGCTGATCTGTACATTTTTAAAGTGTTTACGAATTCCCAGGTGGGTAATCGTGCTATTCCTTTAAAATAAGTCTATCTAATCGAATAATATTTACCTCACGCCTTAGGTTTCCTACACTTCCTGGTTCCTCGATGCTTTTAACTATGCAATTTTCAAAAAAATTAACATACTCAACCTTAGCATAGGTGGACCGGACTTTATGGATGCGCCGTTTGTGGAGAAAGTTCTAGAGCTGTCGGCCAATAATGTCATAATGATATCTGCGGCAGGTAATGATGGTCCTCTATATGGAACTCTCAACAATCCAGGGGACCAAAGCGACGTTATTGGTGTTGGCGGCATTCAGTTCGATGACAAAATAGCCAAGTTCAGTTCGAGAGGTATGACGACTTGGGAACTTCCGAGGGGATATGGCCGATTAGGGCTGGATATAGTTACTTACGGAAGTCAGGTGGAAGGCAGTGATGTGCGGAAAGGCTGCAGGCGCCTCTCAGGAACCTCAGTTTCATCTCCAGTTGTTGCAGGAGTAGCCGCCTTATTGGTCAGCGGTGCCTTTCATAAAATCGACTTGATTAACCCAGCATCCCTCAAACAAGTATTGATTGAAGGGGCAGAAAAGCTTCCACACTACAATATGTTTGAGCAGGGTGCTGGAAAACTGAACTTGTTAAAAAGTATGCGGTTGTTGCTATCTTATAAGCCAAAGATAAGTCTTGTTCCGCCCTTTCTTGATTTTACTTTGAACTATATGTGGCCGTACAGTTCTCAGCCGTTGTATTACGGAAGCTCCGTGGCTATAGCAAACGTAACTATACTCAATGGGATATCAGTTACCAGTCAGATTTTGGGTACCCCGAAATGGATTCCAGACCTAATGCATCACGGCCAGTTTCTTCAAATATCGACAGAAGTTTCTCCATTCCTCTGGCCGTGGACCGGGTGGATGGCAGTTTTTATTGGTGAGTAATTTCAAATCCCTTATACTAACTAGAAGCCGATGAGGCCCATACATTTGACTGTCATATTCAAGCAAGAAACATCTTGTTGTAATTATAAGTTTTTTGGCTATTTATTATTCTGTTTTTACTTATTTGTTATTGATTTTGATTAACTTTTAAAGCTGTTAATAAGGATGGCGAAAACTTTGAGGGCGTTTGCAAAGGAGCTATTACTGTAGTTGTTGAAAGTTGGAAAGAGTCGACAAACGAAACTCACATAAGCGAAGTCAGGTTGCCTTTGACCATAAAGGTAACGCAGAAACCTCCAAGAAGCAAAAGGATTCTGTGGGACCAGTACCATAGCTTGAGATATCCGCCGCGATATATACCAAGAGATGATCTAAAGGTGAAATCAGATCCTTTGGACTGGAGGGCGGATCACATACACACAAACTTTAAGGACATGTATACGCACCTGCGAAATGTTGGCTACTACATTGACGTTTTGCGGGAACCCTTCACCTGCTTCAATGTATCAGATTACGGAGCTCTATTGATTGTTGATCCAGAGAAAGAGTTTGCTGACGACGAAATACTTGCCATACAAGAAAATGTTTATAGGAACGGCCTGGGTGTCGTCATATTCGGAGATTGGTATAATACAACGGTTATGAAAAAAATTAAGTTCTTTGACGAAAATACAAGACAATGGTGGACGCCTGATACCGGCGGCGCCAATATTCCGGCCCTAAATGATTTGCTAAAACCATTTGGAATTGGTTTTGGCGATTTTGTCGGTGAGGCTCACTTCAAACTGGGAGACCATTCGATGTACTATGCCAGTGGTGCGACAATTGTACGATTTCCAAATAACCCCGGAGACATACTGGTGGGAACAAAGCTAAATGACCAAGGATTTTCGGTAGATATATAACTAATTAATTATTCATAATAAGGAAAAAAATACTCTTTTCTTCCAGATTATAAATTCAAAAACACCTACTAAAGAGGGTAAAGAAGATCTACCTATTTTGGGCATGTTCCAAGCTAAGCTCAGCCATGTCGAAAAAAACGAACCAATTAGCACTGAGTATTCTAAATACAAAAACAGAGGTCTGTTGTACCGCAAAAGTCATCGAAGCATCAGCTTTGCTAAGACGAAACACAATATTCAAACTGATGGAGAAGGGCGTATAGCGGTCTATGGAGACTCAAACTGTCTGGATTCCACGCATCTCGAAAAGGCTTGCTTTTGGCTACTAAATGTATTTTTAGATTTTGCCATAAACTCACACAAGTCCAGCTTGTTGCAAAATCTGAACCGCATAGAAGAGTTCAGTAAAGTAAACGAAGCACCTTTACCTTTAAGAATACATAGTGATGGTATAAGTCCAGTTCTGCAAAGGAAGTCGTGTGATTATATTTCCTGGCTACTCCCAACAGAGGAAAAGGAAGTGGAAGACAAAGAACCTTCTATTAACGATATAGTCACAAGCAAAAATGAAGGTATTTTAATCTACTTAAAGCTCAACATTTAGTATAAAGATATTTTTCTTTTCAGAATATGAAAACAACGTCATCCAAAAGATTTTGGATGTGGAGATTACGAAATTGTGTCAAGACAGTGAATACTTTACAGAATGTCAGGACTCCGAGTGCTTAAGAGCTCCAATTATATTTTTGATTTGTACAAGCTTAATGGTTTTTATATTATTTTTATTATTTGTAAAGCACATACATATATTTCGTAGATAAATAATTTTCTAACAATTTGAAACCGTGTTTCATGTTTTGAAAGTTTCCATTAATTGACCCCACCTACCTTCATATTCAAATGTCACGTATGTGGGATACAAAATAAGTTATATATCAATAACGTTAGTTTTAAAAACACATTTTATTCATTTGTATAATTTTAAAATCTTTAAATTGTAAGTTACTTAAAAAATTAAAAATGAGAGCATTTCAATCTACATACAAATAATTGTATTTGTAAAGAGCTTTGTTTGAATTAGTTGTAAAAAGCTTTGTGCTTTTGACAAAAAGTCGATGTATTTTTCTAAGTTAAATAAATTATACGTATTTAATATATTTGAATTTTTTACATTCAAAGTACAGTTATAGATATACAAAATGTCCAATAATTTACACTTAACTAAATAAATTAATTTACAGGAGTTGTATTATTTGTTATCGATGTCGTATTGAAATTTACTCTTAAACTACGGCTTGCATGTTCCTGTGGCAATATACACATAGCCTATCATTTTTTTTCGTTGTCAATTTTACTTTTATCCAACGATGACGACACCATTCCGCCGCCATTTGAAGGATATAGCTTTTCCAAATAGTTTAATGATTCATTCAAGAATGTCTGTAAAGAAAAGGTAAGACTTGATTGGTGATCTATGTTTGGTGTATTGTAATCGTAGTGAAATATGTACCTGGAAAGCATGCAGAACGGCCATTATTGCGGGTGATCCAAAGCCGTGCGTAATCAAGGAAAAATGTGTTAAGTGGCGCTGCATCGAAGGCTCCAACAAGTGCTGTGATCTTGTGCCAAAATGGGTCGTTCGATCTTGACTTAAGATCTGCATTAATTCTTTTGTAATCTGGAAAATAAGAATTATATTTTGCTTGTTATATTAAAAAGTATTTACAGTCTAAATATGCAACATTTTGAGGATGGAGAGTGATCTTTGAAAAACTTGTTTATAAGTTTTAAGAGTGATTTATTTACTTAATTACACTGAATGTGCAAAAAAAAAAAACCCAAAAAGGACATCCTTGACGGGTGGTGTCTGACGCTGGCAATGTGTGGGTTTTGCTTTTCACGAAAAATCAATTCACAAACTTTATATGTATGACAAGTTCGACCCTACATTTGTTAACATAAGTTTTTCCACTTTTAGTTAAATCAAACTAAACAATTGTCGTCCTATTTCGGGTCAATTTAACTAATATGCCACTTTTTGCATAATCACAATTAAAGATACATAAACCAAATGTAATTAATTCAATTGTTCCGATATGGACATCGGGCATCCTTATTTTTCTAAGACCTTACCTGCTGGGAGTGAAGGATGAGCTCTTTCCGTCTGTAGGAGTCCTGTGGCTCCGTTTGATGGCGGACAATGTACTCAGCCAGCTGCCTTGCCGGGAATTCCGTCTCACACACGAAATGGAAATCCTTAGCCAAGTGCGTTGCCTCGCCCTCCACCAAAGATGTGAGTAGCGTCACGTTAGCCGCTTTTCGCCTTCCAGCCGGTAAGTTCAGACCAATCTTCTCCAGCTTCTCCCGCAAGAGCCGACCTCCATTCTTGCTCTTGGCTCTGAAAGAAGGAATGCATAACTTAAGGAGATGATGAGGATGGCGAGTAAGCCAAACCCACCTTCGGAGCACTCCGCCCAGGAGGGAGGCGTTTAAGCACTCGGGTGGTGACAGCCGGCGCTGCACTTCGGCAATGGTGACCTTGTATTTCGACGTGCTCGATAGGAGACTAAGGCGACCAGGAACTGCACAGAATACCTCGCTGGGCGAACCCGAGCCCAGGTTCCCGGATTCTTTCCCGCTCTTCATGCCTGCAAATAAACGCAAAAAACTCCATGAGTGTGTGCCGTATATTGTTAACGGGAAGAAAGATATATTATTATTGCCATTGTTGTTATTGTTCAGCCAAAGCAAAGTGTGAACGCAGGACGTGGAGATCATTTTACCCGAATCCTGCCAATTAGAAGTACCAGATTCTATTTCACAATGCCCACAAACACAGGATTTTGCGGGGTTGGTCCTTGCATTGTTATTTAGGCGTGTTCGTAGTTCCGCCTTAAACACAACGTGAAGTGGAGTGCAACTTGCAAGTTCATTCAGATTATGAAAAGTTTGTATAGTAATATTAATATAAAAAGAAATATTACTGCCTTTGATAGTATTTATTTCTGAGTACCATGAATTATTCTTGATCAATATATCTGAAAATTGAAACATTTGATTCTAATCTGAAGTCCTACATGTATTTGTACTACTTGCACATGAATCCTTCCAATTTGTCTTCACTGCAGTTTTTATATTTTTCTACCATTCTTTCTGGCGAAATGGCTCACTTTGTTTTCAACTTAATATTTTTTTTTAGTAAATTCCACAATTTTCTTAACTACCTCAAATAATTTGTTTCAGAAACTAAGCCTGAAATCTTATTTAAAAATTTCTTTAACTTACTCTTAATAAGCGGCAAGTCGGACATAAAAGCCACATTATCGTCGAGGGCAGGGGCTTGGACATCATCAACAGCGTTTTGAAGGGCTTGGTGCAAAGCTAAGGACTCGTGTTCATGTCCAGTCTGGTTCCGTGGGCAGCTCCAGCCGATATTGCACTTCCGTAATCACTTCTTCTATCCGTGTACGGAAATCCGTGGGACAGTTGGGTCTGTAAGGATATAATTGTTGCAATAATTCATGAACTTATTTTTATGATGACAAAAACGTTAATGTAAGTTCTGTGCAAAACGGAACCTTTTCAAAATTGTGTTAATTGAAATAGTATGAAAACGCAAATGTACAAAAGTGTGCCGCTGCTTATACGTTGGACAATAAATTAACTCTGATCGATGTAGAGCTTCGAAACAATATTCTTTAAATGTAAAAAAATATATATACAAAAATAGCAATTATGAAATAATAATGAATAACAAATTAAATACCTTAACCCCTTCCAACTTTATAAGGATAACAATAGAATTGAACAAAATTTTAGCTCTTGTAACGAGATGTTTAATTTAACCGTCTTAGAATTGAGTAAGAAAACAAATATTGTTTTTTTAAACGCATTCGTTAAAGTTCAGTGTATTCCATAGACGCCTCAAGTCAAGCGGAAAACGTAATATTTGTAACCCAACGATATTTCTGTGTGTATTGTAAAAATGATGGCAATAATTGCGAGATTATTAATACATCGGCGCTTCGGTTTCGCCAAGGGGTTGAAACGCCGCTTGGCCAATCGCAGCTTCTTGGCATAATGTATGCAGACCGGCTGGAACACACACATAAGGCGGGCCCTTGTGTGTGGCGTGTCTGTGAGAAAGACCCTTCGGCGGACAGATGCGCACCAGAGCAGCAGAGCACCAGAGCACCAGAGCCTGCAAGGATACGAGGCTGCGGGAATACGCCTTTTCATAACATTAGCGTTGCGTTTTACTGCACTGCTTGCGGAGCAAAACAAATGTGGAACCAGATTCCCTTCGGCGGGCTAAGATAGAGCTGGGAATTTCATCGTTGTTGGCAAGACGCTCTGGCAAAATCTGAAGAACATTTTTAGCATTTTCCGGAGGATGTTTTTTAATGCACTCGAATGGAATGCGTTCCAAAATAACTTCGACAACTTTTACAGAATGGGGCAATTTCCACCCCTGCTGAATTTTCCATGGCCTCCGAAGCCAAGAATGTAGCGAAATATGCAAGAATAATGTGGAAGAAGACGCAAATTCTGAAACGGATGAAAAGATTGGGTCCGGGGCTCAACTGCCTGCTTGTTAGTATAAAAAGTAATTTGGCTTTCAATTGTTCAGCACATAAATTAATACTTTTTAAGCTATTTTCCCTCTTAATTTTGCACTCGAAAAAATACAGTGAAGATGAAGAAATACGAAAGATACGCCTCTAGAATAACAATCGAAAGGCGATTCGGAAAATAAACCTTGTCATAAGCCAATTCAAACTCATTCCATTAGGGAATTGGTAAAATAGTTCAAATTATTTTGATCGGTGCACAACTTACGACATGTCCCTGCAATTCAGCCTCTCTGTGGGTCCTGTGAATCCCCAGTTGATCCTGCGTGGACCGCAGCCCCGCCAGCTGATTGTAGTGGTGCAGTGGGGCGTGGTGCAGCGAGGAAAGGGGCTGGCCATAGGGATCCGTGCCCAAGTACTCGAGGGCACCGTGGTTCTGCAAGTAGCCGGATATCTAGATAACGCTTGGGAATAATCAAAGCGGCAAGCGGGATGGAGTCTTACCTGTTGCTGGGGCGGACTTTGCGTGGAGTGGTGGAAGGGGGGCGGAAAGTACGGCGGCTGAAAGTCGGACTGCAGCGATTGGTGGTGCATGGTGGCCGCCGATCCATGGGTGCTACTGTGTCCACTGTGCCCGGTAGCCGGTCCGCTGCGCCCCGTGTGACCGCCGGAGTGCGTGGTGTACGCCGCACTGCTGCTGGAGAGGCCTAGGCTGCCATGTCCACTTAGGCGTTCCTAGAGAAGGACACACAATCTGTTTAGAACACAATGCGTTTTCTCCAAAATGTTCAGTTTATACGATTTAAATTAAAAACTATTGATTTATGGTAAAATTCATAACCCGCCGGCAAACAGAAAAATAGTTTTTGTTTTGATTTCGACTTGGTATTCCAATCTATACATTTCGAATATGGGGAGTGGTTTATTGATTAATTTTACCAATATTTAATAAGGACTGTTTCACCTATTTATGGAAACAATTATTTTCCATGGTCAAAAAAAGGCAATTGTACACTAGCTACCTTACTATCTTCCTACAGTTTACTTTGAAAGTTATCTTAGAGTTCCCTAGACGTACTTATCAGTTGTAATATGTTTAAATAAAATATTTATTTTAAGAATATAGTACTTTGCGAGGACTTCCAGCTAGATTCATGAAATAAAAATTTATATAATTTTCGGCTTAACTTTGGTTGACGAAAGTTAAAAAAAAGGTAAAAACTACGAAATCTTGTAGGTAACATTAGACAGTAACTTTAGAGTTATCAGTCAGAAGGATAAAAAAATATTGTAAAAAAGATATCATACAAACCGTTGACCTATGAGCCTATGAGAGCTAGAGTTGTCTTATTCGGAGGCAACGTTTTATTGATATGATATGTATTTTATTTTATTTTAGAACCCTTACCCTTTCCCTTAAATTCTTTCGGAGGTAATTCTATCCATACCAAATATCCTAGAGATAGCAGAAAGTATTTATAAATACATAGATACCATGTCGCAATGCTAGATTCGATATATAAACTTTTAACTTTGCGATAAATGTGCGATAAATCAAAATTTCATTTTTTAATATAATCTGAGAGAGTGAAATGTGATACTTAAAATTCAAAATATCTCAGTTTGTAACAATTTCGATATGATATTGAGCGCGATGATGAATGATAAACTTGTAAAGTTGAAAACTTGTACTTATATTGTTTGGACCCGCCAGAGATGCTTAATCGCTGTGTCTTAAGATGACTTGTGGTTTCAAAACCCGGCAGGGCTGATCAAAAATGAACCTTTCTATTGAAGCATTGAAAAGTCTTAACTTTTATTTGCTTAATAGCATGGAAATGTTATTTTAAAACAAATAGAACTTGACATTTTCATTAATGTTCTCTTATAGTTTAAAACCATAAACATTGTTCTTATTTGAATCTCAAAGTAGCTTGATAATTAGGCGAGTTGCCGCCAATTAATACTACATTTATTGTGAAGATATACCTGAACCTGAATTACAGCTGGCATATCCACATACGCTAAAGTCATGATATCATTCTCGATTCCACTAACACGTTATGCGCACATACTATTTGGGGTTTTCAACTCGGGCAGGATATATCCTCGGATTTGGATTATTAACCCCCTCGGATGGGCTCACTCGCACGTGATGTAAGTCGACCGGAGTTCACAGAACCGAACCGCACAGCGCTTTTTCCGGACCGACGGCAGCATCAGCAGTCGACGAGAGACGAACGCGAAATGAGAACTAGATTCTCGTCAGTGTGCCAAAAAGGCGAAAAGGTTTTTCTCCAGCCAGCGACGTTGGCTGCGCTCCGCAGTCGCTACCGTTAGAGGTCGGCTGGTTAAGGAACTACGTACATATTGGCTACCTATAATCTGAAGCTCTCATTGTGACTTCCACCGGGCTTCAAATCTTTTTTGTGTGGAAGCACATTTAAATCTGGGCGCCATAAAGGACACATAATGAGGTCGGAAGCTCGGCTTAGTGAATGATATCGCACAAGCCATTTGACATCCTGCCCAGTCGCGCGGCCTTTGAATTCCCAGGACTCACAGGATGCAGTGTCAATGGAAGATGCATGCGATAAGGCCGATCCAGGAGGGGCGCCAGCCAGGCACATTAGGTATCCATAACTGGTTATTGATTCCTTAAATTTGCACTAAGTGCGGAACCATTCGATTAGGATGAGAGCGTTGCATTAGGACTGGGAGGAGAGCGTTGAATTTCATATACCTGCTCCTTAATTCCGTATTGTGTCCGGTGTCTGCGGAAAAGAATGACAGTAATTTGACACAAAACGTTGAGGTTTTCACAAATCGAACATGTTTATTCGATTGTGTAAGAGCGGCGAGGAAGCGAAGGCTCAAGCATTCATTGTGGTCCAAATAAGGAATCTCTCCGAATTGACCAAAAAAGGCGGTCAATGAATGCCCATTGCTCATTGGCTCGCGTCTTCACCTTTGCATCGCCTTAATTCATATTGCACCGCGTCGCTCAAAAGTCGAATTAATTATGTGTCTATTGGAGGTATTAATTATGCTAACCAAAGCTAACAACAAGTTAAATTGTAATAGTTGGCATGACGCCTAAGTGAATCATTTACATTTAACAATTACATTTTACTTGTTTAATAAACTTTTATAGCTTGGTATAATTTACAATTTGGAATTCATTTATGATTCCATAAAGAAGAACATACGTATATATTTGTGGATCAGCATTAACAGTCGAAATTGCAGAAATATTTTAATATACCATATAATGATAGACATTATTTCTTAGGATTATGGAGATAGAGGATATATTTAGCTATGAATGCTAATAGAAACAATTGCTTGACCAAACTTTCACCAGAATATCTGACAGTCTAAACAGATTCATAGCATCAAGTTATGGATCAATTACAGTTAATATACATTGAAACCATATGTATGTGGAATGGACCTAAGCCAATCTTGATTTTCAGGTTCACAAGGGCCCATGGATTTGGTAGGGAGCGCTCTGGCGGGTCTTCGGCTCGGGCTAGAACGTGGCAATTGCGGATCGGGCACGACTTTATTGTGGCTTAATAAATTAAAATAATTTTGATTGATTACTTTGGATTATCTTGTCATTTGCCAACATCAAATAGAATATTTAAGAATACAGGTAAACCGGTTCTCCTTTGTTTTGCGTGAATATTCGGCTATCGACGGCTGGGTTCTCGGTGGTTTTCTTCTCCCATCCGCGGAGGTTTCGCGCATTTCTCGCTTAAGAATTCGTGCTTGGCTCTAATCAAAGCCAAATCTTGGTATTACGTCTCAGTTCAATTAAAACGGTATTTCTGGCGTGGTAGTGGAGCCCACAAGCCTTGGTCCTAGCGCAAGTGAGGTCCTGTGCGAGTCTGAAGAATACATAAGTAACCTGAGTTGCAAATTTCATAAATTTAATGTGCCATCTTCGGTTGTTTACTTATGCTCGGATGGATGTTATTTAGTTTTTGTTTTTTGTTTTGGAAGCCGCTAAAACGCGCATATGCTGTGGGTTATTCGTATGCCGCTTATTCTCGGCTCTTGCCGTCACTCAATACCGTCAATACTCTTGGCCCGCTCAGGTTCTGAGGCCTTACTGGTATGCGTGGCTTTTGAGTAATGCTTTTGACCCTTTGCCAGTCGGCGGTTGCCGGGTCCGTTCTTTATTCCGCTGTTATTTTTATTTATTTATTTATTTTGTTTTGGGTTTTTTCTCTATTATTAATTGTGCGATTGGAAACTCTTGGTTTTCAATCACATGAAATTCAGAATTTTACTCCATTGTTTGCCATTGCGAGACATGAATATGCTGAAATTTTCGGACTTACTCTGGTGGTCAATACTCCCATGGCGTAATTCAAGATAAAGATAAATAAATTATAAAGGTTCGAATGGTGTCTTGACGGCCAAAGACTATCTGGTTTTCGTAGGCACAGGTAGACAGTTGGAAGCTGTTGAGCAGGTCGAAATAGTTTCACCTCAAGTGTGTTCCGTCGGTCATACATAAAATCCAAGCTCACAGTTTACAAACTTACGCGGCAATTCATATACATATATGCGCACTTCACTTGGTATTCTAATGAAATGGTATCCACTTGCAAATGATCAATTGCCATTAAAAGAGTTTTGACTCCGAAATCAGAGTTCACTTTTTAAGCTGGCCTATTACAGTTCGGGACTCAAATGTTATTTTTGTCATTCCGTTCACCCTCAAAGTCTCTAGGCTCTTACAATTTGGATACACGGATTCATTCTAAAGTTTATTCTTACCCTAATAAGCATAATTTATGTCTTACTGGAATGCACTAGTTAGATGGAAAGATACGAAAGATATTAACATTGTCCTTAAGTGTTAATGTTATAATAAAGAATTATGTCCGTGTAAGCAAAACAGGGAATACAATTGTAAAGGCAGTCTCACCTTAAAATTAAAACTGTCATTCCTGACCCTCATTTAATATTACGATTTTGATTCTTAATAATAGGTTGATCCAAACTGGATTTACATAGACAACCGAATTTATCTTTTATTTTCATTTTGTTTATGTTGTATAAAACCACTAATTGAACAAATAAATCCTTCTTTCTTTTTTTTTTTTATGTACGCAACATAACAAAGCTAGTCTATTTTTCTATTATTTTCATATATATATAAATATATTAATTTCCTATTTATGTTAACATATATATACATATATACATATATGTAATATTATAAACATAGTCGTCCCATTATCATAAAATGAAAGCTGTAGCTTTGAAAACAAACATATACATATATCTTAGTTTGCGAGAAAATAAGTATAAATTCTTCATATTCAAATTTACAGCAGTTCTATGGACTATTCGAAAAATTTGTCTGTCATTGACTCGTTTCGACTTGTATACTTTCAAAAATAGAAAAATTATATTTGTATAGGTTCATTGAGATAGCTCTAACTTTAACTACATTGTTTTTTAATCCCCCAATAAAACATTAAGGATGAAAGGTAGAAACATTTGATTGAGATTCAAAATCACTTTTTCATTCGAAAATCAACGAATTTCATTTGTATACAAAAGTTGCAGCTTAACTAAGGTGTTTTATAAGTTTTAGTAGCTAAGTGGTATCAGCTTAGAGAAAATTGAAACCCTTTCATAGTTTAAAATATAACAATTAGGATAGCCTGCCAAAAGTATCTTTTTTCGATTTAGCCTTATATTTTTTATAATTT